AACATTTCTCATGCTTACTGTCAAGAGTTTATGAGTGATCTCGGTGAAAGTTAATGGTATTTTCAGGCACGGCATAAGGTCCAGCAGAGTTACAGTAATGCCACCATAAGCTTTTAAAGTTTCATAAATAATTTCAGACTGTGTTCCCATAATCCTCTTGAGGAAGGAAGTGGAATTGTTTTAAGCTTTTTTTTTTCTTTTCTTTTTTAAAAGGAGGTTTCAGGATTCAATCTTGTCTGGAAGCTGTGCTCCTAAATCCTCAGTATTGGGGGGAGGGAACAGGTGCCCAACAGTGACCAGAATGCACTCTGTGCATGCCTCAAGCTGCTCTTCTTCATTTCGTATTCCTTCATGTGTTTTTCTTTAAAGAGCAATATTGCTGAAGAATGATGGTGGAAGCAGGTTAGCAGGTGGAGTTTAGAGAGAAATGTTTAAGGGCAAGACGAACAGAGAGCTGGCTAGAGTTTTAGTTTCCTGTTTATTTTCTGACAAGCAACAGTGGCTCTTGACTTGTCCCCCCTCTCCCAAAAGGCAAAGTAGATCTTGTTATTTTTGCATGATAACCATCACCCAGTGTGGCATCTCCAAGAGAGAGAGAGAAAAGAAAAAGGGGGAGGCAACGGCGATTGGCTGATTCATCCCAAAGGCAACTTTTCAGAAACAAGCGCAATTGTCTGGGAGGCAGGCAGGCAGGCTGGCTGGCTGCCATGTGTTTGATATATTGCAAGTGTGTAGTGAATAGACAGAGAAGGTCGGTATCAAATTAGAGTGCCCAATAAGTGAGATATTTATTTCTTGCAAGATCAAAGTGAACATCAAATCTTTTCCTGGTGGCTCATCTTGTGTTATCCTTTTAGTGATTCAAAGTGTGTGCACACACAAGAAGACATGCCTTTTGAAAGACTGCAACTTGTGAAAAGCTTTCTGAGGAGGGTGGGGTGGAGCGATATTAAGGGTGTGTGTATTGAATAATGCCTGGTTTTTTTGTTTGTTTTTTACAAGTCTTTTATAATCCTGTTTCCTAATGCGTTGGAATTTATGGGGCTGGCTTTATCTCCCCTTCCTTCTCATGCAGAGTAGTAACTTTTACTGATTACGACTCCACGGAGCTGGGGGCTATTTTTCCGCAAGAGAAAAACAGAGCTTTAGCTCTTTCCCCTAACCCCAGGATAATATTTTGATTAGATGAGCATCATCCGAACAATAATATTTTCCAGCTTCGCATTTTACAACAGGGATGGCCGTTTGGCAACCTGAGGGCTGGATTTGACTCCTGGAGCAACTTTATCCGGGGGCCCCAGAGACCCCACCACGTTTTGATCAAGCTGTGATAAAAGGCCTTGCTCATAGTTTCACTCTGGTGCAATAGGAGCGACTCCATCTGTGTTTCATAAAACTCTATTGTATTGCTGTCTTTTCTTGTTTACTCTGGATGTAAGGAGGGACTCTGCTTCTCTTTCTCTCTCTGAGAACATTTATTCCTGAGGCTCCCACCACAAGTGATGGTTTCATTTCTTCTGAGCACATATGTCTTATACTTGGGAAGCCTCTTAACTGCTAGGGGGTCCCACGGTTATTATAGAGCTCTCACCCACACTATTCATTTTAAAACGGTATCATGCCACCTTAAGCAGTTATGGTCCCATGCCCTCCTCCCCTCCAAGTCATGGAAACTGTAGGAACTTGTTAAAGATGTCTAGAGTTGTTATAAGACCCCTGTTCCCCTCTCAGAGCTCCAATTTCCCAGTGAGAAGCGGGATTGATTGTTATACCATTCTGAGAATTATCTCTCTTTGAGGGGAATGCAAACTCTCAGCATCCATAATAAACCACAGCTCCCAGGTTTCTCCTTGTGGAGCCATGACTGTTTAAAGTGGTATGATACAGCTTTAAAAGTATAGCAGAAATGGAGCCAAAGTCTGACTATCCATGAGAACTTATGTTTTTCTGGATGTAGGCGTTGATGTTTCTGAGGCTATGTACACACCTCACAATTCAAATACATTCAAAGCACGTAACTTCCCCCCAAAAAATCCTGGTCTCTAAGTGTGGGAGTTGTGGCTCTATGCTGGGTGAACTACGGTTCCCAGGGTTCTTGGGGGAGGGGAAGTCATGCGTTTTAAATGTATGGTGAATTCCCAGCTTGTTGTTTCCTCAGATTATGTGGTTACACAGTCCCTGGTGCTGTGAGTTGAGCAGAAATGTGTTTCTGTTCGGCTTCTGCCATTGCCTCCAGTCTACGCTTGCCAGAACCCTCAGCTAAGGTCTTACTCACCTGGTTGCAGGGAAGGGCCGTGGCTCAGTGGGAGACAGTCCCAGGTTCAAATCTTGGCTTGTCCAGGGCTAAAAAAATCCAGAGAGATACCGCTAGCCAGTTCAGAGACTACTGAGCTCGTTGGATCGATATTTCAAGATATGACAGGCACCCACGACCTCCATTTTCCCGAAACAACTGAAAACATTTTTCTTCTGGCGGGCTGTCCTAGCTGGATAAATGAAACTTTGCCACACATATTTTGTATGGTTCTAGTTTTGTTTTACATTTATTTGTTGCTTTGTGCTTTTAAACTATGTTTTATTTATTTTTATCGTACATCACCTTAAGACGATTGCATAGAAGGCGACAGATGAATTAATAATAGTAAGAGTTAACGTTCCTACATGCACTGGTTCAGTTGTGCCAAACTTGATCGATGGGAAAGGTGGAGTGTATCTTTACACAAATACAACCTGGTGTGAGTCATGATAGCTCCCTAGTAGCAGCACCCCTCTTGCACCAGTCCTATCCATTTCGCATCTTTCACTGCAGACTGCAGAATCAGAGGCTTCATCTTAATTTCAAGCATTTGTGGCTTAATTGAATTACAGATCAGGCTGCCTGAGCAGCAGGTGCAAGGTCTTGCAATAAGTTAAGTTGCCATGTTTTTGTACGTTTCCTTTGAAGCAGAGATTAACAGCTTGTCCAATGCCAAGGAGCCGAGAAAACCTAAGAGATCTGCTGCTAATTTGCTAATAATTGACCTCTCTTGCACCTGACGGGTACCAAGGAGTCAAGGCTTTGCTGATAGAAACCTGTTATTGCTTAGCATGAGTTACAAATTACTTCTAAAAGGTAGAGGACTTAAGCAAGTTAGAATTGCAAGAGAGGGGGATTGTGAATATTATGTTATTGGGTTTTTTCCCTTGTAGGACACTCTGATCTCCCTAGGGAGGAAAAGCAGGATGAAAGCAGAAAGCAGATTTTAAATAAAATAAAATAAACTTGCACCCCACACATAATGCTCCTAAGTAGAATCACTTCATATCCATTCATCTGAGAGAGATGCTGAAAAATCCAGGTTTATTATGGGTGGACTGGCCCATTGCTTTTTCCAGTCAATAATATAATAATATTATTTATAACCCCGCCCATCTGCCTGGGTTTTCCCAGCTGCTCTGGGCGGCTTCCAACAAAAGATTAAAAATACATTAAAACATCAGTCATTAAAAACTTCCCTAAACAGGGCTGCCTTCAGATGTCTTCTAAAAGTCAGATAGTTGTTTATTTCCTTGACATCTGAGGGAGGGCGTTCCACAGGGCGGGTGCCACCACCGAGAAGGCCCTCTGCCTGCTTCCCTGTAACTTCGCTTCTCGCAGTCTATAGTTCAGGGATAGCCAACATGCAGCTCTCCAGATATTGTTGGACTGCAGATCCCATCAGCCCTGTCCACTGATGGGATATGTAGTCCGCAACATCCAGATCATACCACATTGGCTATTCTTGGCATACTTCCAACTATTTTGCACTTGAGAGGTAAAATGTATGCAATCAAATTCCAAACCCTGCCTGCCTGCTTGCCTTCATTTATTTATTTATCTAGCAAAATTTAAATATGGCTTGATTGAAAAAGAAAGCTCTAAACAGTTCACAGAAATATAAAACAAAACTTAAACATTCTCAATAAAAAAATAAAATAAAATTCTCAATTAAAAATAGTTTAATCAGTATTTAATAGTATTGAAATCATCAGTAGCTAAAAACAGTAGCTAAAAACATACAAGAGGCAAAAGAGATGAAATAATTATACATGTCTAGACAGGCTTGCCCAAATAATACAGCAATGATGCCTGATGTCAAGAGGCGAGGAGTTCCATAGGTGCTGCCACACTAAAAGTTTGATTTCTTACAAGTGTGCGACAGGTGATAAGTAGCACTTGCAACAATGTCTGTTCCACAGATTGAAGTCGTCAAGAAGTCATGTGGGGTAAAGCAAGCCCTCGTTAGCAACCAGCTCATATTCACTGTGATACCAAAACAACTGTGTTCCAGCAGGAGCTGAGATTCTGCTTTGTCTCCTGATGGAATGATGCTAGGCTGCTTGGCAACGGAGGTGTATATACCCCTCAAAGCCCAAGGCCTTCCCTGTAGCACTATATCTGCATTTCCATGTTAGTGTGAATAAGCTTGTCTGCACATTGTGTGATGTATCCAATAAACCTCAGCGTTACAGAGCACTGTAGTCAACAAGCGCTCTCTTTATTCATCACTTGGGCAGAGCAACATGCTTGTTTTATACTTAATTGGGCAAAATAAGGAGGAGATGTGCTTTTTGGTGGAATGATGCGTTGCGGTTGCCAAGAGTTATGATTCAGTAAGGAAGTGGGCATCATGACTTAGTAATGATTCCAAGCTGCCCAAAAAAGTGTATTTGTGTTCTCTTAGCAGGTCGTTTAGTAGCGAGAAAGAAAAGTGCTGCCTTTTTTAAACCCAAAGAATTCATTCATTAATTTAATGCCAAAATATTGGTATGGGTCCTTATTACAGGTATTAAGAAAGCGTGAGACAAATATAAGCGGCAGTCTTTTGCGCATTTGGATGCAAATCCTATGAACCTTTACTCAGAGGAAAGCCTCTTGAACCCGATGGCACTTCCTTCTGAGTAGAACATGGATAGGATCCAGCTGAAAAGCTGCCACTTCTTTTTAAAAGACAAAGACTTCATAATAATGAATTATGTACTTTGGGATAGCTCAGTTGGCAGATCATGGGACTCATCATCTCAGGGCTGTGGGTTCGAATCCCACATTGGGCAAAAGATTCCCGCATTGCAGAGAGTTGCACTAGATGACCCTCATGGTTTCTTCCAGCTGTATGATTCTATGATAACAGAGTGCAATGTATATCAGGAACACCTGGAAAAGTCCAAAGACTAGTAATTAAACTGAATATTTGCATCATGTGCTATGCAAGTCATCACCTGTCTCAATAATAATAATAAATCAATAATAAATCAGGGACGCGGGTGGCACTGTGGGTAAAACCACAGAGCCTAGGACTTGCCGATCAGAAGGTCGGTGGTTCGAATCCCCGCGACGGGGTGAGCTCCTGTTGCTTGGTCCCAGCTCCTGCCAACCTAGCAGTTCGAAAGCACGTCAAAGTGCAAGTACGGTAAATAAATAAGTCCCGCTCAAGCGGGAAGGTAAACGGCGTTTCCGTGCGCTGCTCTGGTTTGCCAGAAGTGGCTTAGTCATGCTGGCCACGTGATCTGGAAGCTGTATGCCGGCTCCCTCGGCCAATAAAGCAAGATGAGCGCCGCAACCCCAGAGTCGTCCGCGACTGGACCTAATGGTCAGGGGTCCCTTTACCTTTTTAGCCAATGTGGTGCATACTAGACGTTTGGGACTACAACTCCCATCAGCTCCAGGCAGCATAGCCAATGGTCAAGGATTATGGTAGTTGTAGTCCACATCTACCCGTTGGCTGCCCCTGGTCTACAGCACTTTGCCGGAGGATCTGCACAGAGCAGAGCAGCATTTGTCCTGCTGCACAATGCAATCCTATGCATAACTAAGTTCTCTGGGTGGTTTACATGTCTCTTCAGAAGTAATTCCCTCTGAGTTTATTGAGGCTTATTCCCAGGTAAGTGGGTAGAAGATTTCAGTGGGTGATGGTATTTCCCCAGTTCTCTGGGTTCCCTAGTTTCTTTCTGGCCATAGTTCAAGGCGATGGTTCTTACCTTTGAGGTCCTAAATCAGGATGGAGGAGACAGATTATGTTCTTCCAGATGTCCAATTCTGACTCCCATCATCTCAGACCATTGGACATGTTGGGTGGGTCACATGGGAGCTGGAATCCAACAACATCTGGTCTGTACCAGATGTGCTCCCTCTGCCCTGAAAAGGCTAGGAGCAAGATACCTACAGATCCAGCCTCCGATAAGGACCTGACCATTAGAGACAGAATTATTTGCCACAATATAGACGAGAGACTCTGCAGGGATCTGCAGGGCAGCAGCAGCCAAGCTTCTTGCCAAGAAATTGAATGGACCCGAGGTGTGGTCTGTGCACAAGACAGAAACCAATGCAGCCCAAGAAAGTTGACTCAGACTATGAGATCTTCTGCTATAAATGCGACAAGAGAGAGAGAGAGAGAACAAGGAAAAATGCTCATAGCTGGCGTGGAACGCAATACAGCTTTAAATAGTACGCAGCATTTGGAAAGGTTTGTCGTATGAATAATGAGTTTGCACAATGCTATAGTTACCCCAGATAAACAAAAGCCAGGAATGTTGCTTCCTGGTCTTGGGGCAAAGGACAAGCTGGTGCCCTCCATTTCGTGTGCAGAATCCAACCTGTTCGGCAATTGAACCGATTTCAGCAGCACTGACAGGGCTTCCCCTGCTTATTGTAGGGTCAAATATGGCTAGTGTTGGAAGAGATGCTCCTTTACGAAATTGGGTCCCTAGCTGTTTGGGGCTTCGTGTGCTAGTGCCCCGCAGCTCAGTGGCAGCCAATGCAGCGCTTCCAGGGCCACTGACATGTAATCCCATTAGGCTGCCCCCTTTACTGACCTAGCAGCTGCATCCTGCGGTAGCTGTGACCTCCAGACTATCTTCAAGGGCAGCCCCACATACAGTGCATTACAGTAGTCCAGACAGGACCAGAGCATGGGCAACTGAGGCCTGGCTATCCCAGTCTAGCTGTAGCTGGCAAATCAGCCTAAAATGGGCATAAGCACTTCCATCCATGAAGGCACGAGACTCCAGCGATAGGTTGGAATCCAGGAGTACTCTTATACTGCTTAAGAGTGATTGTGTCTGTTATGTACTGAGTTGAATAGGGTCCAAAATGCAGCAGTCTGATTGGTCCTAGAACAATAGGATTCAGAATGCAGCAGTCTGATTGGTCCTAGAAAAATAGGATCCAGAATGCAGCAGTATGATTGGTCCACAGGAGCCAGCCAATCCAGCTCCTGGTAGAAGTGAATCCTCACCCTGATTGGCCTACAGGAGAATCCCGGAAATAGCCAATTACGTGGGGCCCATTGTGTAAATAATGTATATAAAGCAGACATTCTGGGGGAACTTCGATTCCTCCTCACCACTATGAGCTGAATAAAGAGCATGAAATCCACTCTCGGCTCCGAGTATATTTCAGTGTCAATGGCCCTCAACATTTCAATTAGACCAGAAAGTAATCAGCTCCCAGTGAGGAAGTTGCATGGAGCAGCAGCTGCATTTAAGCTGGATCCTGAGTTAATATTTTGCCAGAGCCAGATTATGAACAAATAAAAGCGAGATCAAAACCCTTGCCAACCAATATAAAGCGAAGTGTTTATTCAGAAGCAAATATGCCAGCAAAAGGGAAGCGCCTTGCTAGAATTAAGTATGAAAACAAAGCAGACGGCCCTCCAATTGTGGGAGTATGAAAGAAGCTGACACCAGTTTCAAGCCTGAGTGCTTATGGGAAGCTTGAGAAACTGGTTTCGTTACGAAAATAAAAGCCTTGTTGCACATGGATTCCACTTTGCCCCGCAGTGTGACGATTTGAAAGCAGATGAAAACAGATACAGATCACTGGAGGAGGAAGAGGAGTGCGGGAGGTGCGCATCGCCCCGGCAGCGCAATCCCAGTGGGGTGCTGTCACGGCTGCTCCCCCCGCCAGAGCTGGGCGCCCTGCCCCCAGGACGAGCGCCAGGCCCACCCCACCTGCTGTCTGCCCACCAGCACCCCCCAGTGCCGGAGCATGAAGCTACGCCACTGATACAGATGGTCCCACCAACATTTACCTGAGCCATCTGCAGGGAGGGAAAAGCATGGATAACCTAATAAGGGAGAAGTTTTTCCAATGTGCACCAAGTAACTGCATCCATCCCTGTGGATGGCAGGATCTATATTCAAACTATATTGAATGGCTCCCAGTACGTTTCCAAGCGCAATTCAAAGTGTTGGTGCTGACCTTTCAAGCCCTAAACGGCCTCAGCCCAGTATACCTGAAGGAGCATCTCCACCCCCCATCATCCAGCCCGGACACTGAGGTCCAGCACTGAGGGCCTTCTGGCGGTTCCCTCCCTGTGAGAAGTGAGGTTGCAGGGAACCAGGCAGAGGGCCTTCTCAGTAGTGGCACCCGCCCTGTGGAACACCCTCCCAGCAGATGTCAAGGCAATAAACAAATATTTTACTTTTAAAAGACAACTGAAGGCGGCCCTGTAATGTGTGACACTGTATTGTTTTTAATATTCGGTTGGAAGCTGCCCAGAGTGGCTGGGGAAACCCAGCCAGATGGGCAGGGTATACCGTAAATAATAAATTATTATTATTATATTGTTATGGGTGCTTTAGTTGACATTCCTGCATCATAGGGGGTTGGACTAGATGACCCTCTGGCACCCTTCCAACTTGTATGATTCTATGAAAGAAGTGTGTTGAAGATGAGCACGAATGATTCCAGACTGGGGAAAACTACATTTTTGTGCTGCAAAGGGGTTAGTGTGCGTGCAGCCTCAGCTGACGTGTGAGTGATAGGCCTTCCATTGAAGGAGTTAACCCTATAAGAAAGGAAATGCAAGCTCTTGAAATCATCATCCTCGTTTTATTTGTATGCCGCCTTTCCAGGGTTACAACCGTGCTCAAAGTCAACAGCCATTGCGAAGGATTGGAGCCGCTCCATATCTTGTGCGTGGTTCCCTAACACTTTGCAGACACGCTCCTAAAAGTGAAAAGCATGACTGTGACAAGCTGGGCAGGGCTGAGAGGAGGAGGCAGCGTGCACCACCCACCTGCTTGTCAGAAAAACAGAGATTTGGTCGAGAGTACATTTGGTGGCAAGTCTGTTCATGTTGGCTTGAGCTGCATGACACAGCGTCCTGCCTCAGCCGCTGATAAAAAAAATGTAATCTGTCTCCAGCCTTAATGCAAAACAACCAATGGCCAGTCACCTTCACATCCCCTATAATATAAATCAGAAGTGATGGCAGATGGGCTGTACAATCTGGGAAGATTTCCAAACTTTTTCTTTTTCTTTTTTAATAAAGTCGTTTAAACAGGCTTTGGCAGTGGTGTGTGAACAGCACTGCAGATGTGCTCTCTGGATGAGGATTAAGCTAGAGGACAGGTAGGGAACAGAATCTGGCAGCGAACTGGTTGGTTTCCTTTATCCAGCTCTTTTTTAAATACACTCTGGCCTGGAGCTGAACCCAGATGTGAGTAGGGAGAGGAGATAGTGTCATATTTATCCCATTCTGATGGGCAGGGAACCCGGCAGTTCTGCAAAGGTAACTTGCAGCAAGAGTTCTGGGCACACAACTTGCACTGTTGAGATTTTTCTTAGAAAAAGAAAGAGTACTTTTGAGAATTTTCTCTGAATATTTTCCATCTTTTTGTGATACCCAGTGTTGTAAACAAAAATTGCCTTTTTCCCTTATGGGGTATCCAAGAGCCCATATAGAGTCCTTACACAGGTTCCCTATTGGTAGGAGAGAATAACAGAGGCCAACCAGAGAATATTGAGAAGCAAAGCAGCTACTAAGCTCGATCTTTATTGATCTGTTGCAACAGGGTGCTCCCCTCACCCGCAGGAGAGGAGGGGGAACCCAGAACAATGGCACGCAAAGCCTTATAAAGACTTTTGAAATTGCCACCCTGTAGATCAAGACCACCTGCTCAAATGTATCATACCTACATCACAGAAAAGGCGGTCTAAAACAGAAATTTGAATGTTGTTTATCTTCTGTCTGGCAGGTTACTTGACTTGATTGCCTGGAGAGCCTGGCCAGTCTTTTGTAATGATAAATACTTAGTTCCTGGGCCAGGTCACAGGCTCACACCCTATTCAAACACAGACATACCCTTAAGACAGGATTTGTGAGGAAAGAGACAATGGGGAGGTTTCCCACTTTGACCTTACAGAGAAAACATTTGCTCAGTTTAGGAATCAAAATGCTTCCAGGTTGGTCTTCCTGTGCTGATCTATGTATGCGCTTGGTTGGTACACTTATGAACATTACCATATATCTAAGACCATAAAATTCCTTTCACACCAGGTTGCCAAATACACAAACGGGCCCTAGTGTTTGTGCTTCTTAGGGTTGACAATATGGATACCATCCAAGTGCCCCTATTTTCCAGGGACAGTCCTGGAATTAGAAAAGCCATCCTGGCTTCTCAATTTGATCCCAGAATGCCCTTATTTCTCCCGCCAGGACAATGAGCCAGCACTTCACCTGAGTAGCAGTGGCTGAGATGGAGCTTCCTGTTGCCTCTCCAGGTTCTCTCCAGGGCCACTGCCACTGGCCTCCTCCCTTAGCCACCAAGGCTCAGCCCCCGTGTGACATTCGAGCTCTGAAGTACAGGCAGAGGGAAGGGCCCCCCTGGGCTGAAAAAAAGGGGTAGCAGAGTACAGTGGTACTTCTGGTTACGTACTTAATTCGTTCCAGAGGTCCGATCTTAACCTGAAACTGTTCTTAACCTGAAGCACCACTTTAGCTAATGGGGCCTCCTGCTGCCACTGCAGTGCCGCTGCATGATTTCTGTTCTCATCCTGAAGCAAAGTTCTTAACCCGAGGTACTATTTCTGGGTTGGCGGAGTCTGTAACCTGAAGCGTATGTAACCTGAAGCTTATGTAATCAGAGGTACCACTGTAGAGCACTTTGTGCGTTTGTTTCTATAAAAAAAAATGCTTTGTGCAAGGAGTCTTGATTTTTTATTTTAAAAAATGCTTTGTGCATTTGCATCTAATCTTGCCTCTTCTAAAATATATTTCTTACTGTGTTTCCTTTTGTAAATCTACCAAAGAATAAGACCTTAAAAACCATGATATAATCAGATGATCAAAACATAGATAAGAGTTTTCAAAACAAATTTGCACTTTCATTTAGCAAGGCCCATATAATCCTTTACGTAAAATACATATTTTTTGTGCACATTTTTGCACACAAACAAAACGCAGAGAAGCTCATAAAATCCTACCAGGATTTGCATTCTGACCGGCAAACCTGTTTAGACCCAGCTCCGGCTTCAGAGAGCTCTTGCTATGGTTCCTGGGAGTATGTGAAGCACTCCGAGGACTTAAAATGTTCTGTATGAGAGCTAAGCTGTATTATTATTAATAATAAATATTTTAAGTGCCTAAAATAGCCGGGCAGTGTACTGAGATAAGATAAAAGACAGTCTCCACCTTCAGGTTTACAGCCTTCAGGAGGCTGGGGGACCGGTTGTTAAAAAAGAGAAAGGCGGCAGACCACAAGTGCTAAAAGCATCATTTGTGGGAAGTGAGAGACATTTGAAGGAGTTTTTTGTATAAAGCGAGTCAAGAAATAGCCATGTGTAAGATAACAAAGAGGAGGGGCTTCCAGTAAAAGGGAGCATCAACTGAGAAATGTCATGTTGGAAAGAGAAAACATGGGGTGTGGAGGAGATCAGAGCCAGCAGAAAGTAATGTAGCATTTAACGTACAAATGTTATTGAAACCACATAGTGCATAACCAGATAGGACCTTCCTTGGCACTACTAGGTAAGGGCTTCAAATTGGTCCAAGGCGCTTTTGATGAAACCATGGGTGCGAGTCGGTGTTGTGCAAAGTCTCTCACTCCATCAATGCAAGGATTTCTGCTGCACAGCAGGACATTCTCCCTACTCTTCTCCTTTTGCACACCTTTAATCTATTCTGAGGGACGCAGGTGGCGCTGTGGGTTAAACCACAGAGCCTAGGACTTGCCGATCAGAAGGTCGGCGGTTCGAATCCCCGCAACAGGGTGAGCTCCCGTTGCTCTGTCCCTGCTCCTGCCAACCTAGCAGTTTGAAAGCACGTCAAAGTGCAAGTAGATAAATAGGTACCGCTCCGGCAGGAAGGTAAACGGCGTTTCTGTGCACTGCTCTGGTTCGCCAGAAGCAGCTTAGTCATGCTGGCCACATGACCCGGAAGCTGTACGCCAGCTCCCTCGGCCAGTAAAGCAAGATGAGCGCCGCAACCCCAGAGTCAGCCACGACTGGACCTAATGGTCAGGGGTCCCTTTACCTTACCTTAATCTATTCTGAATGCTCTCCCAATCCTCTGCAACAGATTTTATAGAATCGTAGAATTGTAGAGTTGGATGGGACCCCCAGGGTCATCTAGTCCAACCCCTTGCAATGCAGGAATCTCAGCTAAAGCATCCATGACAGATAGCCATCCATTCTCTGATTTAAAACCGCAGGGAAGAAGAGTCCACAACCTCCCGAGGGAGACTGTTCCAGGGTCGAACGGGTCTTACCGTCAGAAAGTTTTTCCTGATGTTTAGCCAGACACTCCTTTCTTGTAACTTGAAGCCGCTGATTCGAGTCCAACCCTCCAGAACAGGAGAAAACAAGCTTGTTCCCTCTTCAGATATTTCAAGATGCCTGTCATATCAGTCACCTCTTTTCTAGGCTAAACATACCCAATTCCTCCTTCTTCTTTTTTGTTAAATCATTTTTATTAATTTTCCAATAAAAAACTTCCAATTAACATATCAAATCATAATCCAATAAAAATAAAAAATAAAATAAAATGATCTTCCAAATTATAATTTTTAATTTTCGGGGCTTCCCGTAGTCTGGACCTTGAAGCATATCTCCAAATCTCAATCCTGCCTCTCGTCGTTGTTTCCATATTTCCACATCTCGATTTTAACGCTCTAAACATACCCAATTCCTTCAACCATTCCTCATAAGGCTTGGTTTCCCGACCCAGATTTGGGAGGTTCTGAGGATGTGCAAAGGGTGTCCAACGGGGATTGCACAATCACAATTACACAAGTGGGGATGCTCACACTGATGGGACATGACAGTTGAGTGCCACCCCTTTTTTCGAGACTGTCACTTATTTGGGTTTGATCCCAGAGGACTCCAGTAAACTGGTATCCGGATTTCCCCCCTTCCCAAGCTCTGGCACAACCCTTGCATTATTTCCAAATAAAGCGGGTCTTTATAAGCTGAAGAACCCTTCCTTGTCTACCCTATAGATGAGGGATGGGGGAAGCATGGCACTCCAGATGTTGTCGGACTACAGATCCCATCATCACTGACTCTTGATCATGCTGGCTGGGGCTGATGGGAGCTGGAGTCCAGCAACATCAGGAAGGACACAGAGTCCCCCAAGCCAGCATCAAACTGCGGTTGTTGCTGCCCTTCCATTCAAGTCAGGGTGCATTTTTAACCGAGAAAGGCAGAGCATGATCTGTAAGTGATTTGAATGCCTGTTCTTCCCACTGGTTCACAGATACTATTTGCATACTTTCCAGCTTGCATTATCTGGGGATAAACAGAAAGCTGGGTGATGACAGCCAGCGTTCTTGTTCTTTCTGCTGAAACACAAGAAGGAGAAGGTGGAGGCCGAGAGGAGTGATCTCTTGCTTGTGATCCTGTGGCATTGTTTCTGTAAGGAGCTGGTAGATCAAAATGCTCTTGATTAATAGGGGTGGGGGAAATCAGGATTTGCAGTCACGTCACTTTGGAGAGGAGCCAGCTTCAGGGAATGGAGATGGAGTAAAGTTTCCAAGACTATGAGAGCAACACGAGAGCATGCATTGCCACTGGTGGTGGGTGAATCTCTGTGGCTCAATTTGCTAACAGCATCGCACTGATGTCAGAGGGGCAAAAACACAGCTAAGAAGCTCAAATCATGCATATTTCTTTGAAAATTAAACCAATGTCCAGACTTTCACATTGAAAAACTTTACTTGCAGAAACTTATAGATGAATTAAAACATAATATTTAAAGTCACATGCTTCTCCAAGCATGCATGGGCTTACAGTCTCTTCTTCTAACTTCCAAACAACTGTATTTTCCTTGCTTTCCAGAGCTCAGCACTGTCAGCCTTCTGTATCCCTGTTAAGGTTATGCCTTGCAGCTCCTATGAGATTCCCACTTTCACCTTCTCCTGCAGTTTTGCTCTCTTTCTTCCAAGCGCTCCAACACTCGATTCAACTTCACAGTGGATTCTAAATCATAGGCATCTTGCCACACACAAAATGGAGTCTGTCCTTCACTGGATACCTCCCATGTGACCAACGCTAGCCAATCACATGAGAACTACTGGAGAACTCTCTAGAATTCAGCTACCAAGCAATCACATTTAAACACATAGTAATGCACACAAGCATTTACAATTTCAGTGAACTCAAATACTATACTTAACACAGTGACTATGTTCTTACTTCCACTGTTGGAGGCAGAATGCCTCAGAATACTGTCTGGTTGGAGTCTATCAACATCTGGAAAGCTCTATAATGGCTGCCTTATGTGGGTAGATATATCTTGAGCAAAGTTTGGAGAACCTCCATAGCCAAAGGACTTACTAGGTAAACCTCCTCGTGTTTAAAAAAGGTGGAACTTTATTCTTTGCTTTTGCTCCTTACTGCTGTCCACAAATTTAACAAAAGTTATGCAAAAGTTAAAACTGTGGAATGAGTCGAAATCCAGGTATGAATTTGTGTACGTCGCGGAATTTGAAGTTGCAGAATTTGAGTTAACTCAGTGCAGAATTTGTGTTTTGTCTGACTTCTCTCGCTGTTTCATGCCTCTTTTTGACCACTTGAGGGACATAACTGGTGAGCAGTCTAATGAATTAGCCATTATATATTAGAGAGCTACTGTGTTCAAATGGGATGATGTAACATTTCAAGGTGGGTGTGACTGCCATGCTTTCGGCATATGCACTAGTTTCAGTTTAAGGGACTCGGTGAACCAAACATGGACACCTAATTCATATCCCCGTGATGCAGTCAGTCGTAAAATATAGTTTACGTAACAATGAGAAGTGCTTATCAACAGAGGAGCAAATTGGGCCAGATATTCAGCTGCCGAAAAATGAGTATAGATTAAAGTTGCAGCACTGGCCTGAGAGCAGGGCACACCCACACCATAACTTACAGCATTCTTTAACCATCATGCCCCCCCCCGAAAGCCTGGGAAATATAGTTTCTTTGGGGTGTTGAGGGTTGCTAGGAGAACCCCTATTGCCCTCCTAGGTCTACAAATCTGAGTGTTCTTTGGGAAACGGGATTGACTGTTACCTACTCTGGCAATTTATTTCCTGCGTTGACATGAGGTTGGACTAGAAGACCTTTGGGATCTCCCCCATCCTGTGGTTCTACTCGTTAATTTCCTGCGGTAAATGAAATGCAGACACCTTGCATCTCTGAGCACCTCTGGTGGGTCAGACCAAAGCCTTATCTAGTCTGGCATTCTGCTTCCCAAAGCAGGTGTCTCCAGGAAGTCCACAAGAGGGCATAAAGCTGTTGTTCGCTGCCCGCTCATAGTCTGGGTGGCCTGCCGCCAGTGACATACTAAGGTGGCGATTGCCTTATTTTATTCATCAAAATATTTATATACTGCTCTACGATACAAAATAACAAATCGGTTCTCAGTAATATCTACACATAACAAAATCCTGTAACTATTTAAGAGGCCATCCATTAAGTTTTATGGAAAGATGTTTTCTTAATTTCCTGAGTGAGGCTGGTGAAATAGAAAAAGTTTTCAGCAGGGATTTTAAGGCTAAAAAAGAAGAAGATGGGTGCTCAGTCTCTGTTGGCAAACCTTTCCACAGGACTGGATTGATGAGATTCTTAATAGCTCGTTCGGTAGAGCATGAGACTCTTAATCTCAGGGTTGTGCGTTTGAGCCCCATGTTGGGCAAAATTCCTGCCTTGCAGGGGGTTGGACTAAATGACCCTCGTGGTCCCTTCCAACTATACAATTCTATGATTCTATGACACTAAAGGCTCTATTTCACCAACTCAGGAGACAACCAATGATACTCCTGCAGTAGAGCTCAGTGATTGAGCTGGGACATAAGGGTTCAGGTGTCCCCTAATTCCTTATCTAGCCAAGGAAGTCACTGTGGTCTACAGCAGAGCTTCTCTAGCAAATTCCAGAGTTCCCAGAAGCCTGATCCACAACAACTTGGAGCAGGGCTTTCAGTGTGGCTGCCCCTGTTCTGTAGAACAACATTCCTGCCATGATACAACAAGCACCTGCTCTCCGTACTTTGCAGAAACAAATGAAGACCTTTGTGTTCCAACAGGTCTCTGCCATAGTTTTCTACCTTGTATTCATTCTAAATTCATATTGCGGGGGGTTTTGTGTGCTGTTTTTAAGTGTTTGGGGGAGGTGGGGTGGCTTTTCCCCAATTATGTTTTGTGTGTTGCTTTGACATATATGGGTGGAAGAAGATACAGTCATACCTCGGGATGAATACGCTTCGGGTTAAGCATTTTCGGGTTGCGCTCTGCGGCAACCCGGAAGTAACGGAGCGCATTACTTCCAGGTTTCGCCACGCGCACATGCGCAGACCATCAAAATGATATCACGCGCATGCACAGAAGCTCCAAAATGTGACCTGCAGACACGCGGACACGGGTTACGTTCGCTTCGGGATACGAACGGGGCTCCAGAATGGATCCCATTCGCATCCCGAGGTACCACTGTATAATTATGGTACCTCTGAATGTGCTTCTATGCATCTGATCAGAAAGTACTGTGGTTACTGTCAGGGCCGTCTTAAGCATATCCAGCGCCATGGTGCAAAGATCCCTCCGGCGCCCTCCCCCCCCCTTTCCCAGAGTTGCCAACCTTTTTTAGGGAGGACGGCGCTGCCAGCAACGCGCCCAGTTTTGCAGGGCTGGAGGAGGTGGGCAGTGGCTGGAGGGCAGGGAAGAGGGGAGGCTGGACGCAGCAGCTCCCGGCTCAGCTGGCCGCTTCATGCCATGGTGGCCACGGCAGGTGGAGGCTCCAGGCGTGGCGCTGCTTCGGCGTGGCATGGCAGAGGCGGGCAAGGGCGGCGAGCTAATGCCGGGAGGCGCTGCGCCCAGCCTCCGCCTCTTCCCTGGCACCCTCTAGAACTTAGTGCCCTGGCACCCAGCGCCACTAGCCTCTATGGGTAAGACATCCCTGGTTACTGTGGCTAAAGCCAGGTAGCTTTTCCCAGTCATTGTGCAGCAGAACATTTTCCAGCGGGAGTTTTTACCTCCTGGGATATAAGTCCTTCATCCAGCACCCAAGAAACACCATTGCTGCACACGGTAGGCGACATGGTTTGCTTCATGCACACCTTAATGGTTACAAACAATCATTATGGCTCCATTATGTTAAATCCGTCCTGGGGCCCCGAAAAAACAATGGGCAATGTTGTTTCACCGCCCAAGAGGATCATGTCCACACCCACACAAAATGTGAGTCCTCCTTCATCAATCATAGTTTGTGCCAACAGACAAAAAGACACTGATTTGTCATGTTTATTCAGAAGTAAGTCCCATTGCAATCAGTGGGATTTACTCCCATGCAAACATGCATAGGATTGCAGCATAAGAAAAGGAGCACATTAAGATGCTGGTACATTCCTTCCTATATAGCACCCAGACTACCAAGCCATGTGCGAGCAGTGAAGACGCTCAAGTCCGCAAAGGAGTCCTGGCAGAGAACACTTTGCTTCAGACTATACTGAATATTCAGAAGGGCTATTAGGACTATGATTTTATGATTCTGTTCACTGTGCGTCAGAGGCGCCATGTGCTGCACTGTGCATTTAAAGCTGTATCATACCACTTTAGGGATGCCGGTGGTACTGTGGTCTAAACCGCTGAGTCTCTTGGGCTTGCTGATCGTAAGGTTGGTGGTTCAAATCCCTGCAACGGGGTGAGCTCCCGTTGCTCTGTCCCAGCCCCTGCCAACCTAGCAGTTCGAAAGCACACCAGTGCAATATAGATAAATAGGTACCGCTGTGGCGGGAAGGTAAACTGCGCTTCCATGCGCTCTGGCTTCCGTCATGGTGTTCTGTTGCACCAGAAGCGGTTTAGTCTTGCTGGCCACATGACCTGGAAAGCTGTCTATGGACAAAACACCAGCTCCCTCAGCCTGAAGAGAGATGAGCGCCACACCCCATAGTCGCCTTTGACTGGACTTAACCCTCCAGGGGTCATTTAACTTTACATACCACTTTAAATAGTTGTTGCTTCCTTCCCCCCATGGAATCCTGGGAACTGTAGTTTGTTAATGGGCTGAGACCTATTCCCATCACTAAGCTACAATTCCCAGAGTGATTTAACCATCTTTTCGAATGGATCTTTTGGGAATGGTTGCAGCCATGCTGACAGAGGCTGATTGCAGGAAAAACACCTGGAAGGCACCATGTTGGCTATTCCTGAATTACAGTAATCATTTCTAAATCTGCATCTATGCATATAAAATTGGCATAGGCAAATTGTATGCCAATATTAGTCCATTTGTTGTGGTGATGCATTTCCTCTCTGTGAAAGTGGCTGGCTGCATGTGATGCCACATCCCACAACTCCCCTCTGCCAGGAAGTCTTTGCTGGGAATGTTGGGCAATTCAGACAAAATGGAAATGGGAGCAGAAATTGCCAACATTCCCTTATTCTTCCTATGTCCAGAATGGAAATCAGCCCAGTGAATATGATTAGTATCTCTCATTGGTGTTACTTTCAATCTGCCAGGGGTAATCTATTATACCCCCCCCCCCCCGCATTCACACTGGTTCCCCCCTTTTTTTAATGAATGGGGTAGAATAACATAATTACACAACTGCTGCAGCAGCCAGTGAAGCAAATAGCAGAAGGTAGTAGTTCTTGACAGAAGGCAAACTGCAGCAGAAGGGAAACAGGACTGTGTGCGAAAATACAGGGCAGAAAAGAAAACTATCCCCTTCTTACGTCCCTGAATCTAACCTCTCCTCCTCCTTTGGCAATTGAACTAAAGCTAAATTATGCATAACTGCATTTGCTCACAATCATTTCTCATAAGCCCCCCGCACCTCCCCACTATCTAAATTCGATTGCAATCTCTCCAAGCCAGAAGTATTTCCTTTTGCTTTATTTCATTCTCCTAGTACTATATAAATACTGAGCGGTATAAGGTTTCCCAGCTTTGCATGCAACAAGCTGTCAAATTCTTTTAATGTCGTTCTCATAAAGGGAGGAATTCTGCCAACTAGCCAATGTTCAGCCCACATGTGTCCTTGATTAGATTAACAAAGTGATTTGTTGAAAGAGCCATTTCTGTTGGCTCTGCAAGTTGAAACACCGCTTGATTTTAAATCGGGCTTCGCTGCTCTCAAAGCAATAATTGGGAGGCATGTGTACCTATCTGACAAATCGGTCCAGGGGGGCAGCAATTGGTAGCTCCCAGGACATCTTTTTTGGACACACACATTTGCCACCATCTCTGTGCTTCCTCAGATGACCATCTCCACATCCACACCACACATTTAAAGCACATTCAACCCACAAGCATATGGTCCCCCCCTCAAAGAATCCTAAGAACTGTAGTTTCCAGAACTACAATTCCCAGTATCCTCAGAAATATGCAGTTCCCAAGATTCCTTTGGGGGCAGCCATGTTCTTTAAATGTGTGTTGAATGTGCTTTAAATGTACAGTGTGGGTGTGAGCTGAGAGATTGGGAGCAAAAGCAGAGGGTAATTCCTCCCAGGTTCAATCCCTGGCATTTTCACATTAAAGCAGCATTTCCCGGTGTTTTCCAGATGTTTTGGACTACAACTCCCATCAGCCCAAACCAGCACAGCCATACTGGCTATGGCTGATGGGAGTTGCAATTGTTGTAAACAAAAATCTGCCCTTTTTCCCTTATGGGGTATCCAAGAGCCAATATAGAGTCCTTATGTAGGTTCCCTATTGGTAGGAGAAAATAACAGAGGCCAGCCAGAGAATACTGAGAAGCAAAGCAGCTCGTAAGCCTGATCTTTATTGATCTGTTGTAACAGGGTCCTCACTCACCACACGCAGGAGGGAGGAGGAACCCAGAACAATGGTGTGCAAGCCCATATATAGACTTTTGAAATTGCCACCCTGTAGATCAAGACCACCCCCAGAAACATCATATATACATCACAGAAGGAGTGTAGCTCAAGACCACCACCCCCAGATACATTATACCTACATCACAGAAAGGGCGGTTTACAGCAGAAATCTGAGTGGTTTGTTTACCTCCTGTCTGCCAGGTTACCTGTTTAATGCTCACTTGATTGGATTGCCTGGGGAGCCTGGCCAGTCTTTTGTAATGATAAATACTTAGTTCCTGAGCCAGGTCACAGCCTCACTCCCTATTCATATCTTGTTGTTGTTGTTTACTCCTGTGCTGATCTATGTATGTGCTTGGTTGGTACACTTATGAACATTTAACATATATCTAAGACCTCAAAATTCCTATCACACAATCCAAAACTTCCAGAGGGCACCAGGTTGAGATGGGCTGCCTTAGAGGAAGTGCTAGCAGAAAGACCTCATAACCGCTGCCAGACAGAGTGGACAAAGAGCTTAACTGGCATAACACAGCAGCTTCCTAGGTCTCCTGTGTTTATCCCAAAACTAATGCTTCTCAAACTTAGGCCACATCTGCACTACGGATCTGAAGCAGTATCATTCCATTTTAAACACTCATGGCTTCCCCCAGGGACTCCTGGGAACTGTAGTTTGTTAAAGATGCTGAGAACGGTTAGGAGACGCCCCCCCCCTTACACCCTCATAGTGGTTTAACAATCAGTCCCTCTTCTGAAGAAACTCTGGTAATTACAGTGGTACCTCAGGTTAAGAACGTAATTCGTTCCGGAGGTCCATTCTTAACCTGAAACAGTTCTTAACCTGAGGTACCACTTTAGCTAATGGGGCCTCCCGCTGCCGCCGCACGATTTCTGTTCTCATCCTGAAGCAAAGTTCTTAACCCGAGGTACTATTTCTGGGTTAGCGGAGTCTGTAACCTGAAGCGTCTGTAACCTGAGGGACCACTGTATAGCTGGTGAATCGGGGCCTCCAAACTTTTTTCAGCACCCACAACCAACTACAGTTTTCAGGATCCTTTGGAGGAAGCCATGACTGCTGAGCTAATGGCTAATTCTTCTTTTGATGTACAGTGGTACCTCAGGTTAAGTACTTAATGTGTTCTTAAGAAAACTGTTCTTAACCTGAAGCACCACTTTAGGTAATGGGGCCTCATGCTGCCGCCGCGCCACTGGAGCATGATTTCTGTTCTCATCCTGAAGCAAAGTTCTTAACCAAAGGCACTATTTCTGGGTTAGTGGAGTCTGTAACCTGAAGCGTATGTAACCTGAGGTACCACTGTATAGTGTATTATTTGGCTTCAGAGGGTTGTCAGCAAACATTCCTGCTGCAATGTTTCACCTTGATTCCAAATTTTGATTAATCGGTGTCAAGCACCTTGCCATTTCCGGTGTTGTGAGCAGGGCCTATGTCCCTGCCAATGCTGCCTTGTTTCTGTTTTTTGTGTTTATTTATTGAATTTATATCCCGCCCTGCCTCCTGAAGGAGGAATGTTAAATAGTTCTCGCAGTCCTTCACTTCAATTACTCTGGATTACTCTGGCTCCACTTTGACTTTGCCTCCACTGCTGTGGAACCCTGGGCACTCAGCTCTGCATATGCAAAGGCAAGGCAAACAAGTTTTCATTGCAGGTTGCCAAGTGCCCTGGAATGTATAATAGCCGGTGGCAAACCTGGAAGGACTGCATCCGAATTTCCAAAATGCAGGGTGGGTGGGATGAGTAATCCTATGAGAATTATAAGATCTCAGATATAAATGTTCATAAATGTACCAGGCAAACACATACATAAATATATAAACCACGTGTCTGAAATAGTACAGGAGAACAATCCTGAAGCCATTTGACTCTCCCAAATTGACCTCAAATATTTCTCTGCAAGGAGGAAGGAAATGGGAAAAGCTTTCCAATTGTCTTTGGACTGTAGGGGCTTACACCTCCCTTTTCAAATACAGTCTGGCAAGTATCTGTTAAGCTGGGAAAGCTATGAATATGCGTAAGAGATTCAGGAACTAAAGCATTTACCATCTCAAAGGAATGGCCGGGCTACCCAGAAAAGGCAATCAGATAAGGCATTATCAGGTATCCTGGCAGACAGGAGAGAAGCAAAACAGTAATAAACCTGCAGGCACCCAATTTGCAGAAACTCGCAGCAAACATTGCTCTGAATGCATTTGTTGTTGTGTTTAGTTGTGTCCGACTCTTCGTGACCCCATGGAGCAGAGCACGCCAGGCACTCCTGTCTTCCACTGCCTCCCGCAGTTTCGTCAAACTCATGCTGGTAGCTTCGAGAACACTGTCCCACCATCTCGTCCTCTGTTGTCCCCTTCTCCTTGTGCCCTCCATCTTATCAGGGTCTTTTCCAGGGAGTCTTCTCTTCTCATGAGGTGGCCAAAGTATTGGAGTCTCAGCTTCAGGATCTGTCCTTCCAGTGAGCACTTAGGGCTGATTTCCTTAAGAATGGAGAGGTTTGATCTTCTTGCAGTCCATGAGACTCTCAAGAGTCTCCTCCAGCACCATAATTCAAAAGCATCAATTCTTCGGCGATCAGCCTTCTTTATGGTCCAGCTCTCACTTCCATACATCACTACTGGGAAAACCATAGCTTTTACTATACGGACCTTTGTTGGCAAGGTGATGTCTCTACTTTTTAAGATGCTGTCTAGGATTGTCATTCCCCTTCATGGATCACTGCCTTGCCGTGGCGAAGGGGCTTGAAGAACTCAGAGAAGCTATGAACTATGCCATGCAGTGCACCCAAGATGAACAGGTCATAGTGGAGAGTTTTGACCAAACGTGATCCACCTGGAGTAGGAACCGGCAAGCCACTCCAGCATCCCTGCCAAGAAAACTCCATGGACAAAGACAACAGGCATATAAAAGTTATGACGCTGGAAGATGAGCCCTCAGGTCGGAAGGTGTCCAACATGCTACTGGGGAAGAGCGGAGGACAAGTACAAGTAGATCCAGAGCTGATGAAGCGGCTGGGCCAAAGCCGAAAGGACGCTCAGTTGTGGATATGCATGGAAGCGAAAGGAAAGTCCAATGCTGTAAAGAAAAATATTGCATAGGAACCTGGAATGTAAGAACCATGAACCTGGGTAAGTTGGATGTGGTCAAAAATGAGATGGCAAGAATAAATATTGACATCCTGGGCATCAGTGAGCTAAAATGGACGGGAATGGGCGAATTCAGTTCGGATGACTATCATATCTACTACTGTGGGCAAGAAATCCGTAAAAGAAATGGAGTGGCCCTCATAGTCAACAAAAGAGTGGCGAAAGCTGTACTGGGATGCAGTCTCAAAAATGATAGAATGATCTCGATACGAATCCAAGGCAGACCTTTTAACATCACAGTAATCCAAGTTTATGCACCAACTACTGGTGCTGAAGAAACTGAAATTGACCAATTCTATGAAGACTTACAAGACCTTATAGAAGTGACACCAAAGAAGGATGTTCTTCTCATTATAGGGGATTGGAATGCTAAAGTAGGGAATCAAGAGATAAAAGGAACAACTGGCAAGTTTGGCCTTGGAGATCAAAATGAAGCAGGGCAAAGGCTAATAGAGTTCTGTCAAGAGAACAAGCTGGTCATCACAAACACGCTTTTCCAACAACACAAGAGACGACTCTACACATGGACATCACCAGATGGGCAACATCGAAATCAGATTGATTATATTCTCTGCAGCCAAAGATGGAGAAGCTCTATACAGTCAGCAAAAACAAGACCTGGAGCTGACTGTGGCTCAGATCATCAGCTTCTTATAGCAAAATTCAAGCTTAAACTGAAGAAAGTAGGAAAAACCACTGGGCCGGTAAGATACAATCTAAATCAAATCCCTTATGAATACACAGTGGAAGTGAGGAACAGGTTTAAGGATTTAGATTTGCTGGACAGAGTGCCTGAAGAACTATGGGTGGAGGCTCGCAACATTATACAGGAGGCAGCAACTAAAACCATCCCAATGGAAAAGAAATGCAAGAAAGCAAAGTGGCTGTCCAACGAGGCCTTACAAATAGCGGGGAGAGAAGGCAAGCAAAATGCAAGGGAGATAGTGAAAGATACAGGAAATTGAATGCAGATTTCCAAAGAATAGCAAGGAGAGACAAGAAGGCCTTCTTAAACGAGCAATGCAAAGAAATAGAGGAAAACAACAGAATGGGAAGAACCAGAGATCTGTTCAAGAAAATCGGAAATATGAAAGGAACATTTCGTACAAAGATTACCATAATAAAGGACAAAAGTGGTAAAGACCTAACTGAAGCAGAAGACATCAAGAAGAGGTGGCAAGAATACACAGAGGAATTATACCAGAAAGATATGGATGTCTCGTACACCCCAGGTAGTGGGGTTGCTGACCTTGAGCCAGACATCCTGGAGAGTGAAGTCAAATGGGCCTTAGAAAGCACTGCAAATAACAAGGCCAGTGGAAGTGATGGTATTCCAGCTGAACTATTTAAAATTTTAAAAGATGATGCTGTTAAGGTGCTACACTCAATATGCCAGCAAGTTTGGAAAACTCAGCAGTGGCCAGAGGATTGGAGAAGATCAGTCTACATCCCAATCCCAAAGAAAGGCAGTGCCAAAGAATGCTCAAACTACCGCACAATTTCACTCATTTCACATGCTAGCAAGGTTATGCTTAAAATTCTACAAGGAAGGCTCAAGCAGTATGTGGACCGAGAACTCCCAGAAGTGCAAGCTGGATTTAGAAGAGGCAGAGGAACCAGAGACCAAATTGCAAACATGCGTTGGATTATGGAGAAAGCTAGAGAGTTCCAGAAAGACATCTACTTCTGCTTCATTGACTATGCAAAAGCCTTTGACTGTGTCGACCACAGCAAACTATGGCAAGTTCTTAAAGAAATGGGAGTGCCTGATCACCTCATCTGTCTCCTGAGAAATCTCTATGTGGGACAAGAAGCTACAGTTAGAACTGGATATGGAACAACTGATTGGTTCAAAATTGGGAAAGGAGTACGGCAAGGCTGTATATTGTCTCCCTGCTTATTTAACTTATATGCAGAATTCATCATGCGAAAGGCTGGGCTGGATGAATCCCAAGCCGGAATTAAGATTGCTGGAAGAAATATCAACAACCTCAGATATGCAGATGACACAACCTTGATGGCAGAAAGTGAAGAGGAATTAAAGAAACTTTTAATGAGGGTGAAAGAGGAGAGTGCAAAATATGGTCTGAAGCTCAACATCAAAAAAACGAAGATCATGGCCACTGGGCCCATCACCTCCTGGCAAATAGAAGGGGAAGAAATGGAGGCAGTGAGAGATTTTACTTTCTTGGGCTCCATGATCACTGCAGATGGTGACAGCAGTCACGAAATTAAAAGACGCCTGCTCCTTGGGAGAAAGGCAATGGCAAACCTAGACAACATCTTAAAAGCAGAGACATCACCTTGCCAACAAAGGTCCGTATGGTAAAGGCCATGGTTTTCCCAGTAGTGATGTATGGAAGTGAGAGCTGGACCATAAAGAAGGCTGATCGCCGAAGAATTGATGCTTTTGAATTATGGTGCTGGAGGAGACTCTTGAGAGTCCCATGGACTGCAAGAAGATCAAACCTCTCCATTCTGAAGGAAATCAGCCCTGAGTGCTCACTGGAAGGACAGATCCTGAAGCTGAGGCTCCAATACTTTGGCCACCTCATGAGAAGAGAAGACTCCCTGGAAAAGACCCTGATGTTGGGAAAGATGGAGGGCACAAGGAGAAGGGGACGACAGAGAATGAGATGGTTGGATGGTGTTCTTGAAGCTACCAGCATGAGTTTGATCAAACTGCGGGAGGCAGTGGAGGACAGAAGTGCCTGGCGTGCTCTGGTCCATGGGGTCACGAAGAGTCGGACACGACTAAACGACTAAACAACAACAACAAAGGATTGTCATTGCTTTTCTCCCAAGAAGCAGGCATCTTTTAATTTCGTGACTGCTGTCACCATCACCATGGAGCCCAAGAAAGTAAAATCTCTCACTGCCTCTTCTCTGAATGCATACCCTCCAACATTTCTCTGGGCAGCTTCTAACATATATAACAAACATAATAAAACAAACATTTTTTTAAAAAAAACCTTCCATATACAGGGCTGCCTTCAGATGGCTTGGGGGGGGTCAGATAACTCCATACCATCCAACATTTCCTCTGATGAAAATAGAGATATCCTAAGAGAAAGCGAGACATTCCAGGATCAAATCAGAAACTGGGATGTCTTCTGTAAATCTGGGACTGTCGCTGAAAAATAGAGGCACTTCGAACGGTCTTGAGAATGTCAGAACAAAAGATGTAATGACAACAGCAGCAACAACAGCAAATTCATTCTTGTATATTGTTGTACTGCACCATTTTGCAACGCAATGTCACAGAATTGTAGAGTTTCAAGGAAGCTTGAGGGTCCAACCCCCTGCAGTGCAAGACTCCATGACAGCTGGCCATCCAATCTCCACTTAAAAACCTCCAATGAATGAGAACCCACAGCCTCCCCAGGGAGTCCATTCCAACGTCAAACTCCGAATGCGCACACACAAGCCAGGCTTCCTAGGTGCTTGGAGCGGCTTTTAAAGGCAGCCGACGGACCAGCTTCTCACACTGCGTGTGTTTCAACAAGAACTTCCATGCTGTTCCTTCTTGAAAACGCTCGCTGATTTGGAAATGAAATGGAACAGCCTTAATGACAAACACATGCAAAAGTGCCACGAACTGGAACGAGACGGATCCGCCTGGTCCTCCATTTGTTTCCGTTCTGGTGGTGGCTGCACTGGACCTTTTCATTCGGGGGGGGGGGAGTCTTTTTCATCCCAGGGGCCACATTCTCTTCTGGAAAACCTTCTGAGAGTCACATGACAGTGATGGCTGCACCCAGAGGCCAAAGTGGGCAGAGCCGTAATTATAAGTTTCGTGCAGTAGGCTAGTTTCTGCAAACAGACACCTACATCTCCCCACACCCTTCTCTCTCTCCTCCATCCAAGCAAGGAAGAAGCATCTATGGGTGGCCATCTGCTGAGATCCGTGCATTGCAGAGGGTTGGACTAGATGACCTTTGGGGGTCTCAATTCCATGATTCTATGATTCATTGAAATATGAATAAAGCTAGGAACAAATTCAAAGGCCTTGTGACTATATCAATTAACACAGGGATGAGGCAGCTCAGGCCTGGGGGCCAAGTGTGGCCCTCTGTGTCTCTGTATTTGGGGCATGGAACTCTTCCCAAGCTATGCTTCCTCTCCCCAGACCACACTCCTCACCAACCTTGCTTTGTCCCGAGTGTTCTTGCCTGGCTGGAATGTGTCCTCAAACTCTTAGATAAAATTGCAGAGTCGGAAGTGTGATAAGAATTTTAAGGTCTTAGATATATGTTAAATGTTCATAAGTGTACCAACCAAGCACGTACATAGATCAGCACAGTAAGACCGACCTGAAACCATTTTTGATTCCCAAACTGACCAAATGTTTTCTCTGCGAGGTCAAAGGAAAATGGAAAAGCCTGCCCATTGTCTTTTCCTTCACAAATCCTGTCTTAAGGGTATGTCTGTCTGTGTTTGAATAGGGTGAGCCTGTGACCTGGCTCAGGAACTAAGTATTTCTCATTACAAAAGACTGGCCAGGCTCCCCAGGGTATCCAGTCAAGTGAGCATTAACAGATAACCTGTCAGACGAGATAAACAACGCACTCAGATTTCTGCTGTAGACCGCCTCCTCCTTTCTTGTGTGTGAGGGGAGCACCCTGTTGCAACAGATCAATAAAGATCAGGATTACTAGCTGCCTTACTTCTCAATATTCTCTGGCTGGCCTCTGTTATTTTCTCCTACCAATAGGGAACGTACGTAAGGACTCTATATGGGCTCTTGGATACCCCATAAGGGAAAAAAGGGTAGATTTTTGTTTACAACAGAAGGCACCCAAGGGCCATCTAGTTCAACCCCCCTGCAATGCAGAAATCTCAGCTAAAGCATCCATGACAGGTGGCCATCCATCTAGAAGGGGGAGTTGCAGTAAAGGTATTCTATTGGCTTACTTTGAACGCTCTACATCAGAGGTAGTCAATGCACTGCCCTTCAGATGCTGCAGGACCAAAAGTCACATCAACCTTGACTGCTGGTCAACCCTGGAGAGGCTGATGGAAATTAGAGTCTGTTGTAAACAAAAATCTGCCCCTTTTTCCCTTCTGGGGTATCCAAGAGCCCATATAGAGTCCTTACGTAGGTTCCCTATTGGTAGGAGAAAATAACAGAGGCCAACCAGAGAATATTGAGAAGCAAAGCAGCTAGTAAGCCTGATCTTTATTGATCTGTTGCAACAGGGTGCTCCCCTCACAGGAAAGGAGGAAGAACCCAGAACAAAGGTGTGTCTGCCCTTACATAGAAATTTTAAATACATCACAGAAGGGGTGTAACCCAAGACCACCCCCCACAAACATCATACCTACATCACAGAAAAGGCAATGTAAAACAGAAATATGAATGTTGTTTCTTCTGTCTGCCAGGTTATCTGATAATGCCTTATCTGATTGCCTTTCCTGATTGTCACCCATTGAAAAGCTGATTACTCAATTCCTGAGACAATGGGAAGGTTCCCTGACCAGCTCCCTGACCCCACTCCCTCCTTGCAGAGAAAACATTTGGTCAGTTTGGGAATAAAAAACAGTTTCAGGTTGATCTTCCTGTGCTGATCTATGTACATTCTTGGTTGGTACATTTATGAACATTTATTATATATCTAAGACCTTAAAATTCTTACCACAAGTCCCTCAGCACTTGGTTATCTCTTGATACTGTAGACTTGGAACAGGTTCAGAAAAGGGAGCAACTTCTCTATAAGGACAGATTCAACCTCTGTCAAGGAAAGAGAGTCTCCCACCTCCATTCCACTGTAGAGCAGCTCTTACTATCACAAAGTTCTTCCTGATATTTATTCGGAATCTCCTTCCTTGTAACTTGAAGCCATGGGTTCGAGTCCTACCTTCCAGAGCAGGAGAAGGCAACCTTGTTCCCTCTTCCATGGGATAGCCCTTGAGATATCTGAAGATGGCTAAGATGCTGCTTGCTTTTGGGGAGATGTTTAAGTATTACGATTCTAGTAGTTTACAGACTATTCACTGCTTTGAATAGAAAAAAGAAAAGTGTGCTAATTTTAAGTGTGCTCTATTTCTTTAGATGGCAAGGCTGTATGCACTCAGGTAATCCCCCCAAATTCTGTTGGAAGTGGTAAAGGCCTGCAAAGTATCAAAGAAGAAGGGGGAACCAACGCCTTTCCATGAGGTGTTCCTGAAAAGTCAACAGAACCAACATTTGACTGTGGTTTGTGGCTCATTGATTTATGTGCATGGAGAAGCTCAACAAGATAGCTCAGTTGGTAGAGCATGGGACGCTTAATCTCAGGGTTGTGGGTCCGAGCCCCACGTTAGGCAAAAGATTCCTGCATTGCAGCGGGTTGGACTGGATGACCCTTGTGGTCCCTTCCAATCTACAGTTCTACGATTCGCCTGAAGTATTCAGCAAAGCCAAATGTAAGCAGGTTTGGGATTTAAATCCCAGAATTCAGGGGAATCATGCCATATCTTGCCACAAACGAGCAGCATGCATGCACATATACTTGCTATCGTATCTTGCGGCCTTTTGCTCTGCCGCCATAACATGCTGGCAGATCGCACCAAACTCCTGCATTTCTAGTGTGTGTTCAGCAATATTTGCTCTGGTTCCAATCTGAGCTTCGGGTGGGACAAAAAGGCTGAGCCATTGTGCTTCCTTTGAGATGATGATCCTGAGGTTTGTTTGCTTCTGGCATTTTATCAAAGAAGTTGATCTCCTGTTTCTTCCCCCCACCCGCTGCACTTCCCCAAAGGGGGAATCACTGGAGGAGGGCCGGAACAAAACTTGAACAAACCAGTTTTCTACCAAATGCTAAGCAACATTTCTCGCTTATGAGTATCTTGGATGCAGAACCAACACACCCTGACCTAGACTTGCAATAATATTCCAAGCGAATGCATATGCCTGACTGCCGGCTCCCAGTGTTAATTGAACATGAATATTCCACAGCCGTAGGTTTTTAAGTCCTCAAAGTGTTAAAAAACTGCAGGAGGCACAAAATGAAGGCAATCCCTTGCATAGTTTCCTAGGAGTTAGCCCCATTCACCACAGAATCATAAAATTGGAAGGTACCCCCTGCAGTGGAGGGGAGCTTTCCCTGGGTGAGCTCGAACCACCAACCTTCTGGTTAACAGCCAGACGCACTGCCCCATTGTGCAACAAGAGGAATTAGCATAATGGGCCTTGCTTCAGAAAAAACACATGCATAGGATTGGTGGGAAGCTGTTATTAGACAGGCTTAAAAAGGGGATTAACCAACATTACAGAGGACCCACCCATCAGGGTAGGATCTTCACACAATCCTGCTCACGTTGCAATCCTTCCCATCTCTGCTCAATGTCCCGTTGAGATCAGTGGGGCATACTGATCCTACCTAAGGTAAAGGTAAAGGATCCTACCTAAGGTAAAGGTAAAGGACTCCTGGATGGTTAAGACCAGTCAAAAGCAACTATGGGGTTGCAGCGGTCATCTTGATTTCAGGCTGAGGGAGCTGGCGTTTGTCTGCAGACAGCTTTCTGGGTCATGTGGCCAGCATGACTAAACCACTTCTGGTGCAACAAAACACCGTTACGGAAACCAGAGCGCACAGAAACGCCATTTACCTTCCTGCCGCAGCGGTGCCTATTTATCTACTTGCACTGGCACGCTTTCGAACTGCTAGGTTGGCAGGAGCTGGGACAGAGCAACGGGATCTCACTCCATCACAGGGATTTGAACCACTGACCTTCTGATCTGCAAGCCGAAGAGGCTCAGTGATTTAGACTACAGCGCCAGTCACATCTTAGGTTAGGTGTGCATAGGATCACAGCTCAATTTACAGGTGCTATCAACAACAACTAGTGAACCTGTCCCAGTGGCTTCAACAGGATTTCATCATGGCTGAGCTGGATCCCAGCTAGAATGTGTGTTTTTGCACTGTCCTGGCCCCAGTTGTGCGATGGTAAGGAAAGTCTGAAACACACATATTGCCAATCTATATGCTGATTGCGGCCACACCCCAAAAACTTGGGCGCTCCACCATCGCAGGCCCGCAGGTGTGTGATCCTTGCATCGCGCCAGGCAATGTGACGATGACTCATGCACGCACACACACCTGCACACGTGGCCACAACAGGTATGCAAATCTGGCAAGAGACTGTGTGATTAGGCTGTGATCCTGAATCCTGAGTCCACTGGTGCTAAAATAGCAGGGTTGCAATAAATTTGGTGGATCAGCCCAAAAAAGGATGTCTAAAGGATGCCATCGGTGGCAAGATATTTAACTATGGCCCTTGCATTGTGTGCTTGTGTGTGTTCTTGGCTACGTGTGTGTTTGGTGAGTACCGTGACTCATTGCCCTGAGGCCAGATTGGAAATGAATCTCAGGAAGAGAGATGTTTTGTTATGTGCGCTTTCGTTCCCAATGCATTTGCAGCCACAGGGAAACTTCTGTGCGCTCGCTCTCTCTCTCTCTCTCTCTTTTTCTCCACCCCTGGATCCACATTGGTGCTTGCAAATGTAGGCTTAGAGACAGAGTTCGTATTGAAATCCACCCGCCCCAGTCTTCTCCCTCCATGCCTGAGGGTGAGTCACAGACTCGGCAAAAGGCATGGAGAGTTGCTCCAGCCCTGAATGAAGCAGTCCAGCTGTTGCCTTCCTGTAGGGGTGGAGTAGGGGGGTCGGAGCTGGATATCACAGGCTGTCTGAGCTGCAATTGCACCACTGAGCTTGGAGTGGGGCAGGCCAGGAGTACTCCTGGCGGAGACTACGAGGCAGCTCTCTTCCTAACCTGATGGGAGGAACTCCCTGCTCAGCCTGACTTCTGAGATTCAGCAACAACACGTTTGTTTTGCTGAAGTTCTGCGTGCCTCACTTTGCAGAGGGCTGCTTGGAGGAGCTGATCCCGCACTTGCACGCTTTATCTGTTTGAACTACAGAGCCATTTCTGAGAACTTTTGTTTCTTTGTTTTGGTAAGTCTTTTTTCTTCCCACCTTCTTCCTCCTGTTTTGTTGGGGTATGTGGGCTTGCAGCACCAGACTGCAAACCCAGACATGAGCTTTTTGGTTCGGGGATAGTTAACTGTCTTGCATGCACTGCGATTTAAAGAGAGAGCGTAAAGATTGCATGTCAAGCTGGACAGTGCTCCAGGGATGTGATGAGGAAAAGGTGCGGAGAGTATGTTGTGCACCCACCATCAAGTCTTGCTGTGTTGCAGAAGTAAAAAACCCAGAAATGAACACATCAGAGGTTGTGGAATTGGGCTTTTGGGTAACTTTGAGGTGAGGGGCTTTTGATCAAAAGTATAGCAAACAGTGATGACTGAACAGATTGCTTTATGAGTTCAGAGATAAGGGACAACTCTTACAGGTGAATGAGATCTGTATCAGTAAGGTATGCAGTTAAAAGTTTTCTGCTCAAACCTGTGCATGTTAGATTCAGAAGCAGAGTCCCATCAACTTCAGTCAATTTTCTTCCAGGGGCGTGTTCACAGGGTTGTATACTGGCAGTAAAGTCTTGTGTGTATCAGGAGAGCATAGTGGCTCAGTGTGGAAGGTGAGCTCCAATGCCTTTGGTTCAGTTTTTACATATAAAGGTGAATCTATCAAAATCCAAAACAGTGGGAACCAAAGCACCTTCAAAATCTGCATTTACCTTAATTTTCTGAGGCAGTTCTCCAACCAAATAAGGTTTGCAAAAAATGCATATATTTAAGGAAAGTGTGCCTATATAAGAATGCATTGGTGGAAGCAGCATACAAAAATGGATTATATTAGGAGAAATTGCTTGTAAAAAATGGATTATATTAGGAGAAATTGCTTGTAGACAAAGTTGCATATATCAGGAGAAAGTCATACTAAAATGCTGGATAATTTGCAAGATGATTGGTGGAGTGGGGGTGGGGAGGATTGCAAATTGCAGCACATATGCAGAGAACCAAATTTAAGATTTGGGAAAATGAGAAACTGAGAGGATGGGAATTGGCAAATCCTTTGATCCCTAGTCTCCATATGCACAGAGCAAATAGGGCACGGTCAGCACACATACACCCTAAAATATTTGAGAATGAGCAGGAGTGGTCTTGCTTGTCAATGGCTGGGGGTGAGGGGCCTGCTGCAGACTTAGCCCCACCCACTCGCTCAGCAGGGTCTACAAGTTGCACCATGCAAATGAGTAGTTGTCATTCAGCCATTCTGACCACTGCCTTTTGAGACCATGCGTGGAAGGCAAAACAGGCACTGCACTTCTGATGTGGGAGAGGAAGGCGTGTCCTTCTGTGTCTAGAACACTGCTGCCTTGCAGCGAGTCAGTTTGGGGCTGTTTTACACTGAGTGACAGTAGTAGTAGAGTTTCAGACAGCCATCGTTCCCTGTCCTACCTGGAGATGCCAGGACTCGAACTCGGGACTTCCTTTGAGCAAAGTGCTCCCACTGAGCTTTGGGTCCTTCCACAAGGACATGCTGCCTGTACAGTTCCTTACAATAACCAAGCCTTCCCTACACACCCAGTTAGCTTTCAATGGGAGGGGGTAACATTGCAGCCTTCCTTTATAGAGTTGTCACAAGCACGGACTCCCCAAAGGTTTCCTACTGCCCTGAACATGCCCGATCTTGTCCAATCTCAGAAGCTAAGCAGGGTCAAGCCTGGTTAGTACGTGGATGGGACCCTGTCTGGGAATACTGGGTGCCATAGGCTTAGAAGCCTGGATAGCTCAGTTGGTTAGAGTCTGGTGCTGATAATGCCAAGGTTGCAGGTTCGATCCCTGTATGGGACAGCTGCGCATCCCTGCACTGCAGGGGGTTGGACTAGATGATCCACAGGGTCCCTTCCAACTCTACATTTCTATTATTTCTATAAGATCAGGCGTGGTTGGCTTCTATTCTGTTCTTCTGTTCTCTGCATCAATCTGTAGGGAAATTAAATGACCATTGCATCTCCTTGCAGGCCCCCTTTTAAAAAGAAAGTGGGGAAACTATGGAAAATACATGCAAAAGAAATGTTAGATTTGTGGGGCTGGTCCATTCAAAATTAAACATTTGTGTGGCCTCATCCTATGCATGTTGGCTCACAAGTGAGTTCCATTCAGTTAACTGGGATGTGTTCCCTAGTAAATGTCCTTAGAACTGCAGACTTACAAAGTCCCTGCTGTCCCCAAAGTCAGTAAGGCGGGTGTTTGTACTTTTTGGTGCGCTGTGGATTTACTGCCTAAACCATGTTTTGATTTCAGTGCTTCGTTTTTCTTTTTGCACGTTCCTCTGAATACTTTTCTAGAAACGCAAGATAAAAAGAAGCAAACAGATATAACCTCCAGAATTTGCAGATGCTAGAGATAGGGCCTTCTCCGTGGTGGTCTCTCATCTGTGGGAGTCCTTCCCAGTGGGTCCCAGTGGGCAAACAGTTGGCCCTTCAGTTCTGGATTTTAAGTGGGCTTTGCAGCAATTGTTTCAAACTGCTTTTAGCTGCCTTGTCTTCTGGCGAATCACTTGGACGAGTTTTGACTTATCCCAGGGGCTCTCCTGCAGCTGGTTTCAAGTGTGTTCTCAATCGTAATGTTACAGGTCGCTTGGCTGGACTTCCCTAGCTACTGTTTCAAATTATGGCCCTTTGGTTGATATTGTGCTTGTGTATGTTTTATAGCTGAATAGTTTTATGTAAGCCACCTTAAGAGGGCTTTTTGGCCCGGAAAGGTGGCTTAGAGATACTTAAGATTAAATAACTAGAGGACTCTTGCAGAGTTTCTGTCGCTGTTTGTACTGGAGGAAGAGAGTCATTTGGCTCGGCTCGAGGGGAGTTGTATATTTGGCTATATATTTGTATATTGGCTGAGGTGTATATTTGTTTAACAGAAGGGGGTGAAACGCAGGATTGAAGGCTCTGCTCTGAGCCAGCTTGGGAGGTTTCAAAGCCTTTGGAAGCCAGATTTGACCCCAGGGCTTCCAGGTGCCTATCAGTATTGCAGATTCCATCAGAGCATGAAACAACAACTTCTGGTTTCCATGTAGGAATGGCAGGCCAGACAAACCCAGCCTAGCCTGCTCCTGTGCAGCTGGAGCTACAGCCATGAGTTAGCCAAGAGAAGCTCTTATTTTAACCTCTTCCTTGCTGCACTTTAGGTGACTAGTGAAAGGACAGCTGCAGGGGCCAGTCTGCAAGTTCATAAAAGCATAGAGTTGGGAGCAGGGATGGGCTCAGTGCACATTTAGAGTCGAAACTATTAAACGCACTCTCTCAGAAGCAACACACAAACTGAAACTGAAATTCGCACCTGTCTGAATTTTTCAATGCCGGTTTCCAACCGATGTGTACAGAAATGCATACGTTAGGAGAAAGTGTGCATTAAACTGAAACTGTCAGTGAAATTCACATACAAAATGGCATTCTATCAGGGGGAATGGCTTGCAAAAATGTGTGCGCTGGTCAAAACCACGTGCAGAAATGTGTTTATTGTGATAAAATTACACTAAAACACTGATGGATGCTTATGATGGTTTTTTTTCTTAAAAAAACATGAATTACTGCAGAAATGTGAAATACTGAATATAAGGCTGGAAAAACGAGCAATTGAGAGAAGTGAAATCAGCAAATCCTTCCATTCGTGGTTGGAAGGGATTTAGGGGGTGCGCTAGTCCTGGCATGGGGAACCTCAGGCCCAGGGTCCAAATGTGGCCCTCTGAAACACTCTGTCTGGCCCTTAGAACTCTCCCTGCAGACCACACCCCTCACTGGACCTGCTCTGCTTCCCAAATCTTTTTGCCCGGTTGGAACATGGCCCTGAACTCGCCCCTTGTTTGGATGGAGGATAGAGGGGGCCGTGCAGAAACTAGCCTGCTAAAGTTCCCCAAACCTCAGTTAGGTTAACTTTTGGTCTGGCTGTCATGTCCTCAGATTTGGGTCTTCAAATATGGGTCTGCCCTGAGCAAGTTGCATACAAAGATGGGGTAGGATTTACAGCACAGAAAAGGCTGCGTTGGTGGGGGATCCAAACCTGGGATCTAGATGTGCTTCTTCTCCCCACGCAAACCAAGGTTTGCTCTTGGCTCGCTGCTCTGAGCCTCTCAGCTGCTGTACTCCATGTCCTCCTTCACTGCCTTTGACCAGGATGTGTGCTTGAAATGCCTCTTGCTTACATGGACAATGGATGGAGAGATGCAAGAGGGCTCCGGGTGGAAACCTCTGAAATGTAGCCTACTGTACAAAGGTAAGAGTCACACCTGGCACCCCACCCTGCTTTTGCCTCTAGCCCTGTCCGCCACTGGCATGTGGCCCCTGGAAGCTTGCCAGGGAGGCAATGTGGCCCCCAAGTTGAGAAAGTTCCCCCACCCCTGTTCTGGGGCACCCACAGCTCACAATTGGTGCTGCTCAGGCAGGTGGCGGAATCCTATCTGGCTCAGCTCTGAAGCTGCAAGCCCTGGCGGAGGAAGAGAGTCGGGGAGAGTGCACTGCCCCCGGCAGCGCGATCCCGGTGGGGTACCATCACGGCTGCCCCCTGCCCACGCTGGGTGCCATGCCCTTGTGGGAGGCGCGCCATGCCTCCAGGACGCACGCCACGCCCCCAGGACACATGTGAAGCTCCGCCACTGGCTGCAAGCTCCCCTGGAGTCTCCTTCCTGGTCAGTTCACCAAACATGTGTTTTACCCTCTCCAGCAATCTCTAGCTGAGCAGGCAGCTAGCAGACTGTCAGGATCAGTCAGACATCTGGCCAGCAGAACCCTGGCACAAGGCGGAAGTCTGGTATTGGAGCTCTGATCAAGCAAAGCTGTTTCGCGGCTATAGAGGACACTCCTTTTAAAAGAAATCATAGACCACAGAATTGTAAGGTTGGAAGGGAACACGAGAGTCATCTGGTCCTGCAATGCAGGAAACTTTTGCCCAAAATAGGGTTCGAACCCATGACCATGAGACTAAGAGTCTCATGTTCTACCGACTGAGCTATTCAAGATGGATGGGTCTGGAACCCTGAAGGGTGCAGCCCCGTGGGCAAAAATCTCCACCTGGGGTCCACAGGAGAGGATTCTGTTCATTTCTGAAGGCAAGTGGATTTCCATAATTGGAAGGGTTCTGAGGGTCATCTGGTCCAACCTCCTTGCAGTGCAGGAATCACAGCCAAGGGAGTCCTTAGCATATGCGCTGCTGGGGTGCAAAGATCCGCCCAGCGCCCCCAAGTCTGACAAGCGCCGCTGTTGTGAATGACAAGCGCGCCGTGTCTTTGGTAAATGAGCGCACAGTCGAAAGTCCTCTAGTGAAACGGTAGGTATACATTTTGTTTTTCTAGCTTGGTCAAAATGATTTATTATTTCGTAACAGGTAGATAATTAAGAGCTTAGGCGACTTCAGTGGCAGGCGCCTGGCGCCCCCCAGAATTCAGCGCCTAGGTGCCCCACACCCCTTGCACCCCCTGGTAAAGACGGCTCTGATCAAAGCTAATACAAGCAGAGCTTTCACCACTGTGGCTCTTTTTTATGGAATACCCACCTTGGGGAGCCTTCCAGGCTCTCATCTCTGCAAGGATTTAGAAGACCGAGATTTTGCAGTTATGGGCGGCTCCCAATGCGATGTCAGGCTGCCACCCACAGCTTATCATTCTGGTGGTTCTGTTTTGATGGGTGGGGCAGGAATGGTTGAGTGTAACAGATGGGAACCTCGGTGGATCTTTGCAAAACAGCTGCCAAGAGTTGGTAGGAAGGTATAGTTTTAAGTCGAGAAGCTGCAGGCACGTGGCGATGCATAACCCTTCCCCTGCCTGCCGCTTTCCTCCTCTGTCCCCTTCTCCCTGCTGCCTAATTTCCAGAGCAGAACAAATATGGTTAGTAATCTGGAAAGCAAGTCCTATAAGGAAAGATGGAAGCAACTGAGGATCTTCACTTTGGAGAAGGCTGAGAAAGGACAGGCTAACCCTCTTCAAATACCCAAAGGGCTGCTACATAGGTAAAGGTAAAGGGACCCCTGACCATTAGGTCTAGTCATGGCTGATTCTGGGGTTGCGGCGCTCATCTCGCTTTATTGGACGAGGGAGCCGGCGTACAGCTCCCGGGTCATGTGGCCAGCATGACTAAGCCGCTTCTGGCGAACCAGAGCAGCACACGGAAATGCCGTTTACCTTCCCACCGGAGCAGTACCTATTTATCTTCTTGCACTTTGACGTGCTTTCGAACTGCTAGGTTGGCAGGAGCAGGGACCGAGCAACGGGAGCTCACCCCGTCGCGAGGATTTGAACCACCGACCTTCTGATCAGCAAGTCCTAGGCTCTGTGGTTTAACCCACAGCGCCACCATAGAAGAGAGCAAAGACTTCTTACCTGCTTCCTGCCAAGGCAGGACTGGATCAGGGGCAGAGCTATCTGCTCCGGCACCCAGAGCGGCGCACATGCTGCGCACCTGGGGGCGGGGCTAGCTGCCGTGGGGGCGCCACCCACAGCGAGTGGTGAGCATCCCGGGGGGTGCCGCCCACAGTGAGCGGCCCAGGGGGCTGTGTGACGATGTCACTCCCCTCAGGGAGGACACCTGGGGTGGGCCACACCAACTACACCCCCTTCCTCCACCAGTGGACTGGATCTAAGGCCGTTTCAAGAAGGGTAATTTTGGTTGAACATTAGGAGACACCCCAATGTTTAATGGAAGAGCAGTTCACCCATGGAATCAACCTTGCAGTGGTGGGATCTCCCTTGCTGGAGGTCTTCTCTTTGGAATGCTCTGGGTTGGAATTCTGTGTATCAAGCAGTGGGCTAGACTCTATGGCCTTCAGGGACCCCTTCAACTCTAGGATTTCCCTGCAAAACAGCATGTCCAGAAACTTAGCTGCGGTGGGGCAGGGTTTCGCAGGGAGAAAGTGGCGGGTGGGGAAGGGTTAAGCACCCCATTCCGCTCACTGCTTCTCTGCTTCAAATCATGCCCTCCCCACTCTGCTTTTCAACTGTTCAGCAGAGAACCAGATTCTCTGCAAAATGTCTCATTCCATCCTTAATGGCCAGATTTTACTTGATTTTATCGTAGGCTGCTGTGGGAGGGAATCATGTGAGCTTGACTCTTTCATTCCCCACAAGCCCTATTTATCCTGGCATTCCCATTCAGCTGTATGTTAGTGCAGGTTTGGTAGTTGATACAGAGTAAGCCAGCTTCCTTTGATGTTTCTGTGTTTACCTCTTTTCTTTTCTTTTACTGTTTTTGGTATAGCACTTTCCTAAAGTAAACTCAGCCCTGTGGATGGGAGGCTTATATAAATCTTATTTGGGGCAAGTGTGTTAAAGATGATCTCAGCTGCTACTTAAAAGCAGTTCGCTGAAGATGGCTGCATTCCAGTCTGCAGTACAACTGTTTTTCATGCAAAATGCATCAAGGGTATATATTTTTTTCTCCCCAGTCTGGAAAGAGTGCTGGCAAAAGTTCTCTTTGGGGATATTCTTCTGGGCCCTGGTGATAGGGAATATTTTTAAGTTATAGCATTCATCATCTTGTTAGGTCAGTTTTTATTCCCAGCTATGAGGTCAGTGTGCCTTTAGTTATCTTTGGCCAGGTTTGCTGTTAATCACCATAATCAAGTCCAGCGATCAGAGGATGATACAGTGAAATATATTGAGGCCCGCTGATTGGAATTAGCATTCGGGGCAGAGCAGCTTATGATTCACGAAGTGTGATGCAGATCAGGAATTGTGGATATGTGAGAAAATAAGAAGAGCCTTGCTGAATCAAGCCAGCGCCCATCTATGCCAGCATCTTGCTATCACAGTTGCCAACCAAGTGTCCATTGAAACCCTGCAAGCAGGACCTGAGTGTCCATTCCTGGGTTTTCTGCAACTAGTATTCAGAAGCAACAGTGAAAATAGAACATAGCCACCTGGCTAAGTAGCCATTGGTAGTCCTCTCCTCCTTGAATTCGCCCATTCCTCTTTTAAAGCCATTCAAAAGCAAGCCTGATGAGGAACAGTTGAAGGAATTGGGTATGTTTAGCCTGGAAAATATTTATGGAAAAAAAATATGGAAAAGTGGGATAGATATAAGATATATGTTCAAAATGGTACATTTATGAACATTTACTATATATATATATATATATATATATATATATATGACCCTAATTTTTTTATTTCAGTTAGAACGTGGTGCTGATAACAGCAAGATTGCAGGTTCGATCCCCGCATGGGGCAGCTGCATATTCCTGCCTTGCAGAGGGTTGGACTAGATGATCCTCCGGGTCCCTTCCAACTCTACAGCTCTGTGATTCAACGACAGGATTTCCCAGTCTGTCAACAGGCATTCAGTAGAACCCTGGGGCAACACTGCAAGAACAGCTATTCTCTCCCAGGCAAATATTAACTCTGCTTTGCTCTTGATGCGGTTCAATGGATGCTGTCTCCGCACCATTTAACTTGGTTGGTTTTTGGTAATGCCTTCATTGTTAACATGAAACACAGACAATAAGGCATGAGCCTCACGTTACTTTTAAAAGCATCATTTGACCTGCTTAGAGTGGATTCACTCAAACAAGGAAGCAGCGTCTGTATGAAATTCAACCCATCAGGGAAGGCCATAGCCCAGTCGGTGTATGCAGAAGGCCTCCGGTTTGCCATGGCTTTCTCCCATAGAAACCTGGGACGTGTACTTTGTTAAAGGTGCCAGGAACTATAGCATTTTGAGGGGTCTCCTAACAACTTCCAGCACCCTTAAGAAGCTGGGGTTCCCAGGATTATTTGGGGGATGCCATTACTGTTAAAGTGGTATAAGAGTGCTTTAAATGTATGGTGCAGATGGGACCAAACATTGGGGAGAAGGGGGGATGAAGTTTCTGCCTGTGATGAACAACAGCTGATGGACTACAGCTCCCATCAACCCTGACCATTGGCCACACTGGCTGGGGCTGATGGGAGTTCCTGTCCAACAGTGTCTGCAGTTCCACAGGTTCCTCATACCTGCTGAATTCATATTCATGGAATTGGAGAGTTGGAAGGAACCCTAAGATCATCTTTCTACAGTTAAACCATGCTACATGATTGGGGTGTGCTAAGCTCATTGTGTGATGTCTACATGTGGCCTTTGTATATGTTAAGCCCAGTGTGCTTGAATTACTGAAGAAAAGGTGTGCAGGGGCGCGGTCCTTTAAGAAATCCCAAGAACATGGAAATGTAGCCTACCAGCATCTTCCCAGGCTAGTAACTTTTGAGTGTTATTTGCAAGGGTGTATAAGGCCAGTCCTTATGCCTTTCTATGCTAAAACTCATAGGCTAGAGATCATGGGGTTTGGGTGCCAGTGAAAATAAACGACGGCACTGTCTGCCACATAATACAGTTTTGAACAAGGACTTCTGAGAGATTAAAATCTATCACTGTGCTCCGAAAGAGATACCGTTTCCATGTGACTGCCAATATTTCCTGTTCCTAGCAGAAGAGCATTTCCTGTTTCTAATATCAGCCCAATGCAGAAGGCCCAGCGATACACAAAAAATAAGCCTGGCATTTTGGAAAGAAAGACAAGGTTGGAATGTGTGTTGTTCCCTGTAGTACAGGAAAAAGATGGTCAGTGTATTATTTTAATAGAACTGTTTCCATTATTCCAGAGGAGCTAATTCTAGCCATTAAACTGAGCTCTTGATGAGATTTATGAACCCTGGAATTATGCACGTAAACATCAACATTTCAGGCTTCCTTGAAAGCAAACAATTGTGTCATCATTGCGCAAGCAAATATGTGTAATTACGGAACCTGTGCTTCAGGAATTCTTGAGGAATTCATTCTTTGCAAATTCCTAGACGGATCAGCCTGATCTGCAGCTCCAGAACTAATGAGTGCACTACATTCCTCCAGATATCGTGACAGATATCTGCTCAAAAACTGTCCCCTTTTTTATTTTAAAAATCTGCATTTTGGGATAAACTACAGCTAGAAATGCATAACATGAGAGAAAATATATATTTGCAAATGCATATTTTTGCGAGAAAATGTGTATCTAAATATAATTTCTGTGCTTTTTTATTTTTTAAAAATCCGCAAATTAATGCAGAAACAGAATGACACAGACTTATGAATGAGCACGTGCAAAGCTGTTACAATCTGGAATTAGTTTTAGCCATCCATTGCTATGTATAATTAGAGTACAATATGTGTGTTGAAAATTGCCTTCAGTCAGATCAGACTATGCTTCTCTTGCCAATTGCTGTCTATTTTGATTGGCAGAAGCATGCCAGAGCCTCAGGTGGGGGCCTTTCACATCCCTTTTATCTGATATCCTTTTAATGGCAAATACCAGGGAATGAATCTGGGACTTTGCACATTTAGCATAGTTACTCTGCCTCTGAGCTGCAAGTCTTCCTTCCTTCCTTCCTTCCTTCCTTCCTTCCTTCCTTCCTTCCTCCTTTTTCTTGTACCGCTGCTGGCAAGATCTGGCAGGAGGAGCTGTACAGCAAAAGTGTCAATACTGATACAGCCATACCTCGGGTTACAGACACTTCAGGTTGCGTGTTTTCGGGTTTCGCACCGCGCCAAACCCAGAAGTACCAGAACAGGTTACTTCCAGGTTTCGGCGCATGTGCAGAAGTACTATATCGTGCTTTGCGCATGTGCAGAAGTGCCGAATCACAACCCGCGTGTGTGCAGACGCGGAGCTGTGGGTTGCGAATGCTGCGGGTTGCCAATGTGCCTCCCGCATGGATCACGTTCGCAACCCGAGCGTCCACTGTAATGTACTAGGGAACGAACAGCACTTTTAACTGTGTGGGAGCTGTGTAGAGCAGTGGTTTTCAACCAGTGTGCCGTGGCACCCTGGGGTGCCTTGGATGATGGTCAGGGATGCCACGGGCAACCCTGGCCTCTGTCCCTGTTTCCTTCCCTCCCTCCTCTGATGCCCTCTCACATCTCTGCCTGCCAAAGTCTTGCACAGCTGTTTACTGCAGCAGCCCTGGCTACAAGCTCCCCAGGCAAATGGAGCCTCTGGGGCTGGCTAAGGGGTGCTGGCTACCAGGAGGTGAGGCGGGCCTCAGAGTAAGCAAGCAAGCAGACAAGGGAGCCCAGCCAATCAATCCACCATCCCTTGCTGTCAGGAACAGACAGACAAGTCCCAGGCCCCTGTGGGGCAGTGTGAGGAGGCACAGTTCTTTGGGGCTGGGAGGCGGGGTGGGAAGCTCAGAGACTAGGGCTCTGAAGGAGAGGGGAGAGGAGAGGAGGCTGAGGGAACCCTCCACAAGGGAGGGTGTTTGAAAAAGGGTGAGGGGCTGCCAGCTCTGCAGGCAAGGGGTGACACAACTGGGTTCCTGAGCCCCACAGGAAGAACGTAGTTGGTCAAGGGAGCCGTGGACTCAAAAAGGTTGAAAACCTCTGGTGTAGAGACATCCAGTGTCGGAGGGAAGGAACCAAAGGAGCAGGCCCTCTCCTGGCATTGATAACGCAGGAGGGCTCAAACGCTTTAGGGGCCCTAGGGATGGAGTAGACATGTGATTCGGTTTGCATTTGAAAGCAAACATCCCTAATTCAAAACAAAACAAAATAATAAAATAAAATAAAATAATTCCTTCCAGTCGCACCTTAGAGACCAACTAAGTTAGTTACTGGTATGAGCTTTCGTGTGCATGCACACTTCTTCAGATACCTAATTCACAAATTCTGAAAGAAGATGCAAAACAAAACAAAAAACACCCTTTGAAATTTGCCCCCTCTCAGAGTTTTGCGGTGCAGTCCTCCAGCCAAGTAATGTGTACTAAGATGCATATACTAGTGTAAACTGTGCAAATAAATGCACATTTTAGTGAAAATAACATATCTGGTGCAAATATGCATTATATTTGGGGTAACTGCTTTGCAAAAAAATGTGTGACTTGGGCAAGATTGCATGGGGAAATGTTAGGAGAAATCTGTGCTAAAGTTAGCTGATGAATTTACACGAGGACTTCTTTTTTTAAAAAAACAAAACCTCACAAACTGATGTGGAAATGGGAAGAATTGAATGTAAGGTGGAAAAATGAGAAACTGGGTGATGGAAACACCTTAAATTGACAAATCAGCCCATCCCTAAGAGGTGTGCACAGGCAATTTGGGGGATGGAGCATGCACCTCTACACAGTTTGAATAATCGTATATTTCTTTTAAAAATGCCCGAGCGGGGCTTTTGTAAGCCTGAGGGGAGGGGGCCTGGTCTGATAAAGTGTGCAAAACTCTGAGTTAGGGAAGGGAACTATAAATGCCTTAATATATGTGAATATATTATATGGCTATAATTTATTTGCCAAATGCTGTTTACTACTTTTTGTAAGCTATTTAGCTCTCAGGCAAGGCATGATATTAGGTATGGGTCTACTGTACCTTTTAAGTATGCTGTGGCATAGCTGTCAACGTTTCCCTTTTTTTAAGGGAAATTCCCTTATTCCGAATAGGATTCCTCGCAAGAAAAGGGAAAGGTTGACAGCTATGTACTGTGGGAAAACCCACAAGGATTTACTTATTGTGCGTGATTGGCTGCAAACACGCTGTACATTTAAAGCTCCCCCCCCCCCAAAAAAAGAAGAAGAATGGGAACTGTAGTTTAAGGGTGCTGGAAATTGCAGTGCTGTGAGGGGGAAACTATGGCTCCCAGGATTCTTTGGGGGAATCGATGTGCCTTTAACGTGACTTAAGTGTATGGTGTGTGTGTTCAGCCTTTATTTGTTTCTAAAGAAAGAACTTCCTTCAGCTGCTGATTTGAAGGCTGGCAGCCGTCCTCTTCAGGGATTACTGGCCACACATAAGGGGATGTTTTGTGTTCCTGAGAGAGGCTTTGCCCTCCCATTGTTCCTTTCAGCCTCCTCACCTTGAGAATTCTGCTGAGCCTGATTCAGCAGAATCGCCCACTAATTCACATACCAGTCTGTCAGGTTCCACGGGAGAGGTCTCCTTCTCTACTGCTAGAAGCAAAGATCACAATAATGCAGGTGTGCCCAGTGACTGAGAGTTCAAATGTTGGCTGGTGAGGAAATGTTGTGATTCGGGGAGTATCTGGCTCTGAAGCTGCTGCCCCAATTCATACATTCAGTATTCACCATGCAAATGAGACTCATCACCATAGTCCAGGGGTGAGGAACCTTTTGTGGCCAGCAAGCCAGATCCTTATCTCCCCAACCAACCCCACGATGGGCCAAATTTGACATTACCTCGACACTTGGCATTACTATGACATCAGTGATGCTGCCCTTTGAAGCCCCGAATATTGGTTCTTCAAAGTGCAGCATGGGGCTGTTTGAAAGCCCTTTTGCAAGCAGCCTCGTGCGCTGTCCATACAGGCATCCGTACGGGCTGCCTCTCGCATGGCGGCCGTACGGGATGCTGTGCATGCGCACACCGTACGGGATGCTGCACATGTGCAGTCTGTAGGGACATCGCACGTGTGTCACCGGGCCATTCGCCCCGCTCCTTGGCGTCCTGCCCCAGGGGCCGGAGAGGGTTCCTCTGCCACTGCCTGAGAGGTGCCAGAACTGAGTTCCGGCTGACAAAACAAGCCCTGATAAAACATTTAGAAACATTTAGGGCTGCCTTCAGATGTTTCCCAAAGGTTGTATAGCTGCTTATCTACTTGGATTGGGGATCACATAACTCCATAGCCTCCAACATTTCTCCGATGAAAATAGGGACGTCCTAAAAAAAAGTGGGACATTTCAGGATCAAATCAGATATAGTGGTACCTCTGGTTATGTACTTAATTCGTTCCGGAGGTCTATTCTTAACCTGAAACTGTTCTTAACCTGAAGCACCATTTTAGCTAATGGGCCTCCCGCTGCTGCCTTGCGATTTCTGTTCTCATCCTGAAACAAAGTTCTTAACCTGAGGTACTATTACCCGAGGTACCACTGTACTGGGGTGGCTTTTGTAAATCTGGGACTGTCCCTGGAAAATAGAGACACTTGGAGTGTCAGCAGAGCCAGAGGCAAATGTGAGCAGAGCAGTCAATGTGAAGGTACCATAGACATAGCAATCCAAAGTACTTAAGATAAAATCCAACTGTTTATTCCTCTGGAAAGAACCTACATTCCCCAAGCCTAGGAAAGAACAAGGAAGTCTACAAGAGCCAGGTGTTACAGGCCTTGCCACAGAGCAGGGAAAGCAGGGAGAATGTGTTAGCAAACGGTTGGCAGATGACAAAATGCACACAGCAAAGAATCTTCTCCCCGGCTTGTGTTTTGATTTCTTTCGCTCTCGTCTCCTCCAAGAACTCAAGAGTAATTTCCAGTCATTGCAACTCCCTCCTGGCTGGGGTGGAGCTCTGGCTGTGCTCAACCAAGACGTCTCAGAGTGTAAATCATTCTCCTCTCCAAGCCTCTTTGCAGTGGCAAACTTCAGCTTCTGGAAGTAAGATGCCTTGCAGCCAGGAAGAGGCAAATGGCAGGCACAAAAATAGTAAGATGTCATGAAATAAAGACACCTTTATTTACGTTACCTAATCTGCTTGAATTGCAATGTTGAACTTGTTGCAGAATTGAAAGCCAGCATTGGGTGACGGCAGCTGAAAGACATGGAAATGCATGTACTGTATATGCTCAGTTACAGGTGTTGGTCTGCCGTAATTGAAACAAAATAAAAAAATTCCTTCCAGTAGCACCTTAGAGACCAACTAAGTTTGTATCTGAAGAAGTGTGCATGCACACGAAAGCTCATACCGATAACAAACTTAGTTGGTCTCTAAGGTGCTACTGGAAGGAATTTTTAAATTTTGTATATGCCCCCAAATATTCTCTTTGGGGGCTTCTGCCAGCTCAGGCGTTGCCAAACTTCTCAAACTTTATGAGTGTATTAAAGGCAGGGAATGCGAACCAGGTCTCAGGTTAAACTTCTGAAATCTCCAGGTAGGGTTGGGAATGTTCCTGGAGAGCAGTTGCCAGTCAGTGCAGACAGTCAGAAGCAGCTTGTCATGTTCATCTTAGGGGAGTCAATGTTTTTTCAGGCCTGCTCCAAAGTGAAGTCGGAGACCACTAGCCCTGGGTGAGAACAAGCCCCAAAGCCACATTTATGCCAACAGGGCTTCTGCTAGAAGCCCAGAAGATACTATGAGCCACCTGCTGCGAAGCTGAAATTACATCAAGCCACCTTCACAGCCTGTCAGTAAGGAGGTAATAAAACACCCACTGTCTGCATTTCCTTGTTCTTTTGACAACAGAACAGCTTCTGTGAAATATTATTCACCTGCGGCTGAAAAAGCTCCCAGCAGTGGAATTCCAACAGGCCCACAAAGCTTGCATTTCTGGCATTTCTTGATTTTTTTCATTTCTAAAAGCAGGTTGTACAAGTTTTTTTTAAAGAACACTTTCACTGCGGAAAAACAGGAAAGCATCAGGGAAACAGCCCTGTCCTGTTATTTATGGACTCGCCTTTCCCCCGGACTGTGCTTTAGCCCAACACCTGTTTGAGCGGCATTCATGAGATGGGAACAACTAGGAGTGTTGTCAGCGTAGAGTTAAGCTGCATGGAGTTCAATTTGTCCCAGGGCACAGGCTCCAAAGAATCTGTTCTCAGCACTAGGACTTCGCCCTGGGGTGTGTGAAGTGCTGAAAAAGACGAGCACCTCTGAGAGTAAAATGAATTGATAGTACTCGACCACAAGCAAACTCAATCTCCCTGAGATGCTAGTTTGCAGCTATGCGTTATTCTATTTTCCACAGAGGGAATCATTTATATTTGGAAAGAGTTGCAGCCTGACAGCAACATGCTGAACGGACCAAAAGTCTCAGGCTCAATCCCTGGTGAAGACTCTGAATCTCAGCGTTGTGGGTTCGAGTCCTGCCTTGGGCCAAAGATTCCTGCCTGGCAGGGGGTTGGACTAGATGATCCGTGAGGTCCCTTCCAACTCAACCATTGTAGGGGCTGGCGTCGCCCCGGGCGCAATCAAGGAACACACTCCTCCGCTGCCTTTAAATGCTTCTCCCTATTTTTTCTTTTGCTTCTCTATACCATGAATCCTTCGTGCTTTTCTAAAGAAAAGAGAGGGAGGAAGGCTTTTTAAAATGCCATTATCCAAGCTGACCTCAAAGCCAGGAGCCCTCCAAGGTCAAAATGCTGACAAAACACAGTCCTGATAAAAGCCCTGTCCTCAGGAGCATTGTAGATGCTGCAAACCTTTGGGAGGGGACAGAGGTTAATTTGTGAATAGAGGTTAGTGAGAAAACTGGGGACCAAGCAGCTAATGTCAACAAGGAGCTGTTGGTTTTTCCTGTGGATGAGACAATGCCTTTGGAAAGTTTTCTTTCAAAAACCGAAACTACAGTTAAAAACTGATCTCATGTTGCAGAATGTGTATCTAACGGGGAATGATTCCAGATGCAGAAATTGCTTAATCATGGTTTCTTAGATTTCACCGAATTAGGTCCTCGATCAGACATAGCCAGATGCTTTTTCTTTCTTTCTCGGAACTAGCAAACTTTTATTGTTTTCCTTGGATGTAGGATTGTTTAAAAGTAATATTTTCTGTATGCTGTAAAATGGTTTTAAGAACGTATGAATTCCGTGGCAGAATGACAACAAAGTCCATATAGTCCAATATTGGCTGATGTGAATTATAGGCCAAAACATTGCATTATAGAATTGTAGAGTTGGAAGGGACCCTAAGGGTCATCTAGTCCAACCCCTTGCAATGCAGGAATCTCAGCTGAAGCATCCATGACAGATGGCCATCCTTCTAGAACGGAAGGTTGCAATAAAGCAGTAAATTGGCTTCCTTTGAATACTCTACATCAGAGGTAGCAATGAGCCGCCCTTCAGATGCTACAGGACCAAATGTCACACCAACCTTGACGGCTGGTCAATCCAGCAGAGTTCGAGTCCCACAGCACTTGGTTATCTCATGATATTGTAGAGTGGGAAAAGGTTCAGAAAAAGGCAAGCCAACATGACCAAGTGGGTGGAGCAACTTGTCTACGAGGAAAGGTTGCAGTTTTTGGAACTTTCTGGTTTCGAGAAAAGGCAAGCGAGAAGGGGGCATGATAGACTTTGTAAAATCATTCATGACATGGACAAAGCGGATCGAGGAAGGATTTCTCTCATAACACTTGAAGATTCAAATGTTAGAAGATTTGAGACAGATGAAAGAACTTCTTCACGCAGTGTGGAACTGAACTGTGGAACTCACTTCCGCAAGAGGCAGTCGTGGTGGTCGTCAACACAAATGGCCCTAAAAGAGGACTGGACTGATTCATGGAGAATAAGACTGTCAATGGCTATTAGCCGTGATGACTATGCTGTGCCTCCAGGATTGGAGTCAACAAAGCTTCTTCTTTTTTATAATAATATTTTATTGATTTTCCACATTTTTAACATCCTCACAATATTCATTTTTCGTCTCTACTTTTTAGGTTCTTTTGAACCTTTGAACTTCCCTCCAGCCCCTTCATGGGTTCTTTCTTTATCCCATTATTAACGGCATCTTTTACGTTTTCTAAATCATTATGTCAATCATAAGTAGAATATAGTAGAATTTCACATTACAAGTATCTTCACATTCCTGCCAGTGTCTTTAAATTTTTACAGTGATCTTTTAAATATAAGTACAAATCTGTTCCAGTCCTTTTCAAATTCTTGGTCTTCCTGGTTTCGGACCTTTCCCGTCAGTTTCGCAATCTCCGCCTGGTCCATCAGTTTTGCTTGCCACTCCTCTTTCGTTGGCACTTCATCTTGCTTCCATTTCTGGGCTAGTAATACTCAGGAGGCAGCAAAGCTTCTGAAATCACAAGAGGAAAGAGCGCTCTTGTGCTCAGATTCTGCTTCAGGAAAGCTCTGGCAGGCTTCCAGAGAACGTTGACATTCCTGGGCACAGAATTTGACAGCCACGTTTCTCCTAGGTTCTCGAATTATTATAAATAAACCCCTCTTTACCTCTTTTTAAAAATCATAATTTAGTGGGCTGCCCCTTTCTTTTAAGGGACGTGGGTGGTGCTGTGGTCTAAACCACAGAGCCTAGGACTTGCCGATCAAAAGGTCGGCGGTTCGAATCCCCGCGACGGGGTGAGCTTCTGTTGCTCAGTCCCTGATCCTGCCAACCTAGCAGTTTGAGAGCACGTCAAAGTGCAAGTAGATAATTAGGTACCACTCCGGCGGGAAGGTAAACGCCGTTCCTGTGCGCTGCTCTGGTTCGCCAGAAGCTGCTTAGTCATGCTGGCCACATGACCCTCATTTCCCCTGATGAGCTGTACGCCGGCTCCCTCGGCCAATAAAGCGAGATGAGCACCGCAACCCCAGAGTCATCCGTGACTGGACCTAATGGTCAGGGGTCCCTTTACCGTTACCCTTTCTTTTGGTCATTAAAAATAATAATAAATGTTCTCCTCTGTTTCTGCATTCTTCTCCTTTCTTTTTTAATGCTCATAAAGATTTGGTGCCCCAAAGGGTGTTTCCTTTCCCAGGCCTCCTTATATTGTTTCCTCGGTTCCCATTTTTCAGCCCTCTGAGACACAACGTTGCTCATAAACATGCTTTCGGCTGGTGGATTCATGTGTGGTTCTCTATAGCAACAAACAAAACCGTGAGTCAGAAACTGGCATAGAGCTATAAACACGTTGTCCGTCCCCACCCCCCTCCCCAGACATTGCCCAGCGTTTTCTTAATTTCTGTGGCATGCTGCTGAGTCCTGCTGTAGAAAATGAAGTTGCCCCTGATATCTACTCTGAGTTCCTAACAGAAGTACACCCCTTTTTATTGGCCCTCCATCCCCAAGTGGAGGGGGAGGGGGAAGCTGAGCCTGCCGAATTTCATTCTGTCATGCAATTGTTAAAGTTCTCCAGAGCCCCCCATCAGAAAATTTGCAGACACCATGTCAGCAACATTTTAATTTTGTGTTGCACTTGAATGACTGAAAAACAGGTTCAGTTCTTCTTCCTCACCCCATCCCACCTCCTGCCCCCAACTCCTGGAAATTAGGAACAGAGGAGCCAGATGCAAAAGGGAACAGGATTCCTGCACCTTTAATAATTTACTTGCATGGCATCCAGCCAACCTAGGTAGGAAATTCACATAGGTACCTCCGGTTAGCCACTGGCCTGGTCCAGATGCAAAGTTCTAGATCCAACAGCTCACATGTTAGAGCACATCCTCCAAGTGTCCCTATTTTCCAGGGACATCCCTGATTTAAAGAAGCCACCCCACTTTCTGATTTGATCCCAAAATGTCCCACTTTTCCTTAGGATGTCCCTATTTTCACTGGAGAAACGTTGGAGGGTATGGAGTTATCCGACCCCCAAGCCATCTGAAGGCAGTCCTGTATAGGAAAGGGTTTTGGTTTTTTAAAAAAAAAAGTTTAATTTTTTAATGTTTTTATATATCGTATTTTTCGCTCTATAGGACGCACAGGACCATAGGAGGGGGAGAACAGGGGGGGGAAAATCTCCCCCTTTCTGCTCAGCGCCCCTTCAGCGAAGTGGCAGGAGAAACGGAGCCCCTTCCATTTCTCCTCCCGCTTTGCTGAAGGAGCGCTGCGCAGAGAGGGAAAACTGTGCAGCGCCTCTCCAGCGAAGCGAAGCCTGGAGAGCAAGAGGGAGCGGTGTGCACCGAGCCCTCTTGCTCTCCAGGCTTCAGGCGGCTATCAGCAAGCCTTCGGAGTGCAGCGAGAAAGCAATGTGAAGCCTCCGGAGCGCGGGGGGAGCGCTCCCTCTGCGCTTCGGAGGCTTCGCGTTGCTATCGCTGAAGCCAAGGAGCCTGCATTCGCCCCATTAGACGCACACACATTTCCCCTTAATTTTTGAAGGGGAAACAGTGCCTCTTATAGAGCGAAAAATACGGTATGTCAGAAGCTGCCCAGAGTGGCTGGGGCAAGCCAGTAAGATATGTGGGGTATAAATAGTAAAATTATCATTATGGAATGGGACGTCCCTATTTTCACTGGAGAAATGTTGGAGGGTATGTTAGAGAAGGAACAAAATCAGGCTTCAAGAGCTCTATCTTTTCCCCTTTCCTGTGCCCGCAGCAAAATCACAGTTTTGTGGTTTGGATGTTGCGAGGAAAGCATGATTTAATAGGTAGCAACTCAATGTTTGGCAGATAGAGATCTCTGTAGTAGCAATTTATCTCTGGAACTCTCTGCCACAAGGAAGTGCATGTGGTCATCATACTTCCTTCACTGGCAAAGAACCCCATGCAAAATGACTGCTGCCTGTAAATAGTTTTAATTGGATTTTGGATAAATGTGCAATTAATTGTGGCTGTTTTGAATTTTATTGTGTAATTATCTTCCTTAGTGTGTCAGGCAAACCACTATTCTGAGTCATGCTTTTTTAAAGAGCAGGGTAGGGGGCATTGGGGATGAATATATGCAACCAAGGGGGCAGCGGCTCCAAAAAGTTCAGAAACCACTGGTCTTGGGCAAATGTTAAATGTGTTTTCATCACTGATGAGATTATATCTCACAATCCCTAAATGTTCTTCTTGGTCACTTGAATATGATTAGTTCACTCTGGGCAACATGACTGACTGTTGTTGAACATTTCTGGAACATAAAGAAGGTTTTTTGTTTGTTTGTTTTCCTGCATCACATGCTTAAGCAAAAGCACTTCTGGCCCAGCTTGCTTAGGAACATGCCTCGGTAAATGTCAAAACTCGCTTTCAGACATTCTGCCAATGTTTTGTGTAAATACAGTAGCCAAAACTCAGAATTCAATCGCAGACTATGAATGAGATTCATAAACTAAAATAAGAGCATGTGAAGAGCTCTGCTGGATCAGGCCATGGTCCCATCTAATCCAGAAGCATCTTCTTCATCATTTTTTATATTTCATTTATGATTTTAAGTTTTATACATTTCAATAATTTTTTAATCATTTTAACATTTCAAAACTCGACTTCCTTCCCCCCCTTTCTACGGTTCCTTAAATTTATTTTTAATATTTTCTGCATTTCCAAATTAGCTTAATTTGCTCATTTATTCATCTTCTTTAAATATATGCTCTTTTAAAACGGCAGGTTATTACAATAAACCTGCCAGTGTTCTTATCTGTTTACAGTTTGTTTGTAAATAGTCTATAAACCATTTCCATTCTTTTATAAAAAGTTTGTTATCTTGATTTCTTATTTTTGGGGTAAGTTTCGCCATTTCTGCATATCCCATAAGTTTTTGTAACCATTCTTCTTTTGCTGGGACTTCTTGTTTCCCTTTTGGGGCAAGTAACATTCTTACTGCTGTAGTTGCATATATGAATAAATTTCTATACTGTTTGGGTAGTTCTGTCCCTATAATTCCCAAAAGGAAAGCTTCTGGGTTGTTGTTGTTTTTTTACAAACTTTATTTTTAAACATCTTTTTCAATTCATTATATACCATTTCCCAGTAAGCTTTAACCTTAGTACAAGACCGCCACATGTGATAAAAAGAACCTTCTTTCTCTTTACATTTCCAACACTTGTTTGGTTTGGATTTATACATTTTTGCCAATTTATTCAGTGTTAGGTACCATCGATATATCATTTTCATATAATTTTCTCTTAGACCGTAACATGCTGTAAATTTTATATCCATATTCCACAATCGTCCCCATGCCTCCATATCTATATTATGGCCAATATCTATTGCCCAGTGTATCATTGAGGATTTTACTTGCTCATCCTTTGTCTCCCATTCCAATAATATCTTATACATTTGAGACAACAATTTTACATTACATTCCAACAGGTCTCTCCCCAGTTGTGATATTTGTTCCCCCAACATCCTCTTCTTACAGTGGCCAGCCAGATGCAGCCAGATGCCTGCGGGAAGCCCACATTTAGGCCTGAGGGCAACAGCACTCTGCCCACCTGCAATTCCCAATGGTTACAAGTTTTAAATTCACAGTCTCGTTCTATTTGTTGCTCACTCTCACTCTTGCTCTCTCCGTTTCTCTCTCTTGTTGGGCACTCAAATGCCAACTCTTACAATACAAGAATACAGTGGTACCTTGGTTTACAAACTTAATCCATTTTGGAACTCCATTCTTAAACCAAAGCATTCTTAAACCAAGGCATGCTTTCCCATAGCTGCGGGGGAACACACTCAACAGGAAGCGGAATATGTTCTGTTTCCAAGGCAAAGTTCACAAACCAAAACACCTACTTCCAGGTTTGCAGCATTCTTAATCCAAGTTGTTCATAAACTAAGCTGTTCTTAAACCAAGGTACCACTGTATTTAAAAGCTATTGGCTTCCCTCATTCAGAGTAAACACTACTGCAGGGGTCAGCAACCTAAGGCCCATGGGCCACAAGTGGCCCATGGGGTTCGTTTAACCGGCCCCCGAGCCACCCCCGAACTGAGCCGCCCGCTCAGCGAGTCCCCGCATGCTGTGCTAAACCAACACAGCACAGTGCGGGGACTCGCTTCCACGATGCCAAAAATCGTGTCTGCGCAGACGCAGATGCCGGAAATTGCAGGCGGGCACACTCACACACACACACGATCCAGCCCACGGAGGGATCTCCACTGGAGTAAACCAGCCCAGGCAAGGTAAACCTTGCCGATCCCTGCACTACTGAGCTAAATAGTAAATGCCCTGCAACATTCTTGGGACGCTCCTTTTTCGATTTTGTGTGTACAAGAGTTCCGGATCAAAAGACGCTCATCTTCAGACTCTCGTGAGAGTGCCAGACCAGAAAAGGAGCATCTTCTGACCCAGCTCTCTGGTCCAGCAGACTTGCACCATAGCGAGCACAGGGATGAGAAATGGGACATTCCGGGATCCCATCAAAATTGCCTCACGGGTTCCAGGATGCCCCACTTAAAACGGCTCAGTTCAGGCACATAGAGCCAGTGTGGTGTAGTGGTTAAGAGTGGTGGACTCGCAATCTGGGGAACCGGGTTTGCGTCTCCGCTCCTCCACATGCAGCTGCTGGGTGACCTTGGGCTAGTCACACTTCTCTGAAGTCTCTCAGCACCACTCACCTCACAGAGTGTTTGTTTGTAGGGGAGGAAGGGAAAAGGAGAATGTTAGCCGCTTTGAGACTCCTTCGGGTAGTGATAAAGTGGGATATCAAATCCAAATCCAAACTCTTAAACCGGCTTCCTGCGCTCCAGTTAAAAACAGCAGCTTGGGAAAGCAAGCTGAACATCCTGGGCAAATAGAAAGGTCTTCACCTGTTGCTGAAAGAATAGCAAACGTGATGCCAGGCGAATTTCCTTGAGAAGGGCATTCCACGTGTGGAGCAACACAGACGAAAACACCTACTTCAGAAGTTGAGGAGGCTCAAACAAAGGCCTCTGATAATACTATTGAGGCAGGGTCAGTGGAGAGAAAATAACCTTCTAGCCACCTGGTTCCCAAACTATTTATTTTGCTAACAAGGCTTCCTCCACAACATTCAGACATGGGCCACATCCACACCACACATTTGAAGCACTGTACCACTTTAAACAATCATGGCTTCCCCCCAATAATTCTGACAGGTGTTTGTTTGTCAAGGGTGCAGAGAATTGTTAGAAGACTCCATCTCCCAGAATGCTTTGGGGAAAGCCATGGTTGTTTAAAGTAGCATCACAGGTGCTTTAAATGTATGATGTGAACATGGCCCTACATACACAGCCCTGAAGTAGTTCTAGGATGCCAACTTCTTGACTGGCACCTACTTCTGTATCTTTAAGGTAAAGGTAAAGGGACCCCTGACCATTAGGTCCAGTCGTGGGCGACTCTGGGGTTGCGGTGCTCATCTCGCTTTATTGGCCGAGGGAGCCGGCGTACAGCTCCCAGGTCATGTGGTCAGCATGACTAAGCCGCTTCTGGCAAACCAGAGCAGCACACGGAAACACTGTTTACCTTCCCGCCGGAGCGGTACCTATTTATCTACTTGCACTTTGACGTGCTTTCGAAGTGCTAGGTTGGCAGGAGCAGGGACTGAGCAACAGGAGCTCACCCCGTCATGGGGATTCGAACCGCCGACCTTCTGATCGTCAAGTCTTAGGCACTGTGGTTTAACCCACAGCGCCACCCAGCAGCACCTAAATCAGCAGGCCATGAGGGATGCAGCTGGAAGCACCTCTCCATGCAGTACAAAGCTTCCTCTTTCAATTTCTGCAAGTCACAAGGCTAGGCCAAGGTGATTTTTTTCAGGTCAGCTTGCAGCCCCATCTGCTCATGAGCAATTGCAAAGTGTGCTTCTGTCAGCAGTGAGTCACTACAGAGAACACACACACTGCATCAGAGAGAAAGTTTTCCAGACAAATAGAACTTTTATTTCTATTCAAGAACAGATTTGAACTCTGATAGCTCCTTTTCTCTATAAATTAAAGGGCTGATTCTACCAATTGTCTAAACTCATGATTCCCATAAATATCTTGTCTCCAAGCTTCCTTATTAAATGCCTGGCTCTCATTGCCAAGCAAGTGTTAGGGTTTTCGTTTTGTTTTTTTGCAAGCAGTCATGCCATTTATGGTGATTTTTACACAGAGGCTAGATGTTTCTTCTCTAGAAACATCACCAATAAAACCAGCAGACTCGTGACAACTTCTAAACTTACAGAAGTATATAACTCCCCCAACCGCCTGATTTCTCTGATCTTGTCAGGGTTCCTCTCAGCGTGTTGGTTGGTCTCAAATTGTTGGTCTGGTCTAAAATAAAAGGCACCTCTTTAGGACAGGGAGGAATGGACGTGGGAGGGAGACCAAAGCCATAAGCTTTCTTTTTTCTTTCTTTTTTGGAGTTTGCAAAGGATTTTTTTTTAATTTTTATTTTTTTCAATGCAGAATCATAACAAAAATTACAAACATTGAATCCAAAATAATACTATACAAAAAAACCCCGAACATTAAAAAAAAACAGAAAAGAAAAAGGGAAAGGAAACAAAGGAAACAAAACAAAACTAAACAAAAACGAAAAAGCACACATCTACAGAAAAAAACCATATTACGTACATAAACACATATTGACTTACTTCCTTTGTTCTAAGACCTCAAAAAATTTACTATTACTATATTGTTGTGTCTAATTAGATTACTTCCACCTTTGTACTTTGTTCCATGAAAATCTTGTGCCATAATAAAGTTTGTTGCATCTTTAAGGTGCCAAAATACAGTTGAATGTGCAAAAATGCACAGAGCTATAATTTCCAGAGTGCTTTAACAATCCGTACTCCTTCTCAGGGAACTCTGAGAATTGTAGCTTTGTGAAGGGAATGTTGTTGTTGTTTAGTCATTTAGTCATGTCCGACTCCTTGTGACCCATTGGATCAGTGTACTCCAGGCACTCCTGTCTTCCACAGCCTCCCGCAGTTTGGTCAGACTCATGCTGGTAGCTTCGAGAACACTATCCAACCATCTCGTCCTCTGTCGTCCCCTTTTCCTTGTGCCCTCAATCTTTCCCAACATCAGGGTTTTTTCCAGGGAGTCTTCTCTTCTCACGAGGTGGCCAAAGTATTGGAGCCTCAGCTTCAGGATCTGTCCTTCCAGTGAGCACTCAGGGCTGATTTCCTTAAGAATGGAGAGGTTTGATCTTCTTGCAGCCCATGGGACTCTCAAGAGTTTTCTTGGCAGGGATACTGGAGTAGCTTGCCGGTTCCTGCTCCAGGTGGATCACGTTTGGTCAAAACTCTCCACTATGACCTGTCCATCTTGGGTGCTCTGCTCGGCATAGTTCATCGTTTCTCTGAGTTATTCAAGCCCCTTTGCCACGGCAAGGCAGTGATCCATGAAGGGGGTGAAGGGAATAGGGGTCTCCTAACAACGCTCAGAGACTACAATTCCCAGGATTCTTTGGGGGAGGGCCTGAATGGTTAAAGAGGCATGATACTGCTTTAAATGTGCTGTGGCAGATGGGACCTTTGAGTGTGTTTACCCAGCTGTCCTTGAGCTGTAACAGTGTCTCTTGCTTGGATGAAGAGGGTGTGCACCTAGAAACCGCTGGCTTCCGTGTAGCTGGAATGTGGCCTCTTGCACAAGGGTAGCCCATTGGTTGCATCACACATTTTTACCTCTGGGAATTCCCACTGTGTTTTGGCCATGCTCACCATTCACATGTGAGCGCCCCTGAAGCTTGCACCCAAGGAGATACTTTAGTCGGGCAGGAAAAGGCCCCACCTCCACCCCTGTACTAGACTGTAGCTGAAACAGAAGCATGAGGGCTGTCTTAAAGCGCTTCTCAAAAGTGCTGTTTGAAACAGCCACACACATCTTTCAAGTAAAGGAGAAAGGGGCAGATGCTTCAAACAGCACTTTTGCAAAAGGCTTTAAACTGCACATTTGGCAGGTGTGCACATCCCTGTCCACTTTTCAATCCTGTGATGACATAATGATGTCATGTGATTGGCAGGTTGTTAAATATGGTCCATGGGGTTCGTCCCGAAACAGTAAGGCTCCACCCACACCCATGCTAAAGGATAAGGAATAAAATGATCAACCACATCTAACTGGCGTATTTATTAGTCAGCAAACTCTTGTTTGGCCTTCAGAGATGGAATACATTGGCACAGAAATGATCATTCAACAGAACACCCATGAGTCATTTAAAAAGCACTTTTTTTTAGTGAGGATTTCATTTGACCAAGTGTGATATCAGTTCCCTCATGGGACAAATCCAGTCATAAGTAATTGTTTGACATTTCCCTGTTAACAATGGACACAAGTGTGCAGCTAATACATTGGGAATGTGGCAGGATGGAAAGAGGCGAAGCAAATTCTGAATAACAAATTACCAGCAACAGTTGCAAAGCTTCTAGAACAGGAGTAGGGAGTATTTTTGTAGCCTGGGGTCCACATTCCCCTCTTTTTGTGGGGCCAGAGGCAAAAGTTTGTGGAACAATGGGTGTGACTGTATCCCTTGTACAATAGACTGTGATTCAGCCACACAAAATTCAGAGGTTTCTACTCACATACACACTTCTCCATCCCCAACCCAAGCGTTATCATTGCTCAAAGACAAATTCTAGTAAAATGTTTGAGAGGGCATTGATTGGGGCCAGTGAAGAGATGTGGCCTGGAAATAGGTGTGGCTGTGTGAGAGTCCCAATGGCCAGATAGAGAGCATGGAAGATCACATTTGGTTCTGGGATTGAGGTTCCACACCCCTGTTCCTTGGGATACCTATGCAGTGGTATCTCGGGTTACATACGCTTCAGGTTACAGACTCCGCTAACCCAAAAATAGTGCTTCAGGTTAAGAACTTTGCTTCAGGATGAGAACAGAAATTGTGCTCCAGCAGCGTGACGGCAGCAGGAGGCCCCATTAGCTAAAGTGGTGCTTCAGGTTAAGAACAGTTTCAGGTTAAGAACGGACCTCCAGAACGAATTAAGTACTTAACCTGAGGTACCACTGTATAGCAAAATGTGATCTATACAGGATGGGGTATCTATACAGGAGGGTACCTTGACCCTCCAGATGTTTCTGGACTATCCCCTCAATGGTTGGCAATGATGGGAGTCTCATCTCAGTAACATCTGGAAAGCCAAATGTTCCCCACACCTGGAGTATGGCGACTGAGCCTCCAAAGTCAAGCTGATTTTCACTTTTGGTGAAATCGGGCAACAGCTAAGGGATGCACAGAAGCCCCTCTGTGAAACTTTACTTGTCTTGCCAAAGCTCTTTTGGGTACCCATTAAATTGCTTATGGCACAATCCTAGAGCTATCAACTCACAAGTAAGCCCTGTTGAGTTTATTGGAACTTTCCCCCAGGTAGGTAGGTAGGAAGGCAAGCAAGCATAAGATTGCAGCCTTAGATGTTTCATCCAGGTTCCACGCACATGTCTAAACATCGTTGAGATTGGGAGACCAATTGTGGCCCCACCTCGATTTAACACAATTAGAAGTTGCCATATACCTGCCAATGGGAGGGGAAGGAGAAACAAACCGGTGCTGCTTCCCCACCACCACCACCCCACCCCACCCCCGTCTTCCACAAATGGGGAGTGGAAGTGACCTGTGACCCAGCAGATGTTTCCGTACTGCAGTTCCAACCATCCTTGACCATTAGCTATACTGGCCAAGGCTGATGGAATTTTGAGCCCAGAACATCTAAAGGGCCATAGACTTCCCACTTATAACACAGAACATCAATTTCCCCCCATTTTAATCGTATTTATGTATTTTTATTAAATTTGTATACCGCTCTTCTTCCAAAGATCCCAGGGAGGTTCACAGCATAAAAATAATACAAAATAAAAACACAAAGGACATAATAAAAACAAGAACAAAACAAACCCATTACTACACCATCCCTTCCATGAACACATTTTAAAGGACATAGTCTGTTAATCAGCCAAAGGTCTGGTTGAAGGGGAATGTTTTTGTCTGGCTCCTAAAGATGTATCATGAAGGCACCAGACAAGCCTCCTTGGGGAGAGCATGCCACAAATGGGGAGCCACTGCAAAAAAGACTCGTTCTTATATTGTCACCATCTGGACCTGTCATGGAGGAAGGACACAGAAGGGCCTGAGGTTATGATTGATGGGGAGAGGTGGTCATTGAAGTAGCTGCCAGACTATAAAATGCTTTTATTATGGTTTAGCATAAGCTGAATCACATGTTCTAAATGGTGTCTCTTGAACACTGTAGTTTCAGAAAGCAAGTCCATTGTGGTTTGCTTTGGTAACTGAAGATCTAAGAGCTCATGCAAATGTTGCATTTTGTGCTATTTTAATATAGCATTAGGTTGCTACTTCCATTTGTAACTGGAGCTGAAGACCCTGAACTCTGGGGAAAGCAGAAGATATTAAAATAAATTGATATTGATGACATCAAGTGAGAAAACTATTTTTGTGTTCTTCGTACCACAGAGACAGCACATTTAGCAGACAGAGAGCCAAAGATTGCTCATCCCAGATGATGCACTTGGGGAAAAGAAAGCAATTATATACATTCATACATCTCGCTCGCCATTCACTTCTGCAAAGTGGCCCTGCAGATGTTGTTGGACTCCAGTTCCCATCAGCCCCAGAAAACATTGTAAATTGTCAGAGATTATAGGATTTGTAGTCCAAAATAAAAAATCTGGAGGGCTACAGGTTGCCCAACTCCAATCTAAATAAGAGATAACATTTAAATACTGCATATACACACGTCCCCTTTTGTCTTCTCTGTCTCTGTGTGTGTGTGTGTGGGTGGGTGGGTGTGCGTGTGTGATAGTCTTATGATATTTAAATGTTCTTCTGATCTGTCTTAACGCCTACAGACTTCTTTCAAAACTATTCCCTTGTTTTGAAAGCAGTCCAGTGGCTACTGGAAATAGTTACTACCACAAATTCCATCAATGCCTCACAGAAGGAGGTTGACACAAAGCATCAATTGTCAGAGATTTATGTAAGGAGTGAAAACTCTGGAAATGTTGGCTGCGGTGAAAAGTGACTAACCAGAGTGAGAGTTTTTACGTGTAATTCTGTATATAGGAAAAGAAACGAGATTTGCTCAATGTGCGGTTCGTTCGTTCGTTCTGATTTCCGGAAGCCTGTTTTGGAGCCCCTTGTGGTGTGAGGATGCTTAGTCACAGAACAGCACAGCTGATAGAGAAAACCAATTCATATTCAGTCCTGCAAAGCCACTCACCAGGAAGAAAATGCCACAGATTCATCCATACCGTTCATTTCATTGTAAGATTCCCAGCTCTCTGTTGACCATATTACTTTCTCCTCCAAATCACTGCCTTCCCACATTTGCCCCTCTCTCAATCCATATTTTCTCATACCCTGTCCTTTTTATAGTATCTCTAGTATGAAAAAATCCAGAGGTCAGGAAGCTTACTATCCACGTTAAACAACAGTATGGCTGGGCCCTGAGTAGATAGCCCACGTGATGTTTCATCAATAGCTCAAATCTGTGCCATTTGTGATCCAGCCAGAGCACACCAGCCTTGTATCTTGAGCTCCGGTGCAGACAGGGAATCGTTCTGGGCAACGTCCCAGGGGCCACATGCTGCTGGTGGAAGGGGCCAGAGGGAAAAGTGGGGCTGAGCAACAAATGTGACTTTCACCTTTGGACAGCAGGCTAGTTTCTTCTTCACTCACATGCCTCTCTGACCTTCATCCCGGCAAGCAAAAAGCATCATCAGAGATCAAGGTCCTATAGTAGTACGGCTAAATCGCTCAAGGAGGGTTCAAAGCAGGGCTGTGACCAGGAACAGATAGAGAGACATGTGGACCTAACCTTCCCCATCCCTGTCTTGCGTAAAGGTAAAGGGACCCCTGACCATTCGGTTCCGTCGTGGTCGACTCTGGGGTTGCAGTACTCATCTCGCTTTATTGGCCGAGGAAGCCGGTGTACAGCTTCCGGGTCATGTGGCCAGCATGACTAAGCCACTTCTGGCGAACCAGAGCAGCGCACGGAAATGCCGTTTACCTTCCTGCTGGAGCAGTACCTATTTATCTACTTGCACTTTGACGTGCTTTCAAACTGCTAGGTGGCAGGAGCAGGGACCGAGCAACGGGAGCTCACCCCGTCGCAGGGATTCAAACCGCCGACCTTCTGATTGGCAAGCCCTAGGCTCTGTGGTTTAACTCACAGTGCCACCCGTGTCAAATCTCCTGATTTTGCAGTCCCAGGGAAACAGCAAAGAAGTTCAACATGTCCACGCTGGAGAGCTGCATTCCCCGAGGTGTGTAGGCTTGCTTCAGTCAGTGGTTCTCAGAGAGCAAGTCAAGAGAACCCTGAATGGGCAGTGCCTTCCATTTGTTTTCTCACTTTCCAACAAGTATATACCTTGAGTCTTCCAGAATGCAGCAACCTAAACCACTGGTACAATACAGGATGCTGTATGTGCCATCGTTCCTTGTGTTGACTGTTTGTCGGCAAGAAGTCATTTGTTTCAGCCAACCTATCAGGAGCACATATAAACTAGTTACATAGATTTGTTTTTATTTTGTTAAATTTATTTGTATGTCATTGATAATTGTTTTATATCATTTTATGTAGATAGATAATTTATTATGGTCAAAGACCAGCTCACATAACATAACACAATAAAAACTGTGTTCATAAAGATAAAATACACAATCAGAGCAGATTGCAGCAATAGCTCATGAGTTAAAATTGAGATATATACATACACCCATACAACTGAGATTTGGGCTACTGTAAAAAATTGACCCTGAGGTGCCCCAAAGGGCAACTTCAGCATTTCCCTAGTAAGCTATTTTATTCTAGAGGATGATCTGTGCCTACAAATTTGGGCGCAGAATCTGGCTACCAGCCAGGTTGTCTTATGATCTTTGCCTCAGAGGAGAGAATTAAGTTTAGACTTGTCTGAAATATTGGTGAACCTCTTCAGCAAAGGATCAATGGTGTCTCTACGAATCTCAACGCAAAAAGGGCATCTAAAAAATATGTGTTATATCATTTTATGTACAACAGTTAGGGGTTTTTAAATTAAGTTTTTAATGAATTTTTTACAAAAACAACAAATTGACATAACCCTCTAAATTCTCCCAGGCTTTGCACTTCAGAGAAATCCTTATCTGTGGACCCGAATGGCTCTGTTTGCTTTGAGATGTAAATCCCTGGAACTGGATTTAAAGTGAGCTCTTCCAGATGGGATGGTCTGTCATTTTTCTCCTCTGTTCTCACTTGACGCTGCCCAGGAGCACAGAAGTGTCCAATCTTGGGTTTATGTCTGGCCGGGTGTGAACGGGTTAACTATCTGAAAAGTCAACATTTCTCAATTTCATTTTTTTAAATTGTTCATTTAATTTTTAATTTAATTGAGCACTTACTGTTCCCAACCCTAACCCTGCGGAAAGCCATCTAATTAGACTTTAATTTGATTTTGACCTGTTTTTAGGAGGTAATTTAATTATTGATTTTATACCAATGTTATATATCTGATGTTAGCCACCCTGAGCCCGACTTCAGCCGGCGAGGGCAGGATATAAATAGAAGACGATGATGATTTTATTTTAAAAAGCAGGCACCGTTCAGACAGAAAGCAGTGTTCACATGTTGCATTCAACGAGTGTATGAGGGCCACCTGGTATTATACTTGAGTAGTTGCCCATGGTGCCCACAGGTGGATCAGGACCACGTTGCTTTGGTTTTGGGGCATATTTCAATTCCATCTCTATTATGAGGTTAATAGCCTTTGTTTTTCACTCCTGTGGGTGGGACAATTGTTTGATGGCTTGTTTGATCATTCCAGCTTCGGGGAGACAACTCAGACCAGAAGACACTGAGGCTGACGGCGAGGCTGATGCAGAAGATGACTCTGTGAGTAACACCAAACAGTTTTGCAGCCACCACTGAGATTTCTCAGCATCTTTTCCTTTACGACAGGAGCCAAAAAGAACAAGAAGTCAAACTAAAGCCTGAGTTTAATTCACAAACCATACTGACTCCCTTTTAAACCCTGAACTGGAATAGAATATGCAATTTTATTTGAAAGTCTCCAGTCCATATTAAAAGTAACCCAGAGCAGAAACCTAAAAATTGGGATATGACTGCCTGGTACTTAAAAATAGTAAAGATAAAGGTAAAGGGACCCCTGACCATTAGGTCCAGTCGTGGCCGACTCTGGGGTTGCGGTGCTCATCTCGCTTTATTGGCCAAGGGAGCCGGCGTACAGCTTTCAGGTCATGTGGCCAGCATGACTAAGCCGCTTCTGGTAAACCAGAGCAGCGCACGGAAACGCCGTTTACCTTCCCGCCAGAGCGGTACCTATTTATCTACTTGCACTTTGACGTGCTTTCAAACTGCTAGGTTGGCAGGAGCAGGGACAGAGCAACGGAAGCTCTCCCCGTTGCGGGGATTCGAACCGCCAACCTTCTGATCGGCAAGTCCTAGGCTCTGTGGTTTAACCCACAGCGCCACCCGTGTCCCTTTTTGTACTTAAAAATACTCAGGGCTAAAGCCCATGGCGCATATTTGCCTCTGGGCAAATGAAGATGGCTGGTGGGATTTTACCTGCGCTGCATCATACAGCACACCTGTTTAAAAGTGCGAGGGGCTTGGGTTGAGCTGTGAAGGGATAGACACAGGATTGGATGAGGTGTAAAATAAAAGGTTTTTTGTCAGTTGTAAAGGAGGAGTGGTGTGAGAAAAGTGTGGGGTTGGTAAAGGGATTGGTGAGTAGGTGAGGTTGGCGAATAGAGGCAGCAGCCCCAGTTATATGTAATAAATAATGGTTTGCATAGTCGATTTGAAAATTTTGGCTGTGGAAAAAGAAGAAGTTAGGTATGTCCGAAGAGTCCTGCTGGATCAGCTGAAAAATCCACCGTTATGTCAGTGTCCGAGCAAATGACGCTTAAAAACTCACAGCGCTGGTATGAAGGCATATGGCCTCTCCCACTGTTTGCCCCCAGGAAATGTCATTCACAGGCATACCACCTTTGATCCTGGTTTTACTGCCACTCCTTTACAGATACGCATCTAACTCTTTTTTTAGTTTTGTCACATTTCGCTGGGGGGAAGGTGATGCAATGATTTCAAAGGATTCCCTTCCTCTGCTGCTTCCTCTGCTTAAATTAGGGATGGGGAACATTTTTTAAGCCAGTGGCCACATTCCATCAGGAAAAATGGGGGGGGGAGCAAATGAGGGGGAGGGAGAGAGCTAAGGGTGGATAGAGCTGCAGCCAAAAGTGAACAGGGATACCTTAAGCTCTCTTTTTGCCACCTTTTCTCTGGAAATGTCTAGCTTCTGTGCTGGGCACCAAGAAAGAGGCTCGTCTTCCTTAGCACCCATTGCAAAAACACAGTGGGCTGTCAGAGGAATAGAGTGACCTTGGGGGTAGAGGCTAGGAGGAGAAACCGGGACTGGGAAGGAAGGGATGCAGGCTAGACAAAAACCTACCATGCACCAGATCCTTGGCCCTGATTTAAACTCTTCAAAGTGGAAGCATCCATTGTTCATCAAGTAATATTGAATAGGGGGTACCTGTCGATGGTGGAAGGGGCTCCCTTGAGACTGCCTCCCTTCATTGGGGGTTTTTAAGCAGAGGTTGGATGGCCATCTGTCATGGATGCTTCAGTTGAGATTCCTGCATTGGGTTCCTTTCCAACTCTACAATTCTATGCTAAACTCTGTTGTTGTTCCACTCCTACAGGTCGATGAAGTGACAACTGAAAACATACGACCAAGACCACAAGGATCCTCTCCTGTTTATGAGTATTGCATAGAAGATGAATATTTTAACAAAAAGGCAAGACGTGACACAATGGGATTTTGTCTTTCACTGTTTTGCTAGTGTCAAATTCTCAGTTCTTTTGGACCATTGAGACAATGGCTTCCTTAGCCCTTTGAAGTTAAAGGCAAAACTGGCATCAGTTGGCCGTGGAGAGAACCACCTGTTCTTTCCCCAAAGAATGCCCCATGCAAGACACTACATAATTACATCATGTTGTCCCAAATTCTAGAGGGAAAGCCAATGGACCATTAAGGCAGCTAAGCCCTGCAAGGAAAGAGTGGTGGTAGTGAGACCTTAATCACCATGATTGTAAAGATAAGCCATCCCTCACTTGGCCAAATACTTGGCTGAGTACTTTGGCCCTGCCCTAGATAAAATCATTGAAACCAAGCATATATGGCCAGCTGGAAAATCTGAGCAAATAAAAGTGTATTTGCCTGGTGACAAAATGGCCCTATAGTTTATTTGCATTTTATGTACTATTTATTTTTCACAATTCATATACTGCTTAATTATACCTTCATTGCATATCTTTAGGTACCATGTGCCTCTTCACCCACCCAAATCTTTGGCTAATTAAACAATGTAGGGCCTTTTAAACTAAACTTACTGTTCTCTGTGCTATTATGTTATGTATTTTTGTGTTCTTATACTGTAAACCACCCTATGATCCTTGAATGAAATGCAGTAGATAAATGTGAATAAATAGGGGTTTTTCCCTGGTCCCTGTGTTCTTATACTGTAAACCACCCTATGATCCTTGAATGAAATGCAGTAGATAAATGTGAATAAATAGGGGTTTTTCCCTGGTCCCTGTGTTTGGGTATGTACACACACATACATATATACCTTTGAAGTCTGAAGAGAGGTGATAATGTGTGCAGATAACTGATTATCGCATATTTCAGAACCCTTGAAATGAATTGTCCAGCTATTGTTAACTGCAGTGCCACTCCCACCACCGAAAAATAGCTAGTGAGACTACAGAATGACAGATGTGTGAGAAGTTTGGCATGATCTGTGCAAATCCATTTTAGCTTACTTAAAAATTACACCTCTGTTTGCAGCTTCAGCAAGATATAGAGAACAGACAAAGACGGGATTCTTCTATCAAAATGAGTGATTCACAGGTGAGCTTAAGGTGTCCGATAAACACCAGGTACGCCCTTCTGTACAGAAGAGCATTGTTTCGGAGCTCTTCAAACCGAATGATCTTCTCATTGATACCTGTCCCTGGAAGGGAATGCAAGCGCAGATTTACAAATACAAGCTTTAACTGTTACTTGCCAAAGAATACTTCCCAAACTGGTTCCAGTTTGCGAAGCCACAGAGGGCCAGTCCATGCAAGTCTTGGGTGTGTGTAAGTTGTATGTTTGGAAAATATGCATGTACAGATCCCCGCAGATAGGTACGCACTCACACAACTCGGTCTACACATGGTGTGGGTGTGTGCCTGAAATATGCATTCAAGCCTCACTGCCTGTGTGAACCAGCCTATAGACCAAAGTCCCCACCCACAGATTCTCACTTGACACAGCGCTGAAGATTCTACGTATACGTATCCAGGGCTCTGTTGTACTCCATGCTAAGAATAATAATAAAATATCTATGTCCAGGACATCCAAACAATGATGGATTCTGCAACCAATATTTGCATTATTTATTCTACAATGTTTTCTTTTCTGCATAGTTTATTTTGGTGTTGCTTGCAATGGGATGGGAAGAGACATGGCCACTTTCCCCCTTGGAAGTCATCTGAAACTGGAAAACACTCTACCCAGAAAACCTTTATGTTGACTCTGAGTATGTGCAAATAAGCCCAGCAGTTCCACAGTTGACAGTGTAGTTTGCTGTTTTCTGGATGCCAAGAGTTTCAACTATTCAGTATAATGTCAGGTTGAAACCAAATTGTGTGGGAAGATCTCCAGGTAGACTTTTCACAATCAATCAAACTGTTTACCCAAGTTACCTTGGGGTTCAATTAATTTGCTGTAGAGCAGCCACACCTGTGAAACGAAACAGGATATGCTGGAGCTGCGAAGAATGATATTGAATATACCCATTGTACACCTAAGTGAACATTCGTTTTTCAAAAGGAGCCAAATTTAATAATATTCAGAGCATTGTAATAGTCATGCTACTATCTCTGGATGAGAGACTACTTACTTGAGATGCAGTTAGAGTTCTGTTTTGGTTTAAAACCTGGATAAGGAAACTTTTTAGCCTTTCAGGGGCTAGAACATTCTAGAAGCTTTTGTAAATCTACACAATGTGCAGAAGTGCGCCTTCCATGCAACCACCCATCAGCTGATGTTTACCGATGTTATGACAGGAATGGGTTGAAGTCTTCAATGAAATGAGTTTTGATAATGTACTTTTTGGTCCAACTAGGAATCTATGGAGGTTACCTTACAAACGGAAGTCGAATCTGGTGCAAGTGGATTTAGTGTGGCTGGTGGAGGAACTGAAGGATTATTTGTGAAGCAAGTGCTCAAAGAGTCCCCAGCATCGAAGTTATTCAGTCTGAGAGAAGGTACAGTATGGTCTAATGTCACATTTATTTTAGTAAAATTAGCTACGAAAGTGAAACCTGGGTGGGGTATAAATTATTATTATTATTATTATTATTATTAACCTAATAAAAAAGTTAATTAAAATGTTGGTCAAATTCATGCAAACTTTTTTTTAAAAGCACATTGGAAACTGTAGAGGAGGAGAAAGTGGGCTTTCTCTTTTTTAAACAAATGGCTGAACAAATAACAGTAGAAGAGCCGGGACTAACCTACTTACAGTGCAATCCTATAAATATCTACTTAGAAGTAAGCCCTATTGAATTCAATAGGCCTTACTCCCAGGCAAGCTGGTATAGGACTGCAGTCTTAGTCAATTGGCTATGGTCTAAAATTATCTTGACGGATAACCAGCTGTAGCTGGAGGGCTTAGAATCTGTAAAAAAAACAACAACTGTACAAATAAAATCCTGCTCATGAATGCTCACACAACCTAAGGGACAATTCAAATGATCAGATACAGTAGTTTTGTACTCCGTGGTGATCCCCACACACACCTGAGACAACAACCTGTTTGATGTTCACTTGCAACCTGGTTTTGTGAATGCATGCATAAAGTGCCCGTGCTGCAGGATTATCTGAAGATCTCTCTGAAAACCAGCTTGGCCACAATTCTGCATGCACAAGTTTGGGATGCTTGTTATTTCCATCATATGACCTGATTTCTTGCAGGAAGGAGAGCTCCGGTGTCCATGCAGAATTAATGTAACTGGAAATTCTATGCAAGATGTCAATACTAGCATTTAATTCTGGGAGATATTCTTTGTAAATATTTTCATGAGCAGGTTGTTGAATCAAGACACTAGAATATGTGTTTTTTAATGGTACAACAGGCTCCTTTTCAACGGATTTAGAAATGGCCACATCATAGCTGTCAACGTTTCCCTTTTTTAAATGGAAATTCCCTTATTCTGAATAGGATTCCTTGCAAGAAAAGGGAAAAGTTGACAGCTATGGCCCACGTGGGTGGGTGGGTAGGATGTTTGCTATTGTTGATAGATGTCTTTGCATAAACAAGGCATCTAATTAATGAGCCCGATATTTTGACACCCAATTAGTTTCTGCTGCCTCTTTTCACAGGTGATCAGCTTCTAAGTGCCACGATCTTTTTCGATAATATCAAATATGAAGATGCACTCAAGATTCTGCAGTATTCCGAGCCGTACAAAGTACAGTTCAACCTCAAAAGAAAGCTCGCCAGGAAGGAAGATCTTGAAACAATGCATTTTGCAACGCAATCCAAAAAAGAAAAAATGAGTCAGGTAATGCACATCTGTAAAATTACACTTCAGATCAAGGCATGGATCTTGGGGGAGGTATTAAACTGACCATCGCTTGTGTAATTTTAGGACAGTGGTCTAGATCCGGCGATATATTGGGCAAACAGAAGGGCATTTCTGCTAGACCAAGGTAGCCCTGTCAAATTATCACAATTTTTTCAACCCCACTGCTGCACCTCTCCACTCCATTGCTGCACTACACATTTCTCCAACAGTGAGCCAAGAAACCTCCATCATGCAAACTAATACCCACTCATCTGTCTCTGGATCCAACCTTCAGGGGTGTTTTTTTTTTTAGTGGAAGTGAAATTTGAGGGGATGCGGCCTTTGAGGCATTGAATTGTTGAAGCCCTTTTTGTGTGTTTTCTTCAGTTTCTGTAAGAATGCAGAAAGCCTGTCAGAATAGTGTGCAATCTTTCTCTTTCTCTTTCTCTCTCTCTCTGTGTGTGTGTGTGTACACACACACACACACACACACACACACATTGGGTTGTCGGGCGTCTTTTTATTATAATTTATTGAATTTTATACCGTCCTATACCCGGGGGGGTGGGTCCTCAGGGCGGTTCACAGAATAAAATCAAGATATAAAACCACAAAATACATAGAAAAAATAAAAACAACCCAATATCCCCCCCCATGCACAAAAAAACACATTTTAAAAGGACATAGGATGTGTCAGATGAACCAAAAGCCTAGTTAATGTCTTGAAGACTTTTTAATACCAATAGGCCCATGCAGCTGTTTTTTGGGGGTGAGGATTACTACTTTTTTAATGTGTTTATATTGCTGTACACTGACCTGATGTTTCATGGGAGGGTAGTATGTAAATACTTTTATAAATAAAACAGATACATAAAGGGGGTATTTTTAAGCCCAAGGACAACTTTCCTTCATGGACAACTTCCTGAGGGACACAGGCCAGCAGTAGACAGGGCCTGAGGTAAATGTGGAGGCGGCCATAGACATACTTTGATGAGGAACATGGCTCTTTGTATAGCAGGCTGCATTTTTATCCAAAGTATTAAATGTGGTGACAATAATAAAACAAAACAACACCACAAACTGGCTTATAAGTATAAAACCAAATTTACTAGAATAATAGCTAGAATAGAGATAGACTTGTAACCATTCAAACAACAAACATATTAAGGTGCCAAGACAAAGCCTGGAGACACTGTAAACCTTTGAGTGGATAAATGTACAATTCTATCTTAACAATGTAAACGTTATACAGACTGGATAAATGAACCGTTCCAACAAGTAACGCAAATCCAATCACAGAATGGCAACCTCGTGCCGCCACAACAGCAAGGGTAGCACACTGGGAGAATATGAAAAAGTTTCAAAATACAGTCTGTATAATGTTTGCTGGACATGTAATTTGTTAAAATAGAGTTGGTGGCTGCGTTTCTGGAACCAATGAGAGGAAATAAATTGTAGAAAACTCTGCAATAGTTGCTACGTTGAAATTGCAGAGGAATATTGTAACCGGAGGGCAAGAATGATGCCGAAAGCCAGGTGGAATCTGCACACGTATTTAAAAAATGCTGTGAAAACGTTTGTTGTTGGTTTTTTTTAAAAAAGTTTTGGGGGGGGGAAATACATTGAATTTGCCATAGCTCACTGTCGCCATCTAGTGTCACATTTGTATAGTGCACTTAAAATGTTTTATTTGCAGCTGTATAGCTGAGTCCCCAGTCTAGCAGCAACCTTTTGCTGATGCATGCGAGTAAAGGCATTTCAGCGACACCAACTCGCATCATCCAACGTCTTAGCCTTTTGCACCAAAGTGGAGTGGAGCCCTGGCCTCATCAGTGCTGCTGACAGCATTTTGTTTTCTGAGGAGACAGAGCCTACTCCTGTTCTGTTTGTGTGTGGTCAGCTGCTGTAATGCTAGGCCCGATCCCCAGGTTAAGGGGTTGAGAAACAGGTCTCCTGTCAGCAGCTTCACGTTTCAGGTGAATCACAGCACTTGACAAGCTGAAGAGAACTGGCATATTAGTATGGTGCCTAAGGACACTTCTTTGGAGCAGAAGTATCCCGCCCGCCCGCCCCCCCGAATTAATCGCTTCCTATGAAGCATCTCAAAGCAATTTCACGATACGATAAAAGCCACAAACAGAACAGCTGGTTACGTAAAGACAGTTGAAACAATTGCTTATATAAAAGCAATTTAAACAATTGCACATAGAAAGCGATTCCAAATAAATTCAAATACCAATTGGAATGAAAACCTCCACTTAAAAGGCTTGCGGAAAGAGGAAATCCTTCAGCTGGCACAAAAAACCCCCCAATAAAAACCAGACCTGTCTGGTAACTGGAGGAGGTTCCATGCTGCCACACTAAGGGCGTATTTCTGACATTGTGCAGAGCAGACATCCTAATATGATTGTGTTCGAAACATAGAATTGTAGAGCTGGAAGGGACCCCAGGGTTATCTAGTCCAACCCCCTGCAGTGCAGGAATATGCAGATGGTCTATATATATAATAATATATAATAGTAATATTTTTATTTATACCCCACCTCAGGTTGCCTCAGGTGGCTTCCAACACACAAATAAATAATAATAAAACATCAAGCATTAATCAGATTCTATAGTACATAAAAAGTCACAATAACTTTAAAATAAGAAATTTATATCAGACAAAGCACTATTCAATAATCCAATAGTAAACGGTAAAATTAAACGTCAGCAGATAATAATTTAACGGTTTACACTTATCAATTCCAATAAAGAATTACTAATCTATAATCAATAAAGTAACAGCAAATGCATAAAATAACAGCAGACGCACAAAACCATGTAAAAGGGTCAAACTGAGAAACAAGGACACACAACTTAGTTTTTAAAAAGCTATCCCTGAACTCCTCTCTTCCCAGCTGTTTCTGCTGTCATGGTCTGGGAAAGGCTCTTTGGGATGGAGGTTGCGACAAGGCAGGTGGAAAAGCCATTGCCTGCAGAAAGTCTTTCCCCACTCAGTTCTTCCTCTGGAGCAGAGCAGGTCTCCTATAAATATAGGTTGTGGTGACCTATGGAACACAATGCACACTCCAGTTGTGAGATGCAAGGATGCAAGACCAAGGTCCTCTTACAGAGGGTAGGCTTATTATACACCCTTGCGCAAATTAATTGAAACAAACAATGTAGTTTATTGTACAAAACTCACATATACATGTAGAAAACTCACATTAGTAACGGATATGACCTCCACTATTTTTAAGCAGCATTTGAACACGGTTTGGCATGGAGTCTACTAGTTTCGAACAGTCACTGTTGAATTTCGGATCCCTGTATCACACTTGAATCAGCGCCTGAATGAGCTTCTCCATAGTCGTACAGTCTACAGCATGGAGGCGACTTTTGCATATAGCCCACAAGTTCTCAATGGGATTTACGTCCAGGGAATTCCCTGGCCAATCAAGTACCTATATTTGCTGCTCTGTCATGAATTTCTTCACCACTTTCAATGTGTGACAGGGGGCTAGGTCCTGCTGCAATATCCCAGTACCATCAGGATATGTTTTTTTCCAGCTCTGCAATAACTCTCTTTCGTAGAACCTCAGTATATTGTGGCGAGCACATTATTCCTTCTATTGGCTGTAGGCTTCCGACACCATTGTGACCAACTCATTTTTCGTGTTTGTTTTGAGTACAGGATTACGAGTAAGATAGAAAACATGCTTTGTTTCAATTAATTTTCACAAGGGAGTACACCTTCTCTTATTAACAGCTTCACACTGTGTCGTAGCGGCTAGGAACATTGCATCTAGGTTTCAGGAGGGGTACATCACTGGGGAATGGGAAAAGACTGCAAAATTGAGTAAGTTGTATTATCTACATGATATTTTTCAGCAAGTGTTTGTCACCTTGAATTGCTAGAGGAACCTAATGGTCAGGGGTCCCTTTACCTTTTTACATTCCCGGAAGCATGAGGCTTTTATGGAATGTGAATCAGTTGTTTTGGAGACTCGTGCACACTCCTGTTTGCTCTGCTTCCAGCGACCTCCCAGCACTGGTTTGTGAAGCCGTGCATGCACAACGTTGGCTACAAGTCACATCTGTCCTGTAGTTCCCTGAGAAATAGCGCATTTTGATGTGTTTTCTCCCTAACCAGCTTCAGTCTGATTTGAAAATGTAAGCCATATGATGACATCCATGCCCCCTCTCCACTCACTGATGTGGGCAGGCAATGGGAGACTTGGAAAAACATCCAACCTTTTATCTCATTGTATTATGAAAAAAAGGGACGCCGGTGGCACAGTGGGTTAAACCACAGAGCCTAGGACTCGCCGATCAGAAGGTCGGTGGTTCGAATCCCTGCCACGGGGTGAGCTTCCGTTGCTCAGTCCCAGCTCCTGCCAACCTAGCAGTTCGAAAGCACGTCAAAAGTGCAAGTAGATAAATAGGAACCACTCTGATGGGAAGGTAAACGGCGTTTCCGTGCGCTGCTCTGGTTCGCCAGAAGCGGCTTAGTCATGCTGGCCACATGACCCGGAAGCTGTACGCCGGCTCCCTTGGCCAATAAAGTGAGATGAGTGCCGCAACCCCAGAGTTGGTCACGACTGGACCTAATGGTCAGGGGTCCCTTTATCTTTTACCTTTATTATGAAAAAGCTTTAATAAAAATTATTATTATTATTAAAGGGAAATACACCCAACCATGCTGATGTGTGCAATGATGTCCAAATGTGATTTGAAATGAAGCAGAGGGAAATCATCCCACTGTGTTTTAAGCTGGTAATGTGTACACAGCCCAAGTCTCTCTGTTAATTTAGTATGTGTTATCGTTTTGGGGTTTCTTGTTGCTATTTATTCATTTAAACATTCTGATGTACATTGCTTTCAACAATTTTGAAGATGCAAAGGGGTGGGGATTAAATACATACGTAATAAGTACTACAACCATTTATTTTGGAAATTCTATTTCTCAGGGGAAGGAAGCACTGGAAACATCAGAAAAGACATTCACAGAAGAAGATAAAGCAGACTTAATTGTAAAACAAAGAGTTGGAAGACCAAAAAGATCCAAGAAGGACAGACTTTCCTGGCCAAAATTCCAGTCATTAAAAGGTAAAAAGATACTGGGGCAAAGGAGATCTCGTAGCACGTCAGATGCATACGAACATGCGATTCCGGATATTTCCCCAACAAGCACAGACACAGAATCACAATTTCAGCCAGAAGAAATTCATGCAAAAGTTAAAAGAGGAAGTCAAAAGAAACTAAGATTCCCCAGTATTGGATTCAAGATGCACAGAACTAAACAAGAACCAGAGGAGAGGACAAAATACGAAGTCAAACCTCTCACAGACTATGAAAATGATACTGCGCAGGAAATCCCAGAATTAATAACAGTGCAATATTCTACTTCACGGGCTAAAGAGAAAAAACTGGAGGAAATACAGGAACCCAGAAAAGATGTTAAGGAAACAAAATTTGAACTGCCATACCATACAGGTAAATACCCTGAAGTTGAATTAACAATTAAAAAAACGAAAGAAAAGAAATCAAAATCCAAAGCCATCACAAAAAAATCAGAAACGACAGTGATAACAACACAGATAACAAAACCTATATTGCAAACAGGTGAAATACAAGATGTACAAATAAAGCAGTTAACACCACCAAAACAACGAAAAAAGAAGCAAAAGGGATCCACAGAAAAAATGTATACAAAATTACAAATGGACAACGAACAAACAGAAAAAGAAAAAAAAGACATGGATGGTATCCAAGGAGTAATTAATCAAAATGAAGAAGATTCAAACGTCATGATGGCAACAACTGACATACGTATGCCGACAGCCAAAGCTTCTTTGGAATTTAAAACTCCACACATACAACTAGAGACACCATCAACTGATATGTCTCTGGGTGCTGCTGAGATTAAGAAGGAGGGCATGGACACTATGTTTAAAATGCCAAAATTCCAAATGCCCAAATTTGGAACAGAACTGAAGGCTCCAGACTTAAAGGTTGAGGCACAATCGGCTGATATTGCTGTAGGTGGAGTTGAAGCTAATCTGGAGGGCACCGACAGTAAATTTACGATGCCAAAACTCCAAATGCCCAAGTTTGGAATGTCACTTCCCAAGGAGAAACTCGCTGCAGAGGGAGAAATCACCTTACCTTCTGTGGAAGTGGATATCTCCAAACCAGAACTGAAAGGGGAAGTGACCCTGCCCTCTGTGGGCATCGAGACTGATGGGAAATTGCCCGGAGCTGAAATGAAGGCACCTAGTGTGGAGTTGGAGGTTGCTGAGAAGGGCAAAATCAAAACGCCTGATGTCAAAATGCCAAGCGTCAAGGTCCCAAGAATAAAACCTCCTCAAGTGGGAGACTCACTGCCCAAGGTTGAAGCAGACATCTCTGCTCCCAAAGCAAAAGTGGAAATTCCACAGACAGAGGTCTCTGTTAAGGTGTCTGAAGCAGAAGGGAGAATCGAGAGTGGAGGGATGAAAATACACATGCCAAAGTTCAAGATGCCCAGCATGGGTTTCTCCAAACCAGAAATCAAAGGTCCCAAAGTCGATGTGGACATCAGCGCACCCAAGGTTGACATTGCTCTTCCAGACATCAATGTAACCAAGCCTGAGATCAAAGCAGGTGACATTTCAGCAGACATGAAGTTCACAGGACCTGACGTACAGTTTCCAAAGGGGGAGGCTTCCTTGGAACTGAAGGCTCCAGACGTAAAGCTTGACGCACCATCGGCTGATAATGATGTAGGTGGCATTGAAGCTAAGCTGGAGGGCACGGACAGTAAATTTAAGATGCCAAAATTCCAAATGCCCAAGTTTGGAATGTCACGTCCCAAGGGGAAAGCCGCTTCAGAGGGAGAAATTACCTTACCTTCTGTGGAAGTGGATATCTCCAAACCAGAACTGAAAGGGGAAGTGACCCTGCCCTCTGTGGGCATCGAGACTGATGTGAAATTGCCCGCAACTGAAATGAAGGCACCTAGTGTGGAGTTGGAGGTCGCTGAGAAGGGCAAAATCAAAATGCCTGATGTCAAAATGCCAAGCGTCAAGGTTCCAAAAATAAAGACTCCTCAGGTGGGAGTATCGCTGCCAGAGGTTGAGGCAGACATCTCTGTTCCCAAAGCAAAAGTGGAAATTCCAGAGGCAGAGGTCTCTGTTAAGGTGCCTGATGCAGAAGGCAGCATCGAGGGTGGCGGAATGAAAATACACATGCCAAAGTTCAAGATGCCCAGCATGGGTTTCTCCAAACCAGAGATCAAAGGTCCCAAAGTCGATGTGGACGTCAGCGCACCCAAGGTTGACATCGCTCTTCCAGACGTCAGTGTAACCAAGCCTGAGATCAAAGCAGGCGACATTTCAGCAGACATGAAGTTCACAGCACCTGACGTACAGTTTCCAAAGGGGGAAGCTTCCTTGGAACTGAAGGCTCCAGACCTAAAGCTTGAGGCAGAATCGGCAGATGTCGTTCTAGGTGGAGTTGAAGCGAAGCTGGAGGGTACGGACAGTAAATTTAAGATGCCAAAAGTCCAAATGCCGAAGTTTGGAATGTCACTTCCAAAAGGGAAAGCCACTGCAGAGGGAGATATGAGCTTACCTTCTGTGGAAGTGGATATCTCCAAACCAGAACTGAAAGGGGAAGTGACCCTGCCCTCTGTGGGCATCGAGACTGACGTGAAATTGCCTGGAGCTGAAATGAAGGCACCTAGTGTGGAGTTGGAGGTCGCTGAGAAGGGCAAAATCAAAATACCTGATGTCAAAATGCCAAGCGTCAAGGTTCCCAAGCTGAAGACTCCTCAAGTGGGAGTATCGCTGCCAAAGGTTGAGGGAGACATCTCTGTTCCCAAAGCAAAAGTGGAAATTCCAGAGGCAGAGGTCTCTGTTAAGGTGCCTGATGCAGAAGGCAGGATTGAGGGTGGCGGAATGAAAATACACATGCCAAAGTTCAAGATGCCCAGCATGGGTTTCTCCAAACCAGAAATCAAAGGTCCCAAAGTGGATGTGGACGTCAGCACAGCCAAGGTTGACATTGCTCTTCCTGATGTCAGTGTAACCAAGCCTGAAATCAAAGCAGCTGACATTTCAGCAGACATCAGCCTTTCAGCACCTGACATGAAGTTTCCAAAAGGAGAGGCTTCCTTGGAACTGAAGGCCCCAGACCTAAACGTTGAGTCACCATCGGCAGTTGTCGCTCCAGGTGGACTTGAAGCAAAGCTGGAGGGTACGGACAGTAAATTTACCATGCCAAAACTCCAAATGCCCAAGTTTGGAATGTCACTTCCCAAGGGGAAAGCCACTGCAGAGGGAGAAATCACCTTACCTTCTGTGGAAGTGGATATCTCCAAACCAGAACTGAAAGGGGAAGTGACCCTGCCCTCTGTGGGCATCGAGACTGACGTGAAATTGCCCGGAGCTGAAATGAAGGCTCCTAGTGTGGAGTTGGATGTCGCTGAGAAGGGCAAAATCAAAATACCTGATGTCAAAATGCCAAGTGTCAAGGTTCCCAAGCTGAAGACTCCTCAAGTGGGAGTCTCGCTGCCAAAGGTTGAGGGAGACATCTCTGTTCCCAAAGCAAAAGTGGAAATTCCAGAGGCAGAGGTCTCTGTTAAGGTGCCTGAAGCAGAAGGCAGCATCGAGGGTGGCGGAATGAAAATACACATGCCAAAGTTCAAGATGCCCAGCATGGGTTTCTCCAAACCAGAGATCAAAGGTCCCAAAGTTGATGTGGACGTCAGCGCACCCAAGGTTGACATTGCTCTTCCGGACGTCAGTATAACCAAGCCTGAGATCAAAGCAGGCGACATTTCAGCAGACATCAGCCTCTCAGCACCTGACATAAAGATTCCAAAGGGGGAAGCTTCCTTGGAACTGAAGGCTCGAGACCTAAAGCTTGAGTCACCATCAGCGGATGTCGTTCTAGGTGGAGTTGAAGCGAAGCTGGAGGGTACGGACAGTAAATTTAAGATGCCAAAAGTCCAAATGCCCAAGTTTGGAATGTCACTTCCCAAGGGGAAAGCCACTGCAGAGGGAGAAATCACCTTACCTTCTGTGGAAGTGGATATCTCCAAACCAGAACTGAAAGGGGAAGTGACCCTGCCCTCTGTGGGCATCGAGACTGACGTGAAATTGCCCGGAGCTGAAATGAAGGCACCTAGTGTGGAGTTGGAGGTTGCTGAGAAGGGCACAATCAAAATACCTGATGTCAAAATGCCACGCGTCAAGGTTCCCAAACTGAAGACTCCTCAAGTGGGAGTATCGCTGCCAAAGGTTGAGGGAGACATCTCTGTTCCCAAAGCAAAAGTGGAAATTCCAGAGGCAGAGGTCTCTGTTAAGGTGCCTGAAGCAGAAGGCAGCATCGAGGGTGGCGGAATGAAAATACACATGCCAAAGTTCAAGATGCCCAGCATGGGTTTCTCCAAACCAGAGATCAAAGGTCCCAAAGTCGATGTGGACGTCAGCGCACCCAAGGTTGACATTGCTCTTCCAGACGTCAGTGTAACCAAGTCTGAGATCAAAGCAGGTGACATTTCAGCAGACATGAAGTTCACAGCACCTGACGTACAGTTTCCAAAAGGGGAGGCTTCCTTGGAACTGAAGGCTCCAGATTTGAAGGTTGAGGCACCATCGGCTGATATTGATGTAGGTGGCATTGAAGCGAAGGTGGAGGGCACGGACAGTAAATTTAAGATGCCAAAACTCCAAATGCCCAAGTTTGGAATGTCACTTCCCAAGGGGAAAGCCACTGCAGAGGGAGAAATCACCTTACCTTCTGTGGAAGTGGATATCTCCAAACCAGAACTGAAAGGGGAAGTGACCCTGCCCTCTGTGGGCATCGAGACTGACGTGAAATTGCCCGGAGCTGAAATGAAGGCTCCTAGTGTGGAGTTGGATGTCGCTGAGAAGGGCAAAATCAAAATACCTGATGTCAAAATGCCAAGCGTCAAGGTCGCAAAAATAAAAACTCCTCAAGTGGGAGTCTCGCTGCCAAAGGTTGAGGGAGACATCTCTGTTCCCAAAGCAAAAGTGGAAATTCCAGAGGCAGAGGTCTCTGTTAAGGTGCCTGAAGCAGAAGGGAGCATCGAGGGTGGCGGAATGAAAATACACATGCCAAAGTTCAAGATGCCCAGCATGGGTTTCTCCAAACCAGAGATCAAAGGTCCCAAAGTCGATGTGGACGTCAGCGCACCCAAGGTTGACATTGCTCTTCCGGACGTCAGTGTAACCAAGCCTGAGTTCAAAGCAGGTGACATTTCAGCAGACATCAGCCTCTCAGCACCTGACATAAAGATTCCAAAGGGGGAAGCTTCCTTGGAACTGAAGGCTCGAGACCTAAAGCTTGAGTCACCATCCGCTGATATTGATGTAGGTGGCATTGAAGCGAAGGTGGAGGGCACGGACAGTAAATTTAAGATGCCAAAACTCCAAATGCCCAAGTTTGGAATGTCACTTCCCAAGGGGAAAGCCACTGCAGAGGGAGAAATCACCTTACCTTCTGTGGAAGTGGATATCTCCAAACCAGAACTGAAAGGGGAAGTGACCCTGCCCTCTGTGGGCATTGAGACTGACGTGGAATTGCCCGCAGCTGAAATGAAGGCACCTAGTGTGGAGTTGGAGGTCACTGAGAAGGGCAAAATCAAAATACCTGATGTCAAAATGCCACGCGTCAAGGTTCCCAAACTGAAGACTCCTCAAGTGGGAGTATCGCTGCCAAAGGTTGAGGGAGACATCTCTGTTCCCAAAGCAAAAGTGGAAATTCCAGAGGCAGAGGTCTCTGTTAAGGTGCCTGAAGCAGAAGGCAGCATCGAGGGTGGCGGAATGAAAATACACATGCCAAAGTTCAAGATGCCCAGCATGGGTTTCTCCAAACCAGAGATCAAAGGTCCCAAAGTCGATGTGGACGTCAGCGCACCCAAGGTTGACATTGCTCTTCCGGACGTCAGTATAACCAAGCCTGAGATCAAAGCAGGCGACATTTCAGCAGACATCAGCCTTTCAGCACCTGACATGAAGTTTCCAAAAGGAGAGGCTTCCTTGGAACTGAAGGCCCCAGACCTAAACGTTGAGGCACCATCGGCAGATGTCGCTCTAGCTGGAGTTGAAGCGAAGCTGGAGGGTACAGACAGTAAATTTAAGATGCCAAAACTCCAAATGCCCAAGTTTGGAATGTCACTTCCCAAGGGGAAAGCCACTGCAGAGGGAGAAATCACCTTACCTTCTGTGGAAGTGGATATCTCCAAACCAGAACTGAAAGGGGAAGTGACCCTGCCCTCTGTGGGCATCGAGACTGACGTGAAATTGCCCGGAGCTGAAATGAAGGCACCTAGTGTGGAGTTGGAGGTCGCTGAGAAGGGCAAAATCAAAATGCCTGATGTCAAAATGCCAAGCGTCAAAGTTCCCAAGCTGAAGACTCCTCAAGTGGGAGTCTCGCTGCCAAAGGTTGAAGCAGACATCTCCCTTCCCAAAGCAAAAGTGGAAGTTCCAGAGGCAGAGGTCTCTGTTAAGGTGCCTGAAGCAGAAGGCAGCATTGAGGGTGGCGGAATGAAAATACACATGCCAAAGTTCAAGATGCCCAGCATGGGATTCTCCAAATCAGAGATCAAAGGTCCCAAAGACGATTTGGACGTCAGCGTCCCCCAGGTTGACATTGCTCTTCCAGACGTCAGTGTAACCAAGCCTGAGATCAAAGCAGGTGACATTTCAGCAGACATGAAGTTCACAGCACCTGACGTACAGTTTCCAAAGGGGGAGGCTTCCTTGGAACTGAAGGCTCCAGACCTAAAGCTTGAGGCACCATCGGCTGATATTGATGTAGGTGGCATTGAAGCGAAGCTGGAGGGCACGGACAGTAAATTTAAGATGCCAAAACTCCAAATGCCCAAGTTTGGAATGTCACTTCCCAAGGGGAAAGCCGTTGCAGAGGGAGAAATCACCTTACCTTCTGTGGAAGTGGATGTTTCCAAACCAGAACTGAAAGGGGAAGTGACCCTGCCCTCTGTGGGCATTGAGACTGACGTGGAATTGCCCGGAGCTGAAATGAAGGCACCTAGTGTGGAGTTGGAGGATGCTGAGAAGGGCAAAATCAAAATACCTGATGTCAAAATGCCAAGCGTCAAGGTTCCCAAAATGAAGACTCCTCAAGTGGGAGTTTCACTGCCCAAGGTTGAGGCAAATATCTCTGTTCCCAAAGCAAAAGTGGAAATTCCAGAGGCAGAGGTCTCTGTTAAGGTGCCTGATGCAGAAGGCAGCATCGAGGGTGGCGGAATGAAAATACACATGCCAAAGTTCAAGATGCCCAGCATGGGTTTCTCCAAACCAGAAATCAAAGGTCCCAAAGTCGATGTGGACGTCAGCGCACCCAAGGTTGACATTGCTCTTCCAGACGTCAGTGTAACCAAGCCTGAGATCAAAGCAGGTGACATTTCAGCAGACATCAGCCTCTCAGCACCTGACATAAAGATTCCAAAGGGGGAAGCTTCCTTGGAACTGAAGGCTCCAGACCTAAAGGTTGAGGCAACATCGGCTGATATTGATGTAGGTGGCAGTTGAAGCGAAGCTGGAGGGCACGGACAGTAAATTTAAGATGCCAAAACTCCAAATGCCCAAGTTTGGAATGTCACTTCCCAAGGGGAAAGCCACTGCAGAGGGAGAAATCACCTTACCTTCTGTGGAAGTGGATATCTCCAAACCAGAACTGAAAGGGGAAGTGACCCTGCCCTCTGTGGGCATCGAGACTGACGTGAAATTGCCCGGAGCTGAAATGAAGGCACCAAGTGTGGAGTTGGAGGTCGCTGAGAAGGGCAAAATCAAAATGCCTGATGTCAAAATGCCAAGCATGAAGGTCCCTGAGCTGAAGACTCCTCAAGTGGGAGTCTCGCTTCCAAAGGTTGAAGCAGACATCTCTGTTTCCAAAGCAAAGGTGGAAATTCCAGAGGCAGAGGTTTCTGTTAAGGTGCCTGATGCAGAAGGCAGGATCGAGGGTGGCGGAATGAAAATACACATGCCAAAGTTCAAGATGCCCAGCATGGGATTCTCCAAATCAGAGATCAAAGGTCCCAAAGACGATTTGGACGTCAGCGTCCCCCAGGTTGACATTGCTCTTCCAGACGTCAGTGTAACCAAGCCTGAGATCAAAGCAGGTGACATTTCAGCAGACATGAAGTTCACAGCACCTGACGTGCAGTTTCCAAAGGGGGAGGCTTCCTTGGAACTGAAGGCTCCAGACCTAAAGGTTGAGGCACCATCGGCAGATGTCACTCTAGGTGGACTTGAAGCGAAGCTGGAGAGCACGGACAGTAAATTTAAGATGCCAAAATTCCAAATGCCCAAGTTCGGAATGTCACTTCCCAAGGGGAAAGCCACTGCAGAGGGAGAAATCACCTTACCTTCTGTGGAAGTGGATATCTCCAAACCAGAACTGAAAGGGGAAGTGACCCTGCCCTCTGTGGGCATCGAGACTGACGTGAAATTGCCCGGAGCTGAAATGAAGGCACCTAGTGTGGAGTTGGAGGTCGCTGAGAAGGGCAAAATCAAAATGCCTGATGTCAAAATGCCAAGCGTCAAAGTTCCCAAGCTGAAGACTCCTCAAGTGGGAGTCTCGCTGCCACAGGTTGAAGCAGACATCTCCCTTCCCAAAGCAAAAGTGGAAGTTCCAGAGGCAGAGGTCTCTGTTAAGGTGCCTGAAGCAGAAGGCAGCATTGAGGGTGGCGGAATGAAAATACACATGCCAAAGTTCAAGATGCCCAGCATGGGATTCTCCAAATCAGAGATCAAAGGTCCCAAAGTCGATATGGACGTCAGCACCCCCAAGGTTGACATTGCTCTTCCAGACGTCAGTGTAACCAAGCCTGAGATCAAAGCAGGTGACATTTCAGCAGACATGAAGTTCACAGCACCCGACATAAAGATTCCAAAGGGGGAAGCTTCCTTGGAACTGAAGGCTCCAGACGTAAAGCTTGAGGCACCATCGGCGGATTTCGCTCTAGGTGTAGTTGAAGCGAAGGTGGAGGGCACGGACAGTAAATTTAAGATGCCAAAACTCCAAATGCCCAAGTTTGGAATGTCACTTCCCAAGGGGAAAGCTGTTGCAGAGGGAGAAATCACCTTACCTTCTGTGGAAGTGGATGTTTCCAAACCAGAACTGAAAGGGGAAGTGACCCTGCCCTCTGTGGGCATTGAGACTGACGTGGAATTGCCCGCAGCTGAAATGAAGGCACCTAGTGTGGAGTTGGAGGTCACTGAGAAGGGCAAAATCAAAATACCTGATGTCAAAATGCCACGTCACAAACTGAAGACTCCTCAAGTGGGAGTCTCACTGCCCAAGGTTGAGGCAGACATCTCGGTTCCCAAAGCAAAAATGGAAATTCCAGAGGCAGAGGTCTCTGTTAAGGTGCCTGAAGCAGAAGGCAGCATTGATGGTGGCGGGATGAAAATACACATGCCAAAGTTCAAGATGCCCAGCATGGGTTTCTCCAAACCAGAGATCAAAGGTCCCAAAGTCGATGTGGATGTCAGCGCACCCAAGGTTGACATTGCTCTTCCGGACGTCAGTGTAACCAAGCCTGAGTTCAAAGCAGGTGACATTTCAGCAGACATGAAGTTCACAGCACCTGACATAAAGATTCCAATGGGGGAAGCTTCCTTGGAACTGAAGGCTCCAGATTTGAAGGTTGAGGCACCATCGGCTGATATTGATGTAGGTGGCATTGAAGCGAAGCTGGAGGGCACCGACAGTAAATTTAAGATGCCAAAACTCCAAATGCCCAAGTTTGGAATGTCACTTCCCAAGGGGAAAGCCACTGCAGAGGGAGAAATCACCTTACCTTCTGTGGAAGTGGATATCTCCAAACCAGAACTGAAAGGGGAAGTGACCCTGCCCTCTGTGGGCATCGAGACTGACGTGAAATTGCCCGGAGCTGAAATGAAGGCACCAAGTGTGGAGTTGGAGGTGTCTAAGAAGGGCAAAATCAAAATGCCTGACGTCAAAATGCCAAGCATGAAGGTCCCTGAGCTGAAGACTCCTCAGGTGGGAGTCTCGCTGCCGAAGGCTGAGGGAGACATCTCTGTTCCCAAAGCAAAAGTGGAAATTCCAGAGACAGAGGTCTCTGTTAAAGTGCCTGATGCAGAAGGCAGGATCGAGGGTGGCGGGATGAAAATACACATGCCAAAGTTCAAGATGCCCAGCATAGGTTTCTCCAAACCAGAAATCAAAGGTCCCAAAGTCGATGTGGACGTCAGCGCCCCCAAGTTTGACATTGCTCTTCCAGACGTCAGTGTAACCAAGCCTGAGATCAAAGCAGGTGACATTTCAGCAGACATCAGCCTTTCAGCACCTGACGTGAAGTTTCCAAAAGGAGACGCTTCCTTGGAGCTGAAGGCTCCAGACCTAAACGTTGAGGCACCATCGGCAGATGTCACTCTAGGTGGACTTGAAGCGAAGCTGGAGAGCACGGACAGTAAATTTAAGATGCCAAAATTCCAAATGCCCAAGTTTGGAATGTCACTTCCCAAGGGGAAAGCCGCTGCAGAGGGAGAAATCACCTTACCTTCTGTGGAAGTGGATATCTCCAAACCAGAACTGAAAGGGGAAGTGACCCTGCCCTCTGTGGGCATCGAGACTGACGTGAAATTGCCCGGAGCTGAAATGAAGGCAACTAGTGTGGAGTTGGAAGTTGCTGAGAAGGGCAAAATTCAAATGCCTGATGTCAAAATGCCAAGCGTCAAAGTTCCCAAGCTGAAGACTCCTCAAGTGGGAGTCTCGCTGCCACAGGTTGAAGCAGACATCTCCCTTCCCAAAGCAAAAGTGGAAGTTCCAGAGGCAGAGGTCTCTGTTAAGGTGCCTGAAGCAGAAGGCAGCATTGAGGGTGGCGGAATGAAAATACACATGCCAAAGTTCAAGATGCCCAGCATGGGATTCTCCAAATCAGAGATCAAAGGTCCCAAAGTCGATATGGACGTCAGCACCCCCAAGGTTGACATTGCTCTTCCAGACGTCAGTGTAACCAAGCCTGAGATCAAAGCAGGTGACATTTCAGCAGACATGAAGTTCACAGGACCTGACGTGCAGTTTCCAAAGGGGGAGGCTTCCTTGGAACTGAAGGCTCCAGACCTAAAGGTTGAGGCACCATCAGCGGATTTCGCTCTAGGTGTAGTTGAAGCGAAGCTGGAGGGTACGGACAGTAAATTTAAGATGCCCAAATTCCATATGCCCAAGTTCGGAATGTCACTTCCCAAGGGGAAAGCTGTTGCAGAGGGAGAAATCACCTTACCTTCGGTGGAAGTGGATGTTTCCAAACCAGAACTGAAAGGGGAAGTGACCCTGCCCTCTGTGGGCATTGAGACTGACGTGGAATTGCCCGCAGCTGAAATGAAGGCACCTAGTGTGGAGTTGGAGGTCGCTGAGAAGGGCAAAATCAAAATGCCTGGTGTCAAAATGCCCAAAACGAAGACTCCTCAAGTGGGAGTCTCACTGCCCAAGGTTGAGGCAGACATCTCGGTTCCCAAAGCAAAAATGGAAATTCCAGAGGCAGAGGTCTCTGTTAAGGTGCCTGAAGCAGAAGGCAGCATCGAGGATGGTGGAATGAAAATACACATGCCAAAGTTCAAGATGCCCAGCATGGGTTTCTCCAAACCAGAAATCAAAGGTCCCAAAGTCGATGTGGACGTCAGCGCACCCAAGGTTGACATTGCTCTTCCAGACGTCAGTGTAACCAAGCCTGAAATCAAAGCAGGTGACATTTCAGCAGACATGAAGTTCACAGCACCTGACATAAAGATTCCAAAGGGGGAAGCTTCCTTGGAACTGAAGGCTCCAGACGTAAAGCTTGAGGCACCATCGGCTGATATTGATGTAGGTGGCATTGAAGCGAAGCTGGAGGGCACGGACAGTAAATTTAAGATGCCAAAACTCCAAATGCCCAAGTTTGGAATGTCACTTCCCAAGGGGAAAGCCACTGCAGAGGGAGAAATCACCTTACCTTCTGTGGAAGTGGATATCTCCAAACCAGAACTGAAAGGGGAAGTGACCCTGCCCTCTGTGGGCATCGAGACTGACGTGAAATTGCCCGGAGCTGAAATGAAGGCACCTAGTGTGGAGTTGGAGGTGTCTAAGAAGGGCAAAATCAAAATGCCTGACGTCAGAATGCCAAGCATGAAGGTCCCTGAGCTGAAGACTCCTCAGGTGGGAGTCTCGCTGCCGAAGGCTGAGGGAGACATCTCTGTTCCCAAAGCAAAAGTGGAAATTCCAGAGACAGAGGTCTCTGTTAAAGTGCCTGATGCAGAAGGCAGGATCGAGGGTGGCGGGATGAAAATACACATGCCAAAGTTCAAGATGCCCAGCATAGGTTTCTCCAAACCAGAAATCAAAGGTCCCAAAGTCGATGTGGACGTCAGCGCCCCCAAGTTTGACATTGCTCTTCCAGACGTCAGTGTAACCAAGCCTGAGATCAAAGCAGGTGACATTTCAGCAGACATCAGCCTTTCAGCACCTGACGTGAAGTTTCCAAAAGGAGACGCTTCCTTGGAGCTGAAGGCTCCAGACCTAAACGTTGAGGCACCATCGGCAGATGTCACTCTAGGTGGAGTTGAAGCGAAGCTGGAGGGCACGGACACTAAATTTAAGATGCCAAAATTCCAAATGCCCAAGTTCGGAATGTCACTTCCCAAAGGGAAAGCCACTGCAGAGGGAGAAATCACCTTACCTTCTGTGGAAGTGGATATCTCCAAACCAGAACTGAAAGGGGAAGTGACTCTGCCCTCTGTGGGCATCGAGACTGACGTGAAATTGCCCGGAGCTGAAATGAAGGCACCTAGTGTGGAGTTGGAAGTTGCTGAGAAGGGCAAGATCAAAATGCCTGATGTCAAAATGCCAAGCGTCAAGGTTCCCAAAATGAAGACTCCTCAAGTGGGAGTCTCGCTGCCACAGGTTGAAGCAGACATCTCCCTTCCCAAAGCAAAAGTGGAAGTTCCAGAGGCAGAGGTCTCTGTTAAGGTGCCTGAAGCAGAAGGCAGCATTGAGGGTGGCGGAATGAAAATACACATGCCAAAGTTCAAGATGCCCAGCATGGGATTCTCCAAATCAGAGATCAAAGGTCCCAAAGTCGATATGGACGTCAGCACCCCCAAGGTTGACATTGCTCTTCCAGACGTCAGTGTAACCAAGCCTGAGATCAAAGCAGGTGACATTTCAGCAGACATGAAGTTCACAGGACCTGACGTGCAGTTTCCAAAGGGGGAGGCTTCCTTGGAACTGAAGGCTCCAGACCTAAAGGTTGAGGCACCATCAGCGGATTTCGCTCTAGGTGTAGTTGAATCGAAGCTGGAGGGTACGGACAATAAATTTAAGATGCCCAAATTCCATATGCCCAAGTTCGGAATGTCACTTCCCAAGGGGAAAGCTGTTGCAGAGGGAGAAATCACCTTACCTTCGGTGGAAGTGGATGTTTCCAAACCAGAACTGAAAGGGGAAGTGACCCTGCCCTCTGTGGGCATTGAGACTGACGTGGAATTGCCCGGAGCTGAAATGAAGGCACCAAGTGTGGAGTTGGAGGTCGCTGAGAAGGGCAAAATCAAAATGCCTGGTGTCAAAATGCCCAAAACGAAGACTCCTCAAGTGGGAGTCTCACTGCCCAAGGTTGAGGCAGACATCTCGGTTCCCAAAGCAAAAATGGAAATTCCAGAGGCAGAGGTCTCTGTTAAGGTGCCTGAAGCAGAAGGCAGCATCGAGGATGGTGGAATGAAAATACACATGCCAAAGTTCAAGATGCCCAGCATGGGTTTCTCCAAACCAGAAATCAAAGGTCCCAAAGTCGATGTGGACGTCAGCACCCCCAAGGTTGACATTGCTCTTCCAGGCGTTAGTGTAACCAAGCCTGAAATCAAAGCAGGTGACATTTCAGCAGACATGAAGTTCACATCACCTGATGTACAGTTTCCAAAGGGGGAGGCTTCCTTGGAACTGAAGGCTCCAGACGTAAAGGTTGAGGCACCACTAGTCGATGTTGATTTGGGAGGTGTTGAGACAAAGGTGGAAGGCATGGACAGTAAATTTAAAAGGCCTAAATTCCAAATGCCCAAGTTTGGAATTTCATTTCCCAAAGGTAAAGCCAGTGTAGATGGCATGGGCACCCTACCTTCTGTGGAAGTAGATATCTCCATACCAGAACAGAAAGGCGAAGTCATACTGCCCTCTATGAGCATCGAGACAGATTTGAAATTGCAAGGAGCTGAAATAGGGGCACCTAGTGCGGAATTGGAGGTCCCTGAGAAAGGAAAAATCAAGCTGCCCGATGTCAAAATGCCAAGCGTCAAGGTCCCCAAAATGAGGACTACTCAGGTGGGAGTCTCACTGCCAAAAGTACAAGCAGACATCTCTCTTCCCACAGCAGCAATGGAGAATCCAGAGGCTTCCGCATCTGTCAATGTGCCTCATGCAGAAAGTAGCATTAAGAGTGGCGGGATGAAAATGCACATGCCAAAGTTCAAGATGCCCAGCATGGGTTTTTCTAAACCAGAAATCAAAGGTCCCAAAGTCGATGTGGACGTCAGCGCACCCAAAGTTGACATTGATCTTCCTGATGTCAGTGTAACCAAGCCTGAAATCAAAGCAGGTGACATTTCAGCAGACATGAAGTTCACAGCACCTAACATAAAGATTCCACAGGGGGAAGCTTCCTTGGAACTGAAGGCTCCAGACCTAAACATTGAGGCACCACCGGCAGATGTCGCTCTAGGTGGAGTTGAAGCGAAGCTGGAGGGCACTGACAGTAAATTTAAGATGCCAAAATTCCAAATGCCCAAGTTTGGAATGTCACTTCCCAAGGGGAAAGCCACTGCAGAGAGAGAAATCACCTTACCTTCTGTGGAAGTGGATATCTCCAAACCAGAACTGAAAGGGGAAGTGACCCTGCCCTCTGTGGGCATCGAGACTGATGTGAAATTGCCCGGAGCTGAAATGAAGGCACCAAGTGTGGAGTTGGAGGTGTCTGAGAAGGGCAAAATCAAAATACCTGATGTCAAAATGCCAAGCGTCAAGGTCCCAAAAATAAAACCTCCTCAAGTGGGAGTCTCGCTGCCGAATGTTGAAGCAGACATCTCTGTTCCCAAACCACCCACCCCCCCCCCCCCCCCCCCCCCCCCCCCCCCCCCCCCCCCCCCCCCCCCCCCCCCCCCCCCCCCCCCCCCCCCCCCCCCACCCCCCCCCCCCCCCAAGTCAAGGTCCCCAAAATGAGGACTACTCAGGTGGGAGTCTCACTGCCAAATGTACAAGCAGACATCTCTCTTCCCACAGCAGCAATGGAGAATCCAGAGGCTTCCGCATCTGTCAATGTGCCTCATGCAGAAAGTAGCATTAAGAGTGGCGGGATGAAAATGCACATGCCAAAGTTCAAGATGCCCAGCATGGGTTTTTCTAAACCAGAAATCAAAGGTCCCAAAGTCGATGTGGACGTCAGCACCCCCAAGGTTGACATTGATCTTCCTGATGTCAGTGTAACCAAGCCTGAAATCAAAGCAGGTGACATTTCAGCAGACATGAAGTTCACAGCACCTGACATAAAGATTCCACAGGGGGAAGCTTCCTTGGAACTGAAGGCTCCAGACCTAAACATTGAGGCACCACCGGCAGATGTCGCTCTAGGTGGAGTTGAAGCGAAGCTGGAGGGCACGGACACTAAATTTAAGATGCCAAAATTCCAAATGCCCAAGTTTGGAATGTCACTTCCCAAGGGGAAAGCCACTGCAGAGAGAGAAATCACCTTACCTTCTGTGGAAGTGGATATCTCCAAACCAGAACTGAAAGGGGAAGTGACCCTGCCCTCTGTGGGCATCGAGACTGATGTGAAATTGCCCGGAGCTGAAATGAAGGCACCAAGTGTGGAGTTGGAGGTGTCTGAGAAGGGCAAAATCAAAATACCTGATGTCAAAATGCCAAGCGTCAAGGTCCCAAAAATAAAACCTCCTCAAGTGGGAGTCTCGCTGCCGAATGTTGAAGCAGACATCTCTGTTCCCAAAGCAAAAGTGGAAATTCCAGAAGCAGAGGTCTCTGTAAAGGTGCCTGATGCAGAAGGCAGGATCGAGGGTGGCGGAATGAAAATACACATGCCAAAGTTCAAGATGCCCAGCATAGGTTTCTCCAAACCAGAAATCAAAGGTCCCAAAGTCGATGTGGACGTCAGCGCCCCAAGTTTGACATTGCTCTTCCAGACGTCAGTGTAACCAAGCCTGAGATCAAAGCAGGTGACATTTCAGCAGACATCAGCCTTTCAGCACCTGACGTGAAGTTTCCAAAAGGAGACGCTTCCTTGGAGCTGAAGGCTCCAGACCTAAACGTTGAGGCACCATCGGCAGATGTCGCTCTAGGTGGAGTTGAAGCGAAGCTGGAGAGCACCGACACTAAATTTAAGATGCCAAAATTCCAAATGCCCAAGTTTGGAATGTCACTTCCCAAGGGGAAAGCCGCTGCAGAGGGAGAAATCACCTTACCTTCTGTGGAAGTGGATATCTCCAAACCAGAACTGAAAGGGGAAGTGACCCTGCCCTCTGTGGGCATCGAGACTGACGTGAAATTGCCCGGAGCTGAAATGAAGGCACCTAGTGTGGAGTTGGAGGTCTCTGAGAAGGGCAAAATTCAAATGCCTGATGTCAAAATGCCAAGCGTCAAAGTTCCCAAGCTGAAGACTCCTCAAGTGGGTGTCTCGCTGCCAAAGGTTGAAGCAGACATCTCGGTTCCCAAAGCAAAAGTGGAAGTTCCAGAGGCAGAGGTCTCTGTTAAGGTGCCTGAAGCAGAAGGCAGCATTGATGGTGGCGGGATGAAAATACACATGCCAAAGTTCAAGATGCCCAGCATGGGTTTCTCCAAACCAGAAATCAAAGGTCCCAAAGTCGATGTGGACGTCAGCACACCCAAGGTTGACATTGCTCTTCCGGACGTCAGTGTAACCAAGCCTGAGATGAAGGCAGGGGACATTTCAGCAGATATCAAGTTCTCTGCACCTGATGTGAATATTCCAAAGGGGGAGACTTCCTTGGAACTGAGAGCTGCAGACCTACAAATAGAGGTACCTTCTGCTGAGATTACTCTGGATGGTGCTGAGGCAAAGATGGAAGGCCTAGACAGTAAATTTAAGATGCCAAAGCTCCAAGCGCCCAAATTTGGAATTTCGCTTCCCAAAGCGAAAGGTGCAGATGAGGAGATCACTTTTCCATCTGTGGATATTTCTGTTCCAAAATCAGATGCTGACATCCAAGGACCAGATTCAGAAGGCAAAAATATTAAACGTGAAAGCTATGAAAAAGAAATTGTTGAAAAAGAAAGCAAATTTAAAATGCCAAAATTCAAGCTTCCATCATTTAGCTGGTCTCCAAAGAAAGAAGCAAGTGTTTCTACTGATATTTATGCAAATTTAGAAGATCCCTCAGTTCCAGTTCCAACAGGTGATATTGAATCTGAATTAACACTCACTGTAGAGGAAGGTGAAGTCCACATTGAAGACCTAGAGGGACATATATCTTTTGATAAAGACAGCGAGAAAACCAAAATCAGAAGGCCTCATTTTAGCATGCCAAAGATATCCCTTCCAAAAATGAAAAGTCATAAAGCAGAAATATCTGTACCACAGTTGCATGCTGACATGACAGTATCTACGATAGCGGATGAAGGAAAGATGTCACTACAAATGCGGGATACAGATATCAGTGGTAGTGATTCTAGAAAAGGCATCAAAATGCCCGAAGTTAAGCTTCCAAGCCTAGAACTTTCCAAACCAGAACTTAAAGTTCCAAAAATGGACATGGAAATCAGCTTACCTGAAAGTGATGTCAAACTTTCTATACCTGATGCCAGTCTTTCAGAAGCAGAATTAAAATCACTTGATGTTGGTGATAATGTTAGTAAGACAATGGCAGAAATTAAAGTCCCTGTGGTGAAAGGCCTAGAAGTAGGAGTTGAAGGACCGTCCACTGATATCTCTGTAGATGGAACAGAGATAAAAACTGAAGGAATGGATGGGAAGATGAAAAGGCCTAAATTCCAAAGGCCTAAGTTTGGAATCTCATTTTCTAAAGGAAAAACTCCAGACACCGAGATTAGTTTACCATCTGAAGATGCAAAAGTTCCTCAGTTGAAAACGACTACAGATATTGCAGATATTGCAGTAGAGGCTCCAACACTTGAAGGAGAAGGTGACTTAGCTGGTTCAGGAAAAACCGGCCCTGAAGGGAAAATTAAAATGCCCCCAATCCCTAGAACCGACATGAAGATTCCAGCAATAGACATAAAATTACCATCAGTGGGTCTTTCTGTGGCACAGCCAGAGACGGAGGCTCAAGATTTGGTTGCTGCAGCAAAAGATGCTAAATTTGAGGGAGATATAAAGACTGGAAGTATAGATGCAGAAGAAAAAGAAGGGCATTTCAAAATGCCAAAATTCAAATTGCCATCATTTAATTGGTCACCTAAAAAGGAAGCAAGTCTTAAGACTACTGCAAAGGAACCTCTGGAAGAACCTAAATTGACTATCTTATCAGATGATACAGATGCAGAACTAACAGCAGTTCTGTCAGAAGATCAAGAAGTCCACATGGAGCTAGATGCTGAAATAGCTACAAAAAAAGGTCAGATGAAAAGGCCACATTTTAATATGCCCAAAATCTCCCTTCACAGGCCAAAACTACCAAAATCGCAGGGTAGCCTGCCAAAAGTGGAGGCAGATATTACTGTGGAAAGAGAAGGGGCTTTGGTACACATACCTGATATAGAGAGCAGTTTTACCACACAGAAAGAAGAAGAAACCGAAATATGCATAAAAATGCCAAAGGGCACATCAAAAGTGGAAATCAAAGCTCCCCAAGTAGATACCGATATTAAAGTTGATATTAAGGAGCCCACCATAGATAGTTCAGTTGAACTGAAAAGTGCAGAAATAGGATCTGAAGGTGAAATCAATGTGGATAGTGGAAGTATGAAAACTGATGTTGCGGAGGGCACAATTAGAATGCTAAAACTCCAAATGCCAAAGTTTGGAATTTCAGTTCCAGAAGGAAAATTGCCAGAGACTGGGGTCACCTTACCCGAAATGGAAACTGAAGTTTCTCATCTACAAGCAACAAAAGACTTTGAGAGACTTTGCGGCGAAGCTCCAACCTTGGAAGTAAAAGCTGAACCCGCTGATGCAGAAATAAAGGTGTCAGCTGGAGAAATACAAATGCCCAGAGTCGACATCGAAGTATCTGACATATCTGTTCTCAGCCCTGCTGAGCAGGATGCAAAAGAACAAGGAGAACATGAAGCAAAGTCTGGAGAGAGTCAAACTGAGGAGTCTCCGGGTTGGTTTAAAATGCCAAAGTTTAGGATGCCTTCATTTGGCCGATCATCTTCAAAGGGGAAAAAAGGTGATGCTGAAGGAGATGGCAGTACAGGAAAAGCTCCTCTTGCTGAAGTAGAAATAAAAGCTCCTGAAATGGCAAGCCAGTCTCCCCATGTGGTTAGTGAATTGTATTCTGGACAGGACATTTTAGAAGGCAAAGTCATGTTTCCTCAGGAGGACATTACAAAAGATGGAGTTTCAATACAGAAGGAAAAGGACTTCAGAACTGGCCTATTAATGGGGGAAGGCAGTTTTTCCCAGGCCTCAGGAAAAGCTGACGATAAAATAAGTCCCCTGGGATCTAAAACATATGCTGATGTAGTTAAGCTTGGTGCTGAAGGACAGATTGTACAGATACATAAAACTTCATCCACTGTCCCCACATCAGAAATCAGTGTACCAGATGTGGATATTGACATGACAGTGGCTGAGACACATGCCACTAAAATTACTGTGGCTGGAACAGAGGAAAAAGTTGGTGCTATCATTACAGAGGCAAACGTCGCTGAGCAAAGCCCTGATGCAAAGACTGAAAAGGAGAGCCAAATAAAATCACCCAAAAAGGATATTCAAGGAAAAGAAAGCATATTCAAAATGCCAAAGTTCAGTGTGCCTTCTTTTGGATGGTCAACCACAAAAACCACCAAGAAAGTTGATGATGCTACATCTGACTTGCAAGAGCCTGATGTTAGACCACCAGAAGTTAGAATGGATGTTTCAGTCACTGATGAAGACTTTGAAATAATAGAGTACCCAATAGAAGGCTTTGAAAAAGATATGCCTGTGGAAGGAGAAGTGAAAGCAGAAGGGACAGATGGCTCAAGTAAAACAAAATCATCAAAATTCAAGATGCCAAAGTTTGGCAGTTTACGTACCAAATCACGAAGTGCAGAAGTTGATGCTGATCCACCAAAAACAGAGGCTGAGGTGTCACTAGATAAAACTGAAGGACAGATATTTGGAATCCCGGCTCAAAAAGCAGAAGAGTTTGTTGACATGAAAAGTAGAAAACTTGACCTTGCGGAGAAACCAGGAGACACCACAGGCAAACAAGATTTTGAAGATTCAGAGATAAATTTCCATATTCACAAACTTAAAATACCCAAGTTCACATACAGCACATCTGTAGCTGAAGGACAAGTGTTGACTTCAGAAGACACAACACACATGAAATGTGCTGCTACTGATACAGATGGTGATGGTGCCCCTCAACAAGAATTCAGAACTACATTCCTCGATAAGAAGGTAGAAGACATTGGTTGTAATATCCAGAAATCAACAGTCAGAATTACAACATTGTCTGACATCCAAAGAACACAAGTGGAAACTAAACTGCCATCTACAGATCCTTCTTTTGAGGAGACAACAACACTCATACAGAGGCCACTGGAATTCAACATTAAATTCCCTACAGAAAAAATAGACACCATGAACGGTAAAATCCAAAAATCAGTAGCTAAAATTACAACACTGTCGGAACCAGATATTCAGACAACACACCTTGAGTGTAAACTCCCATCTACTGAGTCATTTATTCAAAGTTCATCACTGCACATTGAAGGACCATACTTTGAAGGAAACGGAAAACAGCCACAAGGTAAATCTGCGTTTGACTCCTGCGATTCTGAAAGTCAGGAATCTTTCTCAACTCAGATAGTGAGAGAATCAGAGATTCCTCCATCAGAAGTTCAAACTGCCACCTATGGGTTTTCTCTTTTAAAAGTGAAAATTCAGGAATCACTTGTGAACTTGGATATGCCAGTCAAACTGTCTTCTACAGAATATACGAGTGAAATGTTCGAGAGTAAAGATCACCAACCTTCAGGTGAAAAGGCAAGAGAAACAACACAAAAGACCAGCTTTGCTGAACTGAAAGTATCAGACAAAGGCCAAGAACTTACTGAAGAAGCATCTTCTACTACTAAGTTGACAAAGCTGAAAGCATTTGCAGTTGAAGTACAATCTTCTGATGAGTTTGCAGACAGTTCAATGATGTCTGAATCTGCTGTAGAAATTACCGAAGAAACTGAAGTTGCAAGGGCTGAAGAAGAGTCAACAACAGATCCAAAGGAAAAATCTGATAGTAAGAGATCTTCTGGCAGGTTTAAATTTTGGCTTCCAAGTCTTGGGTTTTCTTCCTCTGTTGATGACACAGGCACAGATTCCAAACCTGAAGTTCAAAAACCATTTCAAGAAGAGACACAAGTCGATGTCCCATCCACATCAGACAGTGACACTGCCAAACAAACTGAAAAAGCTGGGTGGTTTAGATTCCCTAAGTTAGGTTTTTCATCTCCAACAAAAAAGGGAAGGGAAACTGATAAAGTAGAAGAGACAGATCCAAAAGAAGAAAAACCTCAGGATGAGGAAAGTCCAACAGAAAAATCAGAAACTTTTTTTGATGCACAAGAATCCTTGCCACCTAATGAAACAGTCGCAGAGAGTGAAACCTCAGAGACCACACCCATTGTTTCATCTTCTGCAAGAACTGAATTGATACTGCTAGAGAAAGGGAAAGCTCCAACCCAAAGTGTTCCTGAAGAGGCATAAAATTAAGATGGTTTCTTTTCCTTCAAAATTCAAGCATACATAAAAATGTGATGAAACACTTTTCTAGGCAGGGGAGAATTAGAAAACACATTGCCTTCTTTCCAGCAAAAGAAAATAAAACATTACATTAAAAGGATCGAAGAAATGTTTTGATTAAAATTACAGTACTGTTTTCAAGCTCATTGAAATATAGAAAAATAGTTCTTAACAAAAACACTTGTTGCATGGGACATAAGGAAACAAATTAGACAAAGGAAGCTACTGACAAGAGACATCCGTAGTTCTAATGAAACCAACAAAGACCCTTTCTATTAATTTCCACAAGTGTTCCTTCTTCAGACCTATTTAGAGGAATAAAGACTGGACAAAAGTTTAAATATAATCATTTGAGAATCAAATCACAGCAATGATTTTGTTCTAGATTATTTGCAGAGTATTAGGAAGCTAGTGCTGGGAGAATTAGGAGACATATTTTCTTTTTTAGATTTTATTTTTTTAACTGTATTTCTGCTGCTATCTTATGAAAAGTATATATAAATATATTTTCATTATCTTTGAGCAATAGGCATATTTCAGGATCGTTTTGAAACATAGACCAAATGGAAATAATACTGTAAATGTTACAATGCTTATTCTTCCTTTCCAGTCACAAAGCATCTTGCCAGTTTTCAAGACTATCAGTTAAACTGAAGTATCAGCACCTAAAAGACATTGATTATCAGTCCTAAACATTTTGCAGAACAGCATATATAAATGTTACTTCTGAAATTTCTTTTTAATGACAAAAAATCTTAGCACCAGTGTCTTAAGATATGTGTTAGCGTGCCTTTTGAAGTTTTATATATGTAAAATATCGGGACTAGCCAACATCTGGTCACCTGGGTGAAAAGTAGCTATAAGAAAAATATTGCTTGCCTTCATGCTTGTCCTGTGGCAAGTTGGGTAAATGCATTTGCCACTGTACAGAAGAAGCAGTTTTAACTATGCCCCTGCAAATATTTTTTCAAACCTTTGCACTGGGGAGTCAAAAGTTGAACCTGGTACATGATGCACACAGCCAGTTTCCTCCCGACTGGAGGCCAACACACACAAAATTCCTGTGGCTACCATGCCTGTAACTGATTACCTGAGCAGATACAGGCTGTATGCCTGTATGGTGGATACAGGATGGATACAAATGACTTACTATGTGAAAACTTGCCACGGTGCATATTTAATTGGTGTCTGTTTTGTCCTGCCAAGCGGCGAGAGTTTGACCCACGCTTCCTCAGATTTCTAATCAGGTAGAGAAATGCGGCAGAATTCCTCATGCAATTTTGCAAGACAAAACAAGCCTCTTCTGTTGTTCTTCCCTCATTATTGTGTGATGGGGGAGAGCCAGCTCAAGACATGCTACCTGAGGTGAAAGACAAGATGCCCCCCCTTCCCCTATTCCTCATACAGAAGCCAAGCAGACTGCCGACTGAACCTTACTGCAACACTGCCAGCAGGTAGAACAGGGCATCTGAGGGCAGAGGGCTCACCTACAGGGGACACAGGGCAATATTGTGGCACACACAGCTCTGTCCTCCAACACCTTGCTGCTTGTCTCCACCACCTAGTATCTGCCTGAGGCAATCACTCCACTCTGCCTAATGGCAGAGCCAACCTTAGGGACCTTCCTGTACACATTTAGGCTGCCCGTGTGATTTAGAGCATCAGATTCACCAGTGTTCTAAATTGTGCAAGGGATTCAGAAGGATCCCTGGCGCTGAAGTATTTTTCTAAACGTGGAGGACAATGGTGTCAGTTGCCAGGTCATGACAGACTGGGTGGGGTAAGGTCCATGGGGTCATCCCCACTTCAGCCATATGAGGCATGAAGGGGGTTACAGTTGACGTGAAAATGCCTACAGCATAAGTTATGACTTGTCAACCATAATCTGTATTCATTTGTTGACACTCATTCACCCCAGTGTTGTTTTGTACCCTTCTGCTGAGCAGTAAAAACAAACCCCCACAGGCCAGGTACAGATATGTAACCACATGATCACCAGTAGTCACTCTCAGTCCAAAGACATGTGTTGGGCAGACCAAAGCCGTCACATTCATTAATCCATCTAACCATTCAAAAGCGGCATTCGTTGACTCCAATCTTAAGACAAGGGTCATAAGATCCAACTGTCTTGATAAAGAGAACCTTCTGACCACAACAGTTACCCCTACAGAATGGGGGCTGAAGTGGCTTAAGGTGTGTACTTCAGTGTGACTTGATTGTAAACTGGCGTTCAAGTGACTTCAGAAATAAAACTTAATAGTCAGGAGTTTAGTGCTTGGATAAGATGGAAGGGAGCATATGTAAGTGGCTTTAACTTTCCTAAGGATATAGGTTGTAAATAGTTATTGTTTGCCTTTTGGATTATATGAATGCTTGCTACACGTATGCAGCCAACAAGATGGTACACACATGCCTGTGAAACATTGTGCTTATGTACGGCAACAATGTTGATTGTATCCTGGCTATGCTCCTCCTGATACAGAAATAAAAGTAGTACCGTTAGTATTGTGATCGTCATTCTGATTCTGAAGAAATACTATCCATGCTAACATGCCGATGTGGCTATCTAAAATGTCTGGGAAAGTTGGGGATTGGGGAATCTCTGGTTGTTAGGACTAGGATTCTGAGTTCATTTGCAAAAACAAATACAACAAAACCCTGGAATGTCCCTGAGATGGAACTCCTTCCCTTCCATCTGCAGATTTGGGAATTATCTGCAAATCTGGAAATTATCTTCTCTTGCATTCAAGTTTAGCAGTCCGACAATGACTGTTAGGCCTGTATTGTAGATAAAGTCTGCAGGGGGACCTGGGACAATTTCCAAAGTAGTAGGTGAAACTACTACTGTGCCATGTGAACTGCAGATGTCAGAAAATACCTGAGAACAACAAAACCTGGGTTCGGTGGGTAATTTGTCAGTCCTCTATACTCTTGCCAGTTACAGCCCATTTACTTTGTGCCATAAATTTTAATGATAACTGCTTTGAGGTTATTTATGTGTTTGTTACAATCAAGCCACATGTAAATCTTGTGACGTAAATAAGCGAATGATCGCTAGCCATCAGTGCTAGATTGCAGGGTCATTTTCCGGGTTTAGAGAGTCCATGGCAATATGTCAACTTTTCCTCCGCAAAAGGCAATGTGGCACTGAGAAGCTAGAGGGAGTCAAATTGCCCTACCCACAGGGGTGGGCAAGTGACAGGGGTGGTTGTTGTTGCTGCACTGTGGAAGCTCAGGCCATTGGTGAACTCCCCCACGAAATTAGGGCCTTAGTAATTTAATTATATGCCAACCTTCTGACTGGGTTGCCCTGTGGCAGGGGTTGGCAAAAATTTTAGCCACGGTCTGGTCCACTGTCCCTCAGACCTTGTGGCGGGCTGGAGAAGCTGCACGGGGGGGGGGCTGCAAGAATAGGCAAGGGGGGCAAGTAGTCCTCTTCCCCAGCCCCAGCCGCTGTGCTGACCTTCCCAGGGGCTGCCGCCACTGCTGCTTCTCGTGGGTAGGCAGAGGGAGCTTGTTCGCTCTGCTCTCTGGTCCACAGGAGCACCAGGGCAGCGGAGGGAAGAGGGGCTGCTTAAAATGGCGCTCAGCCAGACAGTTTGTGAGAGGCAGAGGGGGGAATGGAATGGTGCGGGGGGGGGGGGAATGGCACAGCCTGAACAAACAGAAGCCCCATGCTGATCCACGGAGAGTCTGCCAGACAGATCCTGAAGGCAATTGGGCCTGATCCGGCCCCCGGGCCTTTGTTTGCTGACCCCTGCCCTGTGGTGTTGATGGACATGACAGCATGTAACCAATTATGTATTCAAAATGGTTCCACCCTGGCTTTTGGCCCCCGCAGGGTCCTCAAGGCAGCCTCCAAATTAAAAACACAGATATCTAATTTTAAAAAAAGGAATGCAATCCGTGCAACAATTTTTGTTTTTGTTTTTTTAAAAAAAAGCCTTTAAAACCACAAAAGTAGAAAGTGTAAAAGCAAGTCAGTTTAAAATAATATAATGCCACACCAGGAGGTTAGTCAAAGCAGGGTTTTTTTAAAAAGGACTTGAGCGTTCGGCTTTTCAGCTACACTGGCCTCTAGTTCATTTCCAGATATCATTCAGAGTGCTGGTAATTATCGCAACGGTGCAAAATGGCTTGGGACTAGATTATTTGAAGGAGCTTCTCTTGATTTCAACCAGTCCCATCCACACATTTTACTCCTGGAAAAAGTTACCCCAGGCCTAGTAGAAGCAGTATATTGTCACTTTTTAATATATAAAGCTATGCCTACTGCTTCCCGGCTAAGAAATACAGAGAGACAGAAGCGGGTCTAGTTCAACTTTCCTTATCAGTTGTATCCTTCCTCCATTTTTTAAAAAGATGCCCATTAATTTAGCACAAACGTCCACACCAACTCTGCATGCACAGTTAAGACAAAGGAACAATAAACATATTTTTGGCATGCTGAGTTCACAGTTAACAAAATTTGCAGTGGGTCTTTCCACCATCAGAGCCTAGCAGTCCAATTTACATTAGGCCTCTGCATTTTTATTACAGCTTCACGATGTGTGCAAATGGATATCCTTATTCTCCTTGGATATTCCACCCATGGTAGACATCGTGGTTGTTTCACGGTGAGGGAAGTTGTGCCACTTGTTGGCCTCCAAGAAATGGCAGATTTACGTATAAGCTAAATGTTTTTTTGGGGGGGGGTACTACTTTTTAAATGTGTTTATATTGCTGTACACTGACCTGATATTTCATGGGTATAAGTAGTGGGTTGACAAGGCAGACGACACAGAGATTTCTCCAAGTGGTTCTTTATAGTAAGCTGGAACTGAACTGAACTGAACAGCTCAGCCGGCCTGCTTTTATAGTCAGCCGGCTGTCAACATTGTAACAAGACCACCCCAGGGTTTCCCGCCTAAATTAACTGACGCGGACCTGAGTGAAAACTATATACAGTGGTACCTCTGGATGCGAACGGGATCTGCTCCGGAGCCCCATTTGTATCCTGAAGCGAACGCAACCCACGCCTGCGCATGCACGGGTCGTGATTCGCCGTTTCTGTACAAGCGCATGACTACATTTTGACCGTCTGCGCATGCGCGAGTGGCGTAACGCGTTCCGTTACCTGCGGGTCGCCGTGGAGTGTAACCTGAAAATGCTCAACCTGATACTTAACCTGAGGTATCTGTACACAATACTCCTGGTGGCCAGGGTGAGCACTTCAATACATAACAATGGGAGGGTAGTATATAAATACTTTTATAAATCAAATAGATACATAAAGGGGGGTGGGGGAATATTTTTAAGCCCAAGGACAACGTTCCTTCATAGACAACCTCCTGAGGGACCTGCCAGGCCAGCAGCAGACAGGGCCTGAGGCAATGCTGGATTTACGTATAAGCTAAACAGGCTATAGCTTAGGGCCCCACTCTCTTGGGGGCTCCCCCCAAAAAATTAAAGGGGAAAAAACCCTGGATGTACATTTCCAAAATATAAGATAAAAAACAAATAAAATAAAACCTACATACAGCAACAGTGTTTTGTGTTGTGTAGGCGCCTATGATGTAAGTAACGGCCCCCGCCTGCTAGCCTGCTCCCTAAAATATCACTGGTTTGCTCATTAGTATAGGGCAGGGGTCTGCAACCTTTAAGACAAAAAGAGCCACTTGGACCCGTTTCCGAGGAAAAAACAACTGGGAGCCGCAAAACCATTGCGACATTTAAAACAAATATATTTCCGGAGCCGCAATCTGACAGCGGGCGGGCTGACAATTTGTTGTTGACAAAGGACAGCTGGACATATAAAAGGCCCCATTACCTTCAGTAGTTTAGGGCCTCATCAAATCTAAATCCGGCCCTGCCTCCAAGCCAGAGCTGGGCATTGAAGCTGAGGATCACCTGGCAGGAATTCAGCCTGTTAGACAACCATAAGTTGTGGTCCAGGGAACACTGGCTTTCACAGGAATTAAGTTTGGGACAGGATCCTCCACCCTATGTAAAGGTAAAGGGACCCCTGACCATTAGGTCCAGTCGCGGACGACTGGGGTTGCGGCGCTCATCTCACTTTACTGGCCGAGGGAGCTGATGTTTGTCCACAGACAGCTTCCGGGTCATGTGGCCAGCATGACTAAGCCGCTTCTGGCAAACCAGAGCAGCACATGGAAACACCATTTACCTTCCCGCTCAGAGCGGTGCCTATTTATCTACTTGCACTTTGACGTGCTTTCAAACTGCTAGGTTGGCAGGAGCAGAGACAGAGCGACGGGAGCTCACCACGTAGTGGGGATTCGAACCGCCAACCTTCTGATCGGCAGGCCCTAGGCTCTGTGGTTTAGACCACAGCGCCAGCCACGTCCATCCATTCCACCCTATGTAGACATACCATAATCCCCAGATATCCGGATTTTATTTATTTGTTTATTTATTTAGAAAACGTAAGTTTCTAGCATTTGCAAAACCTGAGATACGATGTCCACATATGCCCATGCCATGGAAAGAACTAGAGAGTAACCATTCAAACCAGGAAACAAGAAGATGGATTCACTCTGGCCATAGTTTATAGATCTGGAGCAATAGGAAGATGGGGCATGTGATCAAAAACACATCTGTTTAGTTGAGGCTCATTCTGCACTGTGCCTCCCAAACACAAATCATCAAAGCAAAATATATATTCATATGATTTCAACTCAGAAAGCTGAACACAGGTATATACCGTATGTCCTATTTTTCCATGTGGAGAAAATAGGTGTAAAGCGGCCTTATAAGTAGTTGGTGACAATATATATATGCACATCACCCACACCAAAATGTTTATTTAGCTATATTTACATAATTACATCCCACAGTAATGTATACGGAAAACATAATAAATTTTCCTTATTCAAACCCATAACCAGCTTGGACACAGATTTACTAGGCAGGCCTGGGTCAATTCACTTGGTAGCCTCAGTTCCCTATTTTTAAAAGCAAAATAGAAATGACTTCCAATACAAGGCAGATATAACAATTAATGTTACTAGCCACCTTGAAATTCAAGGAACAGTAATATAGAAGGCCATAGAAATCTAATTTAATAAGCAACTCTTGCTGGCAACAGCAGACAAAGCTTTTTAAAACTGCTATTCTGCAGCTGCCTTTTTCAGGCAGAATTGAGGGTACTGTCTTCAAACCTTTCTGGAGCAGTGCTGATTAAGTCAGTTCTGAACTGAGAAACAGAATGTTAGTGGTTTATGAAGCACAGCTTTTAATGGGCGGGGGGGGGAGCAGAGTAAAGCAGGCCATAATTTTCTCAAACATTGCCACCTTGTGGAATTTTGCTAATGCAACAATTGCCCGGTTGCGTAACTCTATTTTGATCTCTGGGCTGCAATTTGAAATTGTACAATCAAAGAGTATTTGCACAATTTCAGCGCAGTACAACTAAATAATTAACTTTCCCTTCTTGGGGTTTATTTTTTTGAGTGTGTTGGCTTGAAATCACTTTTTTAAGGGTGCAGACTAAAAGGCACACACCACCATAGAATAGCATTTATTGTCAAGGTATTAATAAGGATAAGGATCAAGTGTTGACAAGTGATGGCCAATTCTCATGTACCCTCTTATAATACATCTTCTAACCTAGCCATTCCACGATACACAATATTGGATCAAAGCTGCAGATATGCGTAGCCTGGAGAGGATAAGATTTAAGAGGAGTCATTATAGTAGCCTTCAAATATCTGAAGGACTGCTGTGCAGAAGATGGAGCAGACAGGTTCTCTGTTGCTTTATACAACATGACTACAGTGGTACCACTGGTTACGAACGCTTCAGCTTACGAGCTCCGCTGACCCAGAAGTTGTGAACTTTGCCCCAGGATATGAATGGAAATCGCGCCCCAAAGGTACGCGTGCAACGGGAGGCCCCATTAGCAAAAGTGCGCCTCAGGATAAGAACGGTTTCAGCTTAAGAACGGACCTCCGGAACAAATTAAGTTCGTAACCAGAGGTACCACTGTATAACCAGTAAACAGAAATTGCAGGGAAGCATGTTTCAGCTAAACATTAGGCAAAACTTCCATGTCAAATAGCTCTTACTGTTAGGAACAGACTTTCTTGGGAGGCAATGGGCTATCATTCACTGAGTGCATTTAAGTAATGCTTAATGGTCACCTTCCAGGGACACTGCGGTTGCATCCTGCATTGTAGATCCTGCACTGAGCAGTGTATTGGATTAAATGACATCCAAGTTCCCTTCCAGCTATACGATTCTGTTAAGTTGTGGGTGAACATATCAGAAGACACAGCGATTCTTCAAACAGCTCTTGTTTATTCACAGGCCAGAGCAGAACTGAGCTGAAGGGTTCAGCCAGCCTGCTTATATAGAGCTCCACTACAACGCAACTGTAACCACTTTCTGTAACTATCCAATCACTGAATGTCACTTTCAATCCCCTATTTGCATATGTGGACCTGAGTGAAAACTATCTACAGTTTCCCCCTGCTGGCCCAGGGTGAGAACTTCAGTACATAACAGATTCCATAAAAATGAAATTTGTGAACGGGACTACTCCGTGATCAAGGTTTGATACATCCTGAACTAAAACATTCATCATCTGGCAAATGCACAACGATCCTAAATTTCACACGCAGAAAGCTCATAACTGAATTCCCATTAGCTATAAAAAATAAAAATAATTTAGCTTTTAAAAGAACTTTTAAATCCATCTTCCCAAGCACAGTCTTTCTGCCCTGGCAGGTCTTCCATTTTTACCGAATATTTGGAATTCCAGTCTCGTTCAAAGAGAGCCCTCAGTTGCTCCTGTATGGTAGGGTTTCTCTTTGTGGCGTCTGCTGAAGACTGCTTGGCAACCAGTCCCACACCTGCCGTGATGCTGAAGTATTCTTCTGACCAGTTAGAAGTTCCTAGAGATGTATAAAGTGCAGTGTATATAAGGGTGCGATTTTAATTTATCTAGTCACCCACCCCCCAAAAAAGCTCAAATTTCCCCGTTATGGCAAACGTATAAGTCTTCTGGTTTCAAACAATTGAAAGCACTATTGTTAGAATATTCACTTGAAGCAAAAGCTGCAGAGTTCAAGGAAGAGGGAGAGGAAAGAGATTGAAACAGGCAGGATCCAGTGTCAAGAAAAACCCATAAGGACCCTCAAAACTAATGTGAATTACTAGGAGTGCTTTTTACCAGCTTATGGCTATTCTTGGACGTGGTGATTCATGCCCTAGTAACCTCAAGACTTGATTCTTGCAATGTGCTTTAGGGTAGAATCTAAACATTTTGAAAAATATATTGAATTTGCCATAAGCTCACCATCGCCATCTAGTGCCACATTTGTACATGCTTTTTTACTGGGGGGACGCAGGAGGACGCATACCTCTAAACATTTTGTGAATCTACGTTTGGCCTATTTGAGGGGCGGTATTTCAATATGAGTAGGAAAATGAAAGTACCCCTAAACAATTTTTAGAAAAAAGCACTGCATTTGTATAATGCGCTTAAATTGTTATATTTGCAGCTGTATAGCTGACTTCTACACAAACCACAGTCTCTACCAGGCCACAACACTTACCAATATAGACTGCCTTGTCAGTCACCATATATTTGCTGTGATTCAGCCTTGCAAAGGGGATGTTTGTGTGATTTCCAACTGGAACAGTGAAGATTTTCTGGTAAGATGTAAATATAAAAACATGTCTACAATGAGTGGGAATTAAACACAGATGACTTTATGAGTTTCCCACAATTGCCTGCCTTTCCCAAGTAATGGAAATAAAATAGGAATAGCTTTTGGCTAAGCTAGAGTAGACTTTCCACTTCCATTCGCCAGTAAAAGAAAAAGGAAAAACCCACTGCTAAAAATTATAAGAGAGCTTTGCATTTAATAGTGCCTTTTGGGTGCACATCATCTCAATTGGCACAGATGAGGAGGGCAACAAAGATGGTCAACTCTATGGGAAAGAAGACCTATGAGGAAAGCTTGGAAGACTTTGTTGTATTCAGCCTGAAGAAGCACTCTTCAAACATAAAAAGAGCTGTCTCATAAAAGAGGGCAAATACTTGTTCTCTGCTATCGCAGATGGCAGGACTTCATCTAATGGGCTTGAGCTACCGGAGGATAGATTTTGGTTGAACTTTAGGAGAATCCTGGTTTGCCAATGGAACCAATGGTTCCCTAGAGAGGACGTAGGCTCTTCATCACTGACAGTGCTTTTCCCCCGGGCGTACTCAAAGGTACGCAGTACTAGCATCTCTTTTTGTTGTTGTTAAAAAGTGTGGCACTTAACTGTAATAACTTCATGGTGAGTACCTGCACCTCTTTTTCAAGGGGAAAAAAAAGCACTGGTCACTGGATATCTTCAAGCAGAGACTAAATGGATGGCCAGCAAGACCTTCTGCCACTCTCCGATTCTGTCAGTGGCCTGTTAAGTTGTGGGCGAACATATCAGACGACACAGCAATTCTTCAAACAGCTCTTCTTTTTTCTGAGGCCAGAGCAGAGCTCAGTCAGCCTGCTTATATAGAGCTCCAGAACAACGTAACTGTAGCAACTTTCTAAAACTATCCAATCACTGAACGTCACTTTCGATCCTTCATTTGCATACAACTATCCAATCACTGAACCTCACTTTCGATCCTTCATTTGCATAACTATCTACAGTATCCCCCTGCTGGCCCAGGGTGAGAACTTCAGTACATAACATGGCCAAACCAAGACGGTTGTCCTGTCAAACGGTAAAGAGGTTTTTTTACCACAGATCAGATGGCCGTGACTGAATTGGTCATTTGTAGTGTCAAGCAGAGGTAGACAACGTGGGGCCCTCCACTGCAACTTCCATGGCGGCATGGCTAACGAAAGAGGATGTATTTATTTCATAAAATTGATATACCACTTGCTTGTAGAAAAAAAAACTTCAATGTGGTTTACAAAAAAGGATGTTAGGCTAAAATATATGTGCAGAGACACTGTCTGTAGTCACTATCTGTATCATCCTGTCAAAGAGCAAGAAAGATTTTACTGCACATCATGTGGTAAAATTGCCATTTATATCTACACGGTGAAAACCCATATCAACACAGCTTTTTAACCTGGATGTAAAGCACATGTACCAATGTGCTTTAAGCTCATTTATTTTTAAAACCATTTTGGCTCTGCTACATGAGGAGGAATGGGAAACGATCCGTATTACTAATTTTAACCAAAATTTATTTTTTCTTCTCAACTGTGAGAAGAAATTTTTGTTTATTAAATTGTGGTTTATTTCCTGCTGGGGGGGGGGACACACTTTAGGTTTAGCGATCTATAAGTTTGCTTACATTTTAAAATTTATTAATTGGGTTGTTGACATTTGCCCAACATCATTGCTAATACCTAAGTTTACAGTTTTTACAGTAGGGAGAAATAACTTTTCAGCTCATTTCATCCTGAGATTTTCCCCCATCCAGCAATGTAACACTTCCTCTTTCGTTCTTGTGGCATTAGCACACACAACACAAAAAGTGCATGTGAGCATCACTCCCACTATTCCTATGGGAAGAGATCCTACATGGATAGGAAACAGAAGGAAAGCATTTTAAAACTGCATTCTAGCTCTAGCCAGTGTAGATTTTTAAAAAGTTGGCATTATAGGTGCAGAAAAAGCAACAGAGTCTGAGGGTTGTCATGTTCACATTTGACACTTTGATATATGACCCAGAAAAGACCCTTAAAACTTGGTGTACAAGCTACATAAGTCACTGTCAATACCAGGAACATGACACATGTGCATCTGTAAGGAGCCCATGGCCCAAAAGCATGCTTCTTTTACCACTTCGATTGTGATGTTGGCATGTTGATCACTAAGGACACTCAGTGACTCCAAGAAACGAAACATGGAAGAATCAGTATGGACCCAGCAGTTGATTAAAAGCCGTATGTGTATATTTTGGCGTAACGCCACACTTCTCAGAGCATTGTCGATGGGTGGCCAGTATCTACAAAAACAACATTGTAATTAGTGAAGGTTGGACCATAAGGGCAAATGGGTACTGCCCCATTAACCTCAGTTTCAGCCCCCCACCTACCTGCCTTCTTACTTACAACCAAGCCAGAGGGTGGTACTAGCTGTCAGCTTCCTCCTCCTCCATCTCAGTTGCCCTTGTAGAACTTGGGAGGAGGATGGGAAGGAAACTATAATTCATTGGCTCTGCCTAGCATTGGCTCTGGCTCCACCTACTGTTGGCTTCCTGCCTTACACCTCACCAGTCCAAGTGAACAGCAGCCACAAACGCTTGTAAAACGATCAATGGGGAGCTTTATAGACACAAGAACTATTTGGTTTGGGCTTCCTACTAAAGCAGAGAAGTAACAGCTTCTGGTGCTAGCTAGCTGTCTTTCACTACATTATTGTCCCATGAAGCCCAGGCTGACCTGCATTGCTTTTACAGTGCGACACCCCAAAACCTGTGTAATTTAGAGCTGATGGTGCAGGGAGCTGCAACAACTAATTAAAGGTAAAGGTAAAGGGACCCCTGACCAGTCCAGTCGTGACCGACTCTGGGATTGCGGCGCTCATCTCGCTTTATTGGCCGAGGGAGCCAGCGTACAGCTTCCGGGTCATGTGGCCAGCATGACTAAGCCGCTTCTGGCGAACCAGAGCAGCGCACGGAAACGCCATTTACCTTCCCGCTGGAGCGGTACCTATTTATCTGCTTGCACTTTGATGTGCTTTCGAACTGCTAGGTTGGCAGGAGCAGGGACCGAGCAATGGACGCTCAGCCCATCGCGGGGATTCAAACCGCCAACCTTCTGATCAGCAAGTCCTAGACTCTGTGGTTTAACCCACAGCGCCACCTGCGTCCCTATACAACTAATTAGCATTTAGCTAAGAATATAAAAGGGTGCACATATATTCAGGTTTCACTTCATACCTTGGCGGTTGTCTGAAGCGGCTTGTAGGGAAGTAATCCATCATGGAGACATAGACAAATTTTTCTGCATCGTAGATAACATCGAGAACTGCCACGAGATCAAAGGTGCGACCCCCTGGACAAAAGGAAGCAGGAGAAGCCTAGAGCAAAGGAGAAGTTTAATTACTACATCATCTATTGATCCCCAAGTTTTTTCAATGAGAATAAACATTTCCTACAGAAGGTTTCATTGTAATCCTATGCACACTTAGTAGAGAGTAAATCCCACTGAATTCAGTGGGGTTAATCTGAGGAAAACATGCTTAGGAACTGTCTGCTTACAGAAAAATAAGCTTCAGTGCTTGTTCCATTTAACTGCACTTCCAAAGGACTGTAGCTGTTGATATTGGTAGAATAATTGCTCGGCCATGGAGATGGGATGGTGGCGTTTGCTTCCCCAAGATCCCAGTAGGTTTTGAAGGTTTTCCAGAGATCCTTAGCTAAGCAGCTGCAGTTGCTGATCAAAACCCCCACTTCTTTCACCTGCAGAAAGAGAGAAACTGGAGACCAATATTCCAAACCAAACCTGGAAGAGGAAGAAACAAAGTGAGGTTTGGCCAAAGGGGTCGGCCTCTTTCAATTGGCCTTCGCCCCACCCCCAGCTGGCCGTCCATTGTTCTCCCAGGCCGGAGGCGGGACGATAGCCACCCTGACCCAGCTGGGAGGCACCAGACCAGGTAAGCCTCCTCGGTGTCGCAAACCCCACCCACCTGTTGGGAAGGGGGGCGGAAATTGTTGCTTTCACTCCTTCTTTGTACTGGTGTGGTAATATATCTAGAAAGGGCATAAGTTTGAATGAAATCATAGAGCAAAATACAGAAAGCGGAAATGCCCTTTTACAAGTGCTTCGGAGCTCAGCAGTTCAACACCTCTGCAGTCACATAGCACAACCTGGGTTCTGGGGATCGTAACTTGGAGAGCTGCTGCCAGTCTGAGTAGGCAGTACTGTGCTATACAGGCAACCAGCCTGATCACAAGGCAGCTTCCTATGATAATGTGTGTGGAATATTAGAACTCTTGAGTTCTCAGGAACTTGTCAGGAGTCATCCAAGTAGGGTAACCCCAAATACCAAAGAGCTCTCTTGTACACTTGATAGCTGCATGAGAAGCTAGGCCTGTTGAAATTCCCTCTTCTATAAAACTATTAAAGAACACCTCTGCTCTCTCTCTCTCTCTTTACCTAATCACTCCATCTTCATGGAAAGAGCAGTGGACTAGCTTTCCTGAAGGATAAACCTGCCCACTAAAACTGATCTTTCTCCATAACATGCAACCATAGAGGGGTGTTGGGTGTCTCCAAACAGCGGCAGAATTGGGCTCTCAGATTTCAGCAGTGCCCTGTTCGACACTATAATTCAGTGTCCACCCACCACCCCACCTCTCGTACTCTGTTCTACAGCATTGTTTTGGTGCCCGTCTGCAGGGCAGCGCCCGGTGCAAGTGCACCAAGCGCCTCTGCTGCAAAGGTGCAATCTGACGTCCCAAGTGGGTGTGACATTGGAGATCTGGGTGGACCAGAGCATTTGGGAAAGGAGAGTTAACCATACGGTATGGGGAAATAGTGCAGGGGAAGGGATTAGGCAGTTTTCCCTCAATGCCATACTCCCAATCCAAACTGCCCTGCAACTAGTAGCGCTTTAAAAATTCAATTTGCAGATCTACCACATCATGTCAAGTTTGGCCCTTAGTTGGCACAGGATGACAGTGGCCCAAGAACCATAGCAATACCATGTGTGAATGGAGTGTGTACCCAGAATCCTGTTCAACACACAGCCAAGCTGGAGCAGTGCCTTGGCAGGCAACCTGGAAAGCGTCCCCTCAAGGCAGAAAAATCTGAAAACTACTGACGTAGCGTAACAACTTGAGTGGCTATGGTTAGAAACACAAATGTAGGACAAGCTCGTTTGCATCTTTAGATAGATAGTATAAGACTAACGAAATGTTCCGACAGCTGGAAGGAAAGAAGACAACTGAGCTTGGCCAGGTAATAAGTTTTTATGTTCTCCCCAAATAAAATCACCTGTCTTAACAGAACTGGTTCTCAGGATGTTTCCACGCAAATTTTGTCTTCTCATTAAGTATTGTGAACTCAGTCTCCCCACTCCCATCCCTGTGCCGCTTCAGCTTAATAGCCTGAAATCTCTCACCTGAGTCAGGGCTCTCCAGTCTATGTTGGCACTACCAAGAAATACGTGTTTCATATCTACAATCCAGAATTTGGTGTGCATGACACCTTGGGTGAGCTGTCCAAAATTAATCCTTTTTATGTGGGCTCCTATGGAAAAAATGTTGTTGTTTTTTAAGAGATGAAAGAACAGTTTCTTGAGCTGCTCTCAAGCCGTAACACACATTTACTTCAATGGAAGCCCTTATGCAAATTCACTAAATACCCCCTACAGAGTTGTGGGACTGAGGCACGTAGTAAGACTGTTGATCTCAGAAGGATCTGGAAACCAAGCCTTATGAGGAACAGTTGAGAGAGTTGGGTATGTTTAGCCTGGAGAAGAAGACACTGAGAGGAGCTATGATGGTGGTCTTCAAATATCTCAAGGGCAGCCACATGGAGGATGGAGCAAGCTTGTTTTCTCCTGCTCTAGATGTTAGGACTTGAACCAATGGATTCAAGAGAGATTCTGACTAAACATCACGAAGAACTACGGTATCTGATAGTAAGAGCAGTTGGACAGAGGAATGGACTCCCTTGGGGGAGTCTCTCCTTCCTTGGAGGTTTTTAAGCAGATGTTGGATGGCCATCTGCCATGTATGATCTAGTTGAGATTCCTGTAGAGGGTTGAACTAGATGACCCTCGTGGTCCCTTCCAACTCTACAATTATATGTTTCCACGATTCTATGAAAGATAATAACAAAACAGCAACTAGCATTCAGAGTCATCATGACTAGGAGGCTTCATTTAGTTCCCTCTTTGCTCACCTTTTGGTGTGCAACAAAGATATGGCAGTTTTAAGAGGCCCTGCAGTTTAACACTTGTGTATTAATTCTTGTGTAAGATTTTTAGTTGCTGGATTTTATGTTGTTTCAGTGGGAGTGGGGGGGGTCATAAGCATTTTATGACTGTTTTCATGTTGTTTGCTGTTGGGGGGGGCTGCTCTGCCAAAAGGCAGAATAGAAGTATTTTAATAAACAGTTACCTCTTTTCTCCAGGGCTTCAAGATCAGTTGAATGTTTAGCCTTAGATGGCACACTTGTTGCAATAAACACAGACACATTCTTCAGAAGCAGGCTTTCAAATTTCTTGAGAACATCTTCACCCTACAGAAGGCAAATCACTTCCTTGTATCGAAAGAGGGGCGGCACATGCCAAATTCTGCATGGGAAATATCCCTCCAGATCAGGGGATGCGAGACTGGTTGGTTTGTCAACAACATGGTGGTAAAGTCTTCCCATCCTTTAAAATGCTGCCTACACACAGCTGCTGATTTTATTATTATTACCGTATTTTTTGCCCTCCAAAAATGAAGGGGAAGTGTGTGTGCGTCCTATGGGGCGAATGCAGGCTTTTGCTGAAGCCTGGAGAGTGAGAGGGGTCGGTGCGCACCGACCCCTCTCGCTCTCCAGGCTTCAGGAAGCTATCCGCAAGCCTTGGGAGCCCGCGGGAGTTCCCGCCAGTCTCCCAAGGCTTGTGGAGAGCTGCCTGCATCCCAAAGCCCGGGGCACGCTGAGTAGCGCACCCCGGGCTTCGGGCAGATATCCGCAAGCCTGGGGAGACCGGCACGACTTCCTGCCGGGCTCCCTAGGCTTGCGGATAGCAGCCTGTTCTGGGGTTGGGGGAAGCTCGGGCTTCCCCCGCCCCAGCCCCGCGCCTGGGGGGGAAATAATTTTTTTTTCTTTATTCCCCCCCCCAAAAAACTAGGTGCGCCCTATGGGGCGAAAAATACAGTATTATTAAAAAACAACCCTTTCTTATCTCACCTGCTTAGACGATGTGTCATTTACTCCAAGGTCTTCTCCAGTCAAGCTCCAATAATAAGAAGCCACGTGAATGCTTTCCTGGGTTATATTTAACAACTCCATCCATGCTTGGTATAAAGACTTTGCAGCACTGCTGTTTGGTCCATAAGGCATGTCCCAAGGAAGGCTTTCCACTAGCTGGAAACTGCGAGAGGGAAGGGGTAGCAGAATACTTCGCAGTCAAAACAGTTGCCGCCAAGACAACCTGAGCTAAGTCCCCAGTTCACAGGGTAGACTTCAGGGTGAGAGAAAAGCTTAGTAACATTTTTTCCTGAATTAGCCACATCTGCATAATAATGTCAGACCAACCAGCCTTCCGGATTGTTTTCAAACTGGCTTGTGTAAAAGGCAAGATGTCGAGTCCCCTTGCCAGATTATATTTTACTTTTAGCTGCCTTAAAACAAAAAAAGGAGAAGTGGAAGTTAGAATCAGCCTTCTAGCGTGTGCATGCTTGGTGTGCTAAATGTGTGCTAAAGAGCCAGTTCAGGAGTTCAGTGATGCATTCCAGCCACTCAGGGAGGGACCAGAACAAGGTCAGAGGGCTGCAGAAAGGGGTGGTGGCCTGGGGAGTGTCTCAAGGGCCAGATAGGCAGGCTTGGAGGGCCACATTCTGCCCCTGAGCTGAGGTTCTCCACACTTGTCCAGCCATCCCTCTGCTGTGTGTGTGTGTGTGTGTGTGTGTGTGTGTGTTTCCAGGCTTTCTGCCTGCCTGGATGTTTGTGTGCCTGCCTGCCAATTTTCGTGTGTCATAAGCATAGCAAGAGTTGGTGTGCACATCAGTGGGTTGGCGGCGGCCATCTTTGGCACACAGCCATCAGAGGGGTGGCCAACCCTTAAAACATCCCTCAGGCTGAAAAGGCTTGGCCACCCTTGACTGAAGGAATTCAGTCCTCCGTAAACATTTATTCCAGGGTAATTTACAAATGAACAGGATAATATAGAAAAGATGCCCTTTGGCTTAGTAACAGACATGCTGTCTGCTGCCTCAGATTGAAAGAAATGTGTTGTTCCGCTTGGTCTGGCTGCTCACACACAGGACAAGGGCTGAGGCCCAGTGGCAGAGGATCTGCTTGGCGCATAGAAGATTCCAGACTCAACCACTAGTACCTCCAGGTAGGGCTAGGAATGTTCTCATCTAAAACCCTGGAGAGCCACTTCCATTGTCAGTGTAGACTGAGCTAGATGAACCGATGATCTGACTCCGTATAGGGTAGCTTCCTATGTTCCAGGCTTTGCAATTATGCCAAAATTAACCTATCACATCCAAATTAGAGAAGGAAGGAGTATGTAAAACAAATTCATTCCAATATAGGTGACAGCTGTAATTTTGATCAGTTCCTTTATTCAATCACATACACTTTTCTCTATAATGAGTGTGTGTGTGTGTGTGTGTGTGTGTGTGTGTGTGTGTGTGTATTTAGGGCAGTATCTCTATTATAGATTGGTATTGATTTTGTATTGACTAGGAGAAGAGGGCCTTCTCTGTGGTGGCCCCCTTTCTGTGGAATTACTTCTGCCTTGAACTTGTAAAGTCCCAACACTTTTGGATGGTCCAGTGGCTTTTGAAGACATATTTCTGTTCCCACGTCATTCCTGTGAGTTAGGACAGCCATACGTCTCGTTTCTTTCAGACATTACCGGTATTTCAAAGGCAGAGGGAATTTCCAAAAGGTGGCGCTTTGTCCTGAATCTCAGGCAAGTCAATCGAAAGATCATGGGATTTTTTGGGGTGTTTTTATTTTTAAAAAGTTCAACAACTTTCGGGGTGTCCTGTTTTTCACTTTTTGAACTATGGCAACCCTATGTGGGGTGGAATTATGCTGCTTTTGCCCTGGATCACTGTTGTATCTTAGTTGTCAAAGATTTTAACACTGCTTTAATGTGTTTAATGAACGATTGCGTATTTTCTTTTGTGCACCGCCTTGGGATGTTCTATGAAAGTCAATATGCAAATACGTAAATAAACGCGCCAATTAAAAAAATAAAATGAAGTAATATTACATGCTGTATCAGGCACATTCACAACACTTACATTTTAAAAAGAGAAAGATGGCGGCTACTAGTCACAGCAAGTGTGGGAGTGGCCGCCGGGACCACATAACACCAGTCCTGAGAGATCTGCATTGGCTCCCAGTACGTTTCCAAGCACAATTCAAAGTTTTGGTGATGACCTTTAAAGCCCTAAACGGCCTTGGCCCAGTATATCTGAAGGAGCGTCTCCACCCCCATTGTTCCCAGACTCTGAGATCCAGCGCCAAGGGCCTTCTGGCAGTTCCCTCATTGAGAGAAGTGAGGTTACAGGTTACTACCAAGGGCCTTCTTGGTAGTGGCACCCGCCCTGTGGAATGCCCTCCCTTCAGAGGTGAAGGAAATAAGCAGCTATCTTATCTTTAAAAGACATCTGAAGGCAGCCCTGTTTAGGGAAGTTTTTAATATTTAATGCTGTACTGTTTTTAACACTCGATTGGAAGCCGCCCAGAGTGGCTGGGGAAACTCAGCCAGGTGGCTGGGGTATAAATAATACATTATTATTATTATTATTATTATTATTATTATTATTATTATTCCACGCTCAAAGGCAGTGTGGCTCTGACTGCCAGTGGGTGGGAACTTCAAATAGGGAGAGTGCTGTTCCTTTTTGTGAGCTTCCCATAGGCATCTGGTTGGCCACTGTGAGAACAGGATGCTGGACTAAATAGGCCACTGGCCTCATCCTGCAGGGGCACTTCTTATGCTGGGACCAAAAAAGGCACTGGAAACACACACACACCCCAGAAAAAAAAACCTCTTTGCTTGTCTTACTTGCATGAATCATTGCATCTAGGGCTGCTGTCCATCTCAATCACTCTGTCTCTTTCTGTGTTTCGGTCGTCATTATTGTGGGTGTTGAGAACCCCGTCTTCCTCTCCCGGAGAAACTGCAGTGGAGGGTTTCATGACATGAATTCTTATCACAAACAGAAGCCCAGCCGCTGCAAGCAGTCCAAACACCTGGAACATGGAAAGAACACGCATGAAATGTTGTCTGGCAGCACTCCTCCGAGCCAGTAGTGATGTATGGAAGTGAGAGCTGGACCATAAAGAAGGCTGATCGCCGAAGAATTGATGCTTTTGAATTATGATGCTGGAGGAGACTCTTGAGAGTCCCATGGATCAAACCTATCCATTCTTAAGGAAATCAGCCTTGAGTGCTCACTGGAAGGACAGATCCTGAAGCTGAGGCTCCAATACTTTGGCCACCTCATGAGAAGAGAAGACTCCCTGGAAAAGACCCTGATGTTGGGAAAGATGGAGGGCACAAGGAGAAGGGGACGACAGAGGACGAGATGGTTGGACAGTGTTCTCGAAGCTACCAGCATGAGTTTGACCAAACAGTGGGAGGCAGTGGAAGACAGGAGTGCCTGGCGTGCTCTGGTCCATAGGGTCACGAAGAGTCGGACACGACTAAACGACAAAACAACGACAACAACAAATGAAAGATGGAGGAGGGACAAAAGAGCCTTGCCTTGAACAGCCCAATAACATTCTGGTACTGCTGAGATTTAAATCAGGGGTCTTGTAACTCCTGCTCTTAACCACACCAGCTCCTGAGACTGAGTAGCCTCTGGGCAATGTCTGTTAGCCCATAGGAAGGTTAGAGTGTGAATCTGTTCCTTCATAGGTTTTATATAGTTAAGTATATCAAATTTAGGATTTCGATTCTATTCCTTCGGTACACACACATAATCCATCCTTTTACTACATTTGCAATTTGGGGAGGGAGAGAATGGATTTAAGTCTCATTTCAGTTCTCAAGCTCAAAACCAGTTTCATTTATTAAACAGTGAAACTCTGCTAACCATCCGCCTGTGTCATATAGCAGGTGGATGAGACTTCCTCTTTATATTTTCATCACAGTGCGGTTATAATAAAGTACAGGGAAATGTCAGTGCAGCCCACCTGCAGGGCTGGAAGCAAAACATTTTGCTGCCTGAGGAGGACCAGCAAACGGTGCCCCCTCTCCCCGCAAACCAAAGTGTATGGTACTCAAGGTTAGGTGGGTTATTTTGGCACCTGAGGCAGAAAACTCCACAAACACCTCTCCCGGGAAGTAAAAAATAAATTAAATAACTGACAATTTGCTGGGCTTTCATTAAACAACCAGAATAGGCAACCTGAGGCAGCCAGGCCACTTCACAGCGACCAATGGCAGAGGCAGCCCTGCCACCCAGATCAGATGATTCTGCTTGGTATCTAAATTTGCTTGCACCTCCATGGCTTTCCCTTTTGTATTATGCTAGCTAGACTGGGAGCTTGTGGGCAGGGACTGTCTTTTAAAAAATGTTAAATGCTTTATACATAGTAATAGTACATAGGAAGCTGCCTTATACCACTGGTCAGTATTGTCTACACTGATTGGCAGCAGCTTTCGGACACAGACTCCAGCACTGGGGTATGGCTCTTCTTCACTGACCTACAACCCTTCTGAGTAGTAGCAGTAGTTGCAGTAGAAGTAATCTCTTTTGGGGAGGTCATCAACCATTACTGATCTCCCTGAGGCAACATTTAGACCCCAGGTTAAACATCCTTAATTTCTTCAACATTTCATCATGGGCCCTGTTTGGGCTAACATTTGCTGTACTATTCAGACATCAGTTCCTGACATCAGATAATATATAACCCCCTCCCCCTTTGTCATGTACTGGCTGGATGCAGAGGAATGGAGGGAGGCACTAGCTGGAGAACCCCCAAGAGAAGAAGACTCAGAGCCCGGGGGTTGGTGGTGGTGTGCAGAGGGAGAAGAACTGGAGGAAGAGGCATCAGAAGCTGAAGAGGTAACGGGGCGTAGTGAGCAGGGAGAGTCTGTGGCAGATTAAAGTCCAGAAGCAGAAGCAGGAGAGGAGGGAGGTCAATAGGCAGAGATGAGTCAGGCCAGTGATGAAGCCAAGGTGTTGTCCTGGTGTGACAAGCTTCCTTCCCTTTGGGTTTCCCAGAACCAGCTAAGGTATGAAGAGGGACGAACAGAGACAGACATGCTGGCGGAGTCTCAGATTGCTTGGGAAGGACCTGGGAGAGGAGGCGGCTTATGGAAAGGCGAGGACCTTCAGTCTCCATAACTGCTTCATAGGGGGAAGACTTATGAGGAAGAGTTGCTGTGCTCATTAGACCGGGCACTCCTGAGCAACTTTGTTTCTTCTAGTAAAGCGTTGACTTCACTTACTCCGTGTTTTATTGCTGACCCAATCTTTGACACCCTTCAGTGTGTAGCCTGAAGGTTGCTTCATCCTGTTCTATGGCAACTCAGTAACAGGATTGTCCTTCTGCACCTCCTGAAATGGTGCCTGTCTCTTTGTCCTCCGGTAGTCCCTCACCACCACCCCATCACATGAATGACGGTCAAGATTCCAAGAGGAACCTGACACTGAAAGACTGGAGGGGATATTCACCAACTTATTCCCACCCCTCTCTGACCACCCTTCTCTGCTGGCTGATGACTGGAGTGAAGGAACCGGTTTTGAAGTACAACCCTCCTAAAGACTTGACACAGAGAGTTCTATTCTTCTACCACAGGACTAAGATTCTGTCTTAGTCAAGCTAATTCAGGGAGAAATTTTATTTACCGCCCAGAAGGTGCAACTTGGTTTTATTCTGGTACTTACCACATTAATGCACCTTTGCTCGCTTGGGTGTGATTTCAAACAAAAGGGCCTGTTTGTCCTCAGTGGGTTCATTGGGGCGTGTTTCATGATCTATAACACAGAAACGCATGGCAAGGAACTGGAAGAAATAGAGTGAATGGCTTCAGTGCTCCCAGAAATTCTACTTCAGATGAGATTGCCTTATGCAGAGTCAAATCGTTGCTCCATTTAGCCCAGGGATAGGGGACCTGTGGTCTTCCAGGTCTTGTTGGACCCCAACACCCATCAGCCCACAGACAATATGACCAATGTTCAATGACAATCGCAGCTGGAATCCAGCAACCTCTGCAAGGTTCAACACACCACAGGTTCTCCACCAGATCTACCTCAGCTGGCAACGGTTCTCCAAGGTCTCATGCTGGGGGTCTTTCCCAGGACCTGCCATCTAAGACCCCCTTCATTAAGAGGAGTTACTAGGGACTGTTTTTCTGCACACAAAGACACACCCTCTGTTACTGAGCATCCCATCCCAAACCATCTCTTACCTTCACTAGTGCATCTAAGTAATCAGTGACCAATTGTCTCCTAATCATTCAAAAATGCTCACCGTCTTAGGTCGTTCCAGCTAGAAGTCTTTCTACCTCCTTCAGAGGAGCAAGTAACACTCTGCTACTGTTTGAGCGGGGTTTCATGAACTGGCCACAAGCCGTGCGTGTTGCTTTTCCTCCCCCACAGTGCCACAGGCGGAACTTCCCCTTTCAAACCAGAATTTCACAGCTGCTAGATTTGAATAATAGAGACTGTCTGGTAAAGGCCATCTGTGATACACACACTGCCTCAAGAAGTGAATAGTTTCGCATTAAATCTCTCCAAAAATGTCAGGACCATTGTAGAGGCATCACTGCCCTTAAGTGTATATATTATTGTCATCTCTGGTCAAACAAGTTACAATAATAATAATAATAATAATAATAATAATAATAATTTATTATTTATACCCCGCCCATCTGGCTGGGCTTCCCCAGCCACTCTGGGCGGCTTCCAACAAAATATTAAAATACAGTATATTATTTTGAGTAGGTTTCTGAAAGGCTGCAAAAACGTGCTTGCCAGAGTACTTTGTGGGATGAGAATAAACACCGCAAGCAAGTCATAGCATTTTGCACAAACGGGGTGGTCGGGAGGATGTAATTTGCCTCTTGAGGAACCCCTTTGCAATGCCCACATTTGATGCCGTCTAGCAAAAGCTGGTTTTCAGGAAGATCCCAAATCAGTGCTCGATCTGGGAGAGAGCATGAAGCCAGTGTAGGAGTTTAAGGAGTGGGGAAGGAATTGGGCAGCAGGGTGATGAATAGAAATGACACAACAGAAGACTAGAAAGGAGATTGCAGTAGTCCGGGGGAAGAGTTCAACAAGTAGGACCTGCAACAAAATGTTGCAGTGTGGAATACTTCTTCTGTTCAGGGTCCCAGCCATCCATCCCCCTTTCAAGAATACTCCATTCCATTCTGCCTCACCCTCGGATTGCCTTCCCCCCGCCCCATCGACATGTGAACACTGAGCATGCTCTGTTCTCTTCAAACTGATTTTTCGCTCCCCCATCCATTGCTTTTCACCCCCAACTTCATCATAATTCTGCAACCTTCCTCTTGGGAAGCCCTCAAGGTTGTGGAGCAGGGCCAGTCAGGAGTGTGGCGGCTTGGGGAGAGGATGCAAAGCTTAGAGAAAGCCCTGGGGACCAGATAGGGAGGCCTGGAGTACTGTGCTTGTTCGCTGGACCTGAGGTTCTCCACTCTGATACAAAGGATAAGGCCACTAGCCATCATAGTCATCTAAGCCTTCCCACCCAATTTACATTTGATCCAGGTTGGCTGTGCTCCCAGAACTGAGGTGTGTGTGTGTGTGTGTGTGTGTGTGTGTGTGTGTATTCCTTTTTCACCCTTTCCCTGACGTTTATTTCAATTTATTAAAATTAAATCCTGAAAGGACTTGAGAAAACTTATTTTTGGAGATGAAATAAAACCTCTTGTGGAAAACAAAAAAAGAATGATTTATTATAGCAAATTTATGATAAAATTATATAAAATAACAATTTATTTTGTTTTTAAAGACATCCACAACATCACCTTGGAACAAAAATATACAGATAAGTTGCCTATCAACCAAATGAAATAAATTACCATTTTTTAAAAAAAAGAAAAGAAAAAATAAGGGAGGATGGGAAATGCCCCACTATGTACGAATTGACGGGGGTATTCCGGATTAAAATTATACAGAGTATTTCAAGAGAGGGTGTGGAAACAAAAGAAAAGACAAGTCACTGAAACAGTTTTGAATTATACAAAGTTGAATTTCTGCTATACAGCCCAGCTTGCATTTGTGTCGCATGCAGATGGAATGAATGACTCCATGAACAGTTTGTGTGTGTTTCTGAACAGCAGAAAATGATTTCAGCAGCATAACAACAGCATATAGTTAGGCACAATTCAGCAAGGGGCACATCAGAAAGTGAACAGGTAGTTAATGTACATT